ACCCAACCCCCCCTTACCCAACCCACCATCAGCAATCGTCAGCTCGGCTGAAGATAGTGACAGCCGAATGCTACCGTGATGGAAGAGTCGAAGAAGCCCAAGAAGACGAAGACCAGCAACATCACCAAAGAACTCGGTACATTGGGTGTGTACACACGGGGAGTCAAGTTCACTGATTTTGGCTGCACTGACGCGAACACCTTCAACCACGTCTTCTCTCTGAACGAGCGCAAGTTCGAGACTCTCACTAAGGCTGGGTCACGCGAAAAGTACCTGCTTGAGGAGCACAATGTGCGTTGTCTCATGCGCGTCTATCCTCATGCGTTCCGCATCACTTCGACCAACTTCGACCCTCTCAAGTGCTGGCGTCGTGGTGTTCAAATGGTGGCACTTAACTGGCAAACTTACGATCTCGGCCAGCAGCTCAATCAGGCCATGTTTGCTGGTGGTGATGATCGCACGGGATATGTTCTGAAACCCACCACATTGCGACGCGGCTCGCAAACAACAATCCACGGCCCAAGGAAGGCTCCCAAGAAAGAAGTCAAGTTCACTGTCCAAATTATGTCTGCCCAGCAGCTACCTCGTCCTCGCGGTCTAGCCCAAGAAGCAAACATCAACCCCTACGTTGAGTTCGAGATGTACTGCGCAGAAGATATGGGTGCCAATGCAATTGGTGTTGGTGGACAAGACGCATCTGCACCAAATGGCCACTCAGGCATCGGCAACCCGCTGCGCAAGCGTACAGAAATAGTCCCGGGCAATGGTTATAACCCCGAGTTCCAAGGCACCAAAGACATTGAGATGAAGGTAACCACAAGATTTCCAAGTCTTGTCTTTGTGCGATGGACCGTCTGGCACTCACTCGACGCTAAGACTACAAACTACGCTCCTCTGGCATCCTTCACAGCCAAGCTCAACAGTCTCCAGCAAGGCTACCGACACCTTCCTCTCTTCGACAGCAACGGCGAGCAATACCTGTTCTCCACACTTTTCTGCAAGATCAAGAAGCAGGAAATTGTCGATGCGCCTGAAGTTCCCATCTCGCGCACTGGGTCACTCAACTCGCCGCTCGAGCCCTCGAGCCCGAGCCTGGAGCCCACGACTACGAAGCCTCGCAATTTCGTTAGGCGTCTCATCAGCCGTGGCCCAAGCGAGCGTCGAAAGCGCCTTGAGGAACGCACTGGTAGCGAGTCGCGCGAGTCGGATCTAGACTACATAAGTCGCTCCTCCACATTTGAGCGATAAACGCACCAAACTTTGGAGGATCCCCACTGCCCGCAGCTAATGATGACATCTGCGGCTATGCGTCATTATACGGGCTGCTCCTCCAGCGTACCAATTATTTTCCGTTTGTTCATTTTTTTCCATCAGGCGTTTCTGGACCCGACACGGGACGGTAGTGGCTTTTCCGACGCCACGATAGGGAGCTCGCGGCTCTTTACTCCGGCTTTCGCACACAGTCAGGAAGCGAATAGCGAGGCATCGCAACAATTTACAAAACCACTCAACATTACACGGCAGTTCACCGCTGGTCCAGGCTGTCCGCGGATGTACTTGCTCACGCCCAACATGCCTCGGCTTAACATCCCGCGCTGAAAAGTTTTCATCGATCATTATCCGGCTGGACCACGATCGTTTCTCAAAATTTGTACAACACATCTTGCTGGCTATACCACTTCCATCTACTGCTCGACCCATGCAGATGTGGGTAACCGGCGTAACAGTGGGATGCTATAAGATGCGACACAAGGGATTGGTAGCCGGCGTGCACCACCCGTTTCGGCATACACTTTTGTTTCAAGCGATATCCTAGACTTGTCTTCTTCCTTTTCATGGGGCTTCATTGCTCCCCGATCGCTAGCATTCTTTGTGTCTCTATTTTCTCACCCTTTTCTTTCTCTGATACCTTTTCCACATTTATTGACGACGACATGACCCAAGCTGTGCATGGATGGCAATTCCAAATACACTGGGCTGGGTTGAGCTCCTTTTTTTCTTTTCTTTCCTGTTGATCCAACAGCACTGTGTGGGAGGATCACGGCGTTTCATTTCGCTTCTGTCGGCGGGCATGCAGGACATCTTAGGGTTTGAAGCGATTGGTAGTCAATAAAGGCCGCAGCAGAGCAAAGGGACGTGCATTGGCAAATGTCACCCTACAAACTCTTGTATATTGCCCAACACTCTACACTATGGGCATGGCCATCGGATGGGAAGGAGGGCCATTCTCCACAACAAAGACTCAAAGCAAACTCGATATAGAAATGATACCCCAACAAATTTTATTTGTGCATCGTTCGCTTCGCTGCAACGGCATGATCTACTACACCACTTTGGCCTTTTTCTTTGCTTGTGAGGTACTGCTCATGCGTGCCATACTTCATCCCGCTCATGCCGCCGGAAAATCATGGATCTTCCCATCCTGCATGCCTACCCATTGACGTGGCTGCTAGTTTCCGTGTCTCCCGGTGCTCAAGCCACGTGTTTGCCGTTCCGCCGCCGCTCCCCACTACAAAGTCCTGCTCGATGGGAAAAGAGAAAAAGAAAAAGACCGAAGTTTCTCCACCCGAGCCAGCGGCTTTCCCCGCACTTGCATACAAACCCAACATGGATCATGGAAACCCCAATGTCTGTGTTTGCTTCACTTTCTCCTGCAGTCTTTCTGGCTGCCTGCGCAGAGGATTTTTCGATAGTGGATGCAAGGCATGCAGGCATGCAAGTGCGGCTGTGCCCTCGTGCGTATGCAGGCTGGGACGGAAAGTGGAGAGTGTGATACGGAGCAGGATGGATTCTGTATGTCAGAGCTTACGGCTATGTATGCCGAGTCAAGGGCGTACGTACAGGAGGACATGGCGTAGCACGTCAACGATTCACTTGGGAGTTCATGCAGTGTCGTACATTACGTGCTCATAATGTTCCCAAGTATTACGGTATACCCTGAGATAGATGGAATCTTGGTAATATGCCATGTCATGTCATGTCGTGTCGAGGCTACGACCTCAAGACACCGGTCAAACTCAGCAGCTCGGAGGCGCAGGAGATAAACAGCTCATCCCCAAGGCGCGGCTCCCTCGTCTGTGGAGGCTGACGTGCGTGCGATCAGATCGCATCACCCGCATTGATCGGTGACGAGCTGAAATGCACCGTGCCACATACGCGGCCTAGCGAGTCTTGTTTAGACAGTAAGCCCCGCGGGTAGTATTAAGCGCGGTGAATACAATGGAAATAGGCACGTCCGCTTGCTTGTATGCGTGCGGTGTTCACCGATGGAGAGTGGTATTCTCCGAGTACAGTCAGCGTGGAAGCAAGACGTGGACTGTGCGTGGATGGAATCAGGCATGTTTCTTGTGCAAGGCGGTTGTCAGATGGATGCAGCTGCGAGGTCAGCCATTCGAGGCTGTCTGATGTGCGGTCGTGCTGGATGGGACTGGGATGTCCCTGCTGTGAGAGCTGTTGTGCCATGAGTTGTGCAACACCGATGATATTCGCCGGTGAGCGCCGGCTTGCAAGGGCGCATATCGTAAACCTTGAATATCTTGTCTGACGCTCTGTTGCTCCCCTGATGCTCGATGGCGCAATGAGGCATGGATTCTGTGGATGACATTTCATGGAAGATGGCGCGCATAGCGATCTTAGCGATTGTCCAGAGTTTGACGAGCATCGTCGGAAGCTGACTATGTGGGCCAGCGGATATCCGCAACGCTGGACTCTGGGAAACAGAAGAACTGCTCGCTTGCAGCGGTTCAGGTCTATGCAGCGTGGGATTTAGACAGACTATCGGTGTCTAGCTCATGTGGTTCGCACGGAGTGCACATCTCGCTCTCATTGCCCCAATCGCGTGGAGAATGCAGAAGCTATGCACGCTGTCGTCTTCGATGGGGTTCAAGCCAAAGATGCATATCGCGGTTAGCGCTCGTACTGCTATGCCGAACGCTCAAGCAAGGTGTATGTTGCTCTGCTCCACAAACGCTGTGATGCAGTGCATATAGTCAAAGATACTATAAGCAGGGGCTGATCATTGCTTGCATAGAAGCAGCAACGATCGAGAGAATGCGGCTAGCATCGCGTACTTTGTATGCAGCAATCGGTCCGTTTCGAACTACTTCACCCTCATCGCTTGTCATTGACATGCTGTGTCACTGGTTGGCTGGGTAGTTTCGAGCGCTGGACCACCATGCTGCACACTTTGATGCATCTCTGCAGGTCACACACGGCAGATAAGACGAACGGGACCAGTGAAGGTGATGACTTGCCGTGCTTTGTCGTCCATAGAGTCGACATGGAGCTGCGGGGTTCGCTTGGATTCGAGCGTCATGATAGTAAATGAAGTCGGGAACTATCGAGTTGGCTGCAAGCGACGTTGGCATCAGGTTACACAGCAGCGGCATGTCTCAGGTGATCAAGACGGGACTGATAGGAACAGGAAGCTTAGTATAACCGCTCCCAGCAGAATCTCGGATAGGTCGGATTCACATAGTTTGCTTGCCTGAAGAGTATAGTCTTTACAAAGACGTCCTCGAGTGGTGGAACGACGCCCATACTTCACGCCGGCTCCGTTCTCCGTACCCCGCACATGGTATACGAGCCGTGATTGATCAGCCGGCCAGTGCCGCCACGGCACGTTTGGTCCCTGTCGTTGGAATAATGGTGCTGGTTGGTTTGCCCACGCAGTGGTTTGCAATCACCAATAGGGTTGATCGGACGCTTCCCGTCGATACTGTTCCGCATGGTGCGTCGCATCGGATCTGCTACGCTCAGCTGCCTCCTCGAGAGGCTCAAAGTACCTTTGATGTACTGGTACATAGCCAGATATGATTTCAGCGTGGGGGTCTCAGATGAAGCTGTGAGTGGCTGGGTAAATGGTGTCACAAGTTTCCAAGCTGGTGACGGTGACTTGATTGTGCGAGAGTAGGGTTTCTCTCTTGAAGTTGAAAGACTTCGGGGTGCACCCAGCTGCTTTTGACGAATCCGAGGTGGTGCTTAAAATGTTGCTAGACCAGCTGGCAAGTATGTCGCGAACTCGTAGTAGTGCGCAAGATGTCTCGCCCTTGCGGATTTGTGATCCAATGCAGTCTCGAAAGGTGGCAATGGACTGCAACTGAGGGGACATGTCGGTCCTGGAGCTACACGGGAACTTTGTATCAGGCCTCTGGTGAGCATCGAAAGCACTTGGTTCGCCTTGGTATATGAAGTGGCATCGGGGCCCACATGCGGCTCTGTCTGCAAGGCGATACAAGTCAAGGGAAAGTGTCGCAACTAGCAAGAACCCTCTTCAGATCTTCAGACCTGATGTGAACGAACTCCAATAAGGACTGGAGTCTGATTAAGAATACATTTCAGGTAAAAGAGTGAAGTGAAGTGAAGTGAAGTGAAGTGAAGTGAAGTGAGGATCGAAGAGGAAAAGCGGGGAGGGACTTTCTGTGCCAAGAGACAGACTAGCGTAGTCGCGATCCCCACGAACTTAACTTTGTCGCAACACGCCACTACTCCCGCAAACACAGTCGACGACGCACATTATCAACAAACCTTTGCATACAGAGATGGTGTGAATGGTCAGACCAGGCTGTACACGTCCTAAGCCCATCCCTACGGCCGACACGCGGCCGGACCCGCCACCCTATCGCTCAAAACTCAACAAATTGCGCTGAAGGCGCGGCCCACCAGCCACCATGGAGGGCGCATTCACGCACATGGGCAACCACCTGGTATCCGACTCTGCGGCGACCATCAATGCTGGCGCCGGCGACGACGAGAGCATCCTGGACCATGGCCTGACGGGCTCACGCCGACGCCGCATTGGCGAGGAAGATGACGAGACGGATATTTACGACGACGACGACATGGAGAGCATGGCGAGCATGCCAGTGGGCGGCGCCAACGGCAAGCCTGCGATGCGGGCTGAGGAAGAGTAAGAGGGCCGTCGGGCGTAATGGCTGGACATGATTCTAAGTAACTCCAGGGTCGAACTCCCCGCACACGCGTGCGCATACTGCGGCATCCACAACGCCGGCAGCGTCGTCAAGTGCCTGGCCTGCACCAAGTGGTTCTGCAGCGCCCGCGGAAACTCGTCGTCTTCGCACATCATCAACCATCTCGTCCGCGCCCGCCACAAGGAAGTCCAGCTGCACCCCGCCTCGTCGCTCGGCGACACCACGCTGGAATGCTACAACTGCGGCACCAAGAATGTCTTCCTCCTCGGCTTCATCCCCGCCAAGTCTGACACGGTCGTCGTGCTGCTGTGTCGCCAGCCGTGCGCCTCGATGCCCTCGCAGAAGGATATGAACTGGGACACGTCCCGCTGGCAGCCGCTGATCGAGGACCGCTCCTTCCTGCCCTGGCTCGTGCCTGCCCCGACCGACCAAGAACAGCTCCGCGCCCGCCACCTCAGCCCCCAGACCATCGCGAAGCTCGAAGAGCTGTGGAAGGACAATGCAAATGCCACAATCGCCGATCTTGAGAAAGGTGCTGGTCAAGAGGAGGTCATTGCAAAGGTTCTGCTGCGCTATGACGATGCTTTCCAGTACCAGAACGTATTTGGTCCTCTGGTTAAGATCGAGGCCGACTACGACCGCAAGCTGAAGGAGTCGCAATCGCAGGACAACCTGGTCGTGCGTTGGGACATGGCCCTGAACAACAAGCACACGGCAAGCTTCATTCTTCCTAAGCTGGAGTTGGGCGACGTCAAGCTTGCGGTGGGCGACGAGATGCGCCTGCGCTATACCGGAGAGCTTCGCCCCCACTGGGAGGGTGTCGGCTATGTCATCAAAATTCCCAACAATCAGTCCGACGAGGTCACGATAGAATTGCGTACCAAGGGCGATCACAAGTCTGTGCCCACCGAATGCACCCACAACTTCAGCGCCGACTACGTCTGGAAGGCTACTTCTTTCGACCGCATGCAGCACGCCATGAAAACTTTTGCCATCGACGAGATGAGTGTTTCCGGATACATCTTCCACCGCCTGCTCGGTCACGAGGTCGCGTCTGCGCCCATGAAGATCCAGATTCCCCGCAAGTTTAGTGTTCCTGGTCTTCCCGAGCTCAACGGCAGTCAGATCAATGCTGTGAAGAGTGTCTTGCAAAAGCCCCTTAGCTTGATCCAAGGACCCCCAGGCACGGGAAAGACGGTCACTTCTGCCACCATCATCTACCACTTGTGCAAAATTAGCGCCAGCCAGGTCCTCGTCTGTGCACCATCCAACGTCGCGGTCGACCAGTTGTGCGAACGTATTCATCTTACTGGGTTGAAGACGGTTCGTGTCACTGCCAAATCGAGGGAAGATGTCGAGTCGCCAGTTGGCTTCCTGTCGCTCCATGAGCAAGTCCGCATGAACGATACCAACGTCGAGCTCAACAAGCTGAATCAGCTCAAGAGCGATGTTGGCGAGCTGTCCAGTCAGGACGAGAAGAAGTTCAAGCAGCTTACCCGCGCAGCCGAGCGCGAGATTCTCAACGCAGCCGATGTCATTTGCTGCACCTGCGTTGGAGCGGGCGACCCTCGACTTTCCAAGATGAAGTTCCGCACAGTTCTGATCGACGAGTCTACTCAGTCTGCCGAACCCGAGTGCATGATTCCTCTCGTCCTTGGTTGCAAGCAGGTCGTCCTGGTTGGTGACCACCAGCAGTTGGGACCTGTCATCATGAACAAGAAGGCTGCTACAGCTGGTCTTAACCAGTCTCTTTTCGAGCGCCTGGTCATTCTTGGGTGCTCGCCGATTCGACTTCAAGTGCAGTACCGCATGCATCCCTGTCTGTCCGAATTCCCATCGAACATGTTCTACGAGGGGTCCCTTCAGAACGGTGTCACGATGCAAGAGCGTATCCGCCGTGATGTTGATTTCCCATGGCCAGTCGCCGACAGCCCGATGATGTTCTGGTCGAACCTCGGCGCTGAGGAGATCTCAGCCTCCGGTACGTCATACCTCAACCGTACTGAAGCGCAGAATGTCGAGAAGATTGTCACTCGATTCTTCAAGGCAGGTGTGCAGCCAGGCGATATTGGTATCATCACACCATACGAAGGCCAGCGCAGCTACGTCGTCAGCTCCATGCAGGCTACTGGGAGCTTCAAGAAGGAGAACTACAAAGACGTCGAGGTAGCTTCAGTCGACGCTTTCCAAGGTCGTGAGAAGGACTTTATTATCCTGTCTTGCGTGCGTTCCAATGACCACCAGGGCATTGGTTTCTTGAGCGACCCTCGTCGTCTCAACGTCGCTCTCACGCGTGCCAAATACGGTCTCGTTATTCTCGGCAATCCGAAAGTACTCTCAAAGCATCCGCTCTGGCACTACCTCCTACTCCATTTCAAGGAGCGCAATTGTCTTGTAGAGGGACCCTTGACCAACTTGCAGGTTTCCCTGCTCCAGTTCAGTCGTCCAAAGCAGACCTATCGTGGACCTCAGCGTTATCAGATGGCTTACCAGCACGCAAATGCGATGACTTCTGGTCGCCAAGGCAGCTGGAGCGGGAACAAGCCCACACGTCAGGAGTACAATGACAACGGTTCGATAGTTGGTTACATCCCAGACGATGTATCCTCGGTCCATTCGTCCGCCCTTGGCGGCGTTGGTGTTCCGTCCAACTACCCTCCTATGTTCTCCAACTTCCAGGAGTCATGGCCGCTACCTGGTCGCCCTGGATCTGGCGCCAAGGGCCGAAATGGTGCACCTGCCAGTGTGGCTGGCGAGTCTGTTGCGGCCAGTGAGCTGACCGACTCTCGCAGCGACGCTCCAGGCGGTATCAGTCTCTCGGGACTTAGTTTGAATGACTATAACAAGCCCACATCGCTAAGCCAGTCTGACCGCCTCAACCGTTTCGTTGAATCAACTCGCCAAGGCCCGGCTCTGGGTGCTGGATTCGGTGCCGGTCGTGGCGGTCTACGCAATGGCCTAGGTGGCTTCGACGATGACGATGCGCGGAGTGTTTCCACAGCTTTTGCTAGTCAGATTGGTGGTTGATATGATGTCGCACAAGCATAGCTAGGAACTGTCCTACGCTACTAACCTTTCGTCTTGGTTGCAAGCCTTACCATCCGGCCGCCACAAGCGCGTGTCATGCGAGTTCGATACGTCGACCTTCCACGTACTGGCCCATGAACGGCGACCACCAACACGTGAGATCCATTACAGATACTGGACCACGACATACTGCAGCTAGCATCGATGCTCTGTCCAAGTCCAGTCTGTGACGGCCGGGCGTGCAAGACGGCACATCACACCGTGCTGGACCAACCTGCGTAGAACCGAGCAACCGCTGGTCCGACATTACGACACCGATGTTAGCACAGCAGTAGTGGAAGGAACATCTAGTCAGATTGAGCATTCACTTCTCCCACTATCATTGACGGACATTCAAAATTGGCGATTATCAAACGGACGTTTATTCAAAAAAAAATGGGGCTAGAAAATCATACTTTGTTGCCTGATACAGTGGACTTGCTGTCTGTGTCTGTGATGTTTTGTGCATTATCTAACGCATCTCTAGAACCTTACTATAGCAGTTCTTGTAGTATTGACAGCGTGCACGAATGGTTGTAGCATCTGTTTCTGAGCTTCTTTATACACTCTTTATACACTATTCATCCAATACTGCTCTCTTTCTCTCACCAAAATCTTCCCAGCGATGACATGACTCAACAACCAGCCTAGTAGCTCTGCGCATCCTCCCGCATTTCCACACTCACCTTCTCCCCACCCTTGGCAAACGTCCTATACCTCTCCTCTTCATCACTCCGACTCGCCCTAACGACTCTCCTATTCTCCGGATTCAACCCCATGCACACCCTCGAGTTCTCCCAAAACATCTCATCAATCTGCTCCAAGGAGCGTCCACTCGTCTCCACCCCAAAGAAATACGTCAGCGGCACAAAACTTGCGCACACGACGGCCCAGACCCAGAAATAATGGCCCCTGATAGAAGAAAGGCCGATGGGCGTGACCATCACGACGACGAAATTCGACATCCAGTGCGAAAACACCCCGACGGCGGTGGCTTTGTTGCGTACGCGCAACGGCTGGATTTCCGCCGAATACGACCAGGATACCGGAAGGATACCCAGTGTGAAGCAGTCGAGGAAGAGAAACATGAAAGCGACCGCTGCGGCCGCAGAAGAGAAGCTGTTGTTCGCCAGCGTGCCGGCGATGATCGCCATGCAGGCTGCGCAGCCGGCGGAAGAGAGCATGACGCACATCCTACGCCCGATACGGTCGATGTAGAAGTATGGTGGCCAGGAGAAGAGGGCGTATTGTGTGAAGGCTACCGAGGCGAGGATGAGAGACATGCTGGGGGAGTAGCCTAGGTAGTCTTGAAGAATGACGGCGAGATAGTAGCACAGCGCGTTCACACCGCTCCATTGGTTAAAGAGGTATGGTCCCATGCCTAGGATCACACGATGCAGGTTGCGCGTCTTGGTGTTGTTGCTGAAGACTTCGGACCAGCTGGGTTCTTCGAGTTGGGATTCGGCTTCGATGATGGTGAGGATTTCTTGGAGTTGGCCGATGACTTCGTCGTCGTCGAGGGGCTTGTCGAGGAGGCGTGAGATGACGTGTTTGGCCTGGTGTGGTTATTAATATGAGAAGAGAGATATGAGATGGTGGAAATGTACCTCATCAATCTTCCCCTTCTGCGCAAGCCAACGAGGTGTCTCGCACAGGAACGGGCATAGACACAGGACAAGTGCCGAGAAAAGGATCTGACACGCAACGGGAAAGCGCCACTGCAGCGAACTTTCTGCATATAATGTCGCAAAACAGAGCCACGACGCGATCGCAACTCCAATAATGATGAGCGCAGACTGCACGACCAGTAATGCACCACGATTATGCGCAGGCAGCGTCTCAGACTGCAAAATCGGGACAGCAACAGTCGACAAACCAACGCCTACACCGCCAATGATTCTTGCCACAAACATCTGCCAGTACTCGAACGATGCCGTCTGAATCGCAGCCCCGACAATGACAATGACGTTTGCCAAGATAATCGATCTCTTGCGCCCAATCCTCTCGCCAAACACAAACGCTACGACCGCACCGAGCGCGCATCCGATGTCGTAGATTGCAGTGACGAGGCCTGTCATGGTGGGATTTGGGCGACCGAGCGTGTCTTTGAAGCGGTCGCCGCCGAGGATGCCACCGAAGAGCCCTTGGTCATCTGTGAAGTAGCATGTCAGAAAACAATCTTGATACAGAGATGAAGAGAAAGGAAAAACCACTCACAGCCAAATAGCAAAAAGTCAAGACCAGAAGTCATGAGGATAATAGCGATTAGGGCCTTGCCCCTTAGCTCGAGAAACTTCATGATGAATGTCCTGCAACGCGCTCTACTACACACTCGAGTGACTGGGAAAACAGCAGATCATCACACCTATGTACCCTTTTATATATGCATGCCCCCCGACCAGCACCACGCTCCCGGAAACACCTGATCGAGCCTAACGTCTGCCATCCCGTGTATTGTCAAAAATGCGGAGGCGCGTCCGGGGTAATTATGGGTCTGCGGATGCCAATTCGCGGGGAAAGTTGGAGACGTCGAGGAGCCAGTTGGCTGGGGATCCAAGCTTGGATGACGTTGGAGGGCTAGGCACGTTGCGGGGTTACTGGATTGGGGAATCCGGGTGGTGATCGAGGGATACGTTAAGCCGGTTGGGGGACTAGGGCTTGGAGTAGGCGTTCGGGAAAGTTGCTGGGTGGGCGGTGGAGGGCCGAGGGGTTCAGCCGCAAGCTAGAGTGGGATGGATGGGTTGGGACTGGAAGATGCGAAAGACATGCGATGCGGTGAAGGCTGATCGCACGTGGAGAGACGCGTGGGAAGAGAGCAGAAGCTGATGTACATGAACGTTTTTTCCGCTTATAGAGCATGTGATGAAGGGAAGGTGTGCAGACATATCTTGTATTGAGCATCTCTTTCAAGCAGGGCAATGCCTGTCCATAAGCTCTCTTAATGCCGAGAATTATACACTATGCCCTTCTCCCTCCCCATCACACGTCAAATCCTCTAACCACCCTTTCCACCCCTCTCATCCTGCATCCCAATCGCCACGTCCGGCGCCTCAGGAAACTCCTTCTTCGCTTTCTCCTTGCCGCCCGCCGTATCCTTCTGATCTGTCGCGTTTCCGCCAGTCTCACTGTTCTTATTCCTGCATCATGATTAGCCTAACAAACTCCCGAAACCACGCGTGAAGGTATGATGCGGATAATACTCACTTCATGCCAGCCTGAGCATTCGCTTCTTGGATATTATGCGTCTCCCCGGCCTGTGCTTTGTTCACCGCATGCTTGTCTGCCTTTACGCTTCCGTCTGAGCCTGCGCGGCGTGCTGTTGAGAGGGAGAATTGGCGGGTTTGGATGCGCAGGGACGTTGATGCTAGTTTGCGGAACATGATTGCTCAAAGCAGTGTATTCGGTGTGTTTTGGAGGTAATTGGTGGTGTTTGTCCAATGCAATAATTCTGGGGCATATTTGCGTGGATATTACTAGACAATGATGATGCTCGATGACGCCCTCGAGTGACGGTGACGGCCATAGCTCTCTTCCCGCCTTGCCTCTTACCGTCTAGCTTCTCTCCCCCACATCTCGCGAAGTTTGAGCCGCAACACCATCATCCGCCATCGTGCAGTAAGGCGCAATGGCAAATCCCACGGGCTGGAAGGCGGAGGACTTTCCCTGTACCCTGTGCGCTTCTCCCCTCTAATCATGCAAACCCCTCACTAACAAAACACCAGCACCCTCTCAATCCCTTTCCCCACCCCCTCTCTCGCATCCACCGCACACCTCGCGCTCTCTGTCGACGCCGAACTTTCGCCCCTTGTGCGCCGCGCATTCGAAGTCCAAAACGATGTGCTGCAAGTAAACTACGCAGCGACGACGAATCGCATGTTGCGCGTTGCTGTAAATGGGTTTATTGAGAGTGTGGGCGTGGTTATTGGGGTCATGAGGGATTTGGATGTTGATGTGGTGTATGAGCCGGTTACGGAGAGTTTGGAGGGTGTGCAAGGGTTGGATGTGGCAAAGGTCAAGGGCTGAGACAGAAAAGTGAGAGGCGATTGGGAATATGATAGAAAATGACGAGGGACTGGGTCACGAATTGGGGAAGGTACCTCACTCGATCGCCTGGATCGAAAGCGGTCGCAAAGGCATAGATGGAGAGAGGTCGCATCCTCAGATCTTCAGACTTGGAACACAGATGGTCGGCACATAGCTGGAGTATTACACAAGCATCCACGGTGGATAGTCGACGCTGTCGTTCAGATTGTGAAGAAGCTAGATGTATCATATGCAGTGGTGCCTTAACGTCAACCTGGCACAAGTGGGCTTCAGTATAGCCGACTAGTTTGTGACAAAGCCAAGAGGTATCGACGCCATGAATGCAAGACACCAAGAGGTGGCAATCTCCCTTGCAAACCCATTGATCTTCAATGACTCATGGCCGACTTGCAGAAAGGCTTTGTGTGAAGTTCATCCTGCTTCTCACAGGGTAAATCCCGTGTTCAAGCAACTCTCTTTGCTGGCGGCGCACTATCGTCATCTTCTTCATCGATCTTGCGCTTCTCCGCCGGCTTGCCCTGCATAACGGCCGTGGATGCGACCGGCACCATCGAGGGCGCAGCGGGAGCCGACGCCGCGTCCGCCGGTGGTGTACCAGACGGTATCGGTGGGTAGACCCCATCATCCTTGATCAGCCAGCCGTCATGCTTCAGGACCTTCCACTTCTCCTTGATCTTGTGGCGGATTAGCTCACCAGTCGTTCGCGCATCCTCGTAGCTGTCGTGTCCTGCCGCACCACCCTGCTGGATGTCTTCACCCAGATGCATCTTCGCGAGCATGCGCAAGCCATGGCGATATGGGAGACCCTGACGAGTCGGATAGAGGAGTACAGTGTCGATGATCGTAGGATGGATGAGGCGGATGGTGTTGAGGTCGTTCTCCAGAGCATGGCCGAGAACTGGTGTGGTTCTTGTAACATGCGAGAGGAAGAGCTTCCGGGCCTCATAGGGTGACTCTACGATACGGAGATCCTTGCGAACTGGTTTTGGGTTCTCGGGGTCATATGGCTTCGCATTCACAAACTGTTCTGGAGTTATACCAGAAAAGCGAGTGTTCACATCAAGAATGTGTCCAATGGGTCGGACAAGGACGTCGATGATTGGCTTGTGTACTGGCCAGGAGATGACAGTGAGGCGCATCAACTCGAGTCCTCTGGTAGTGTAGCCCATTTCACAATCGAAACAGACTGCAGTGTGTGGCGGTGCCTTGTCATTCTCTGGTGTCTCCACAAATGGCATGACCAGTGCCAGGCGCTTTGGGTCCGAAATCTTGAACACATGCGTCTCGTGTGTGATGCAGCCAGGAGAGCCTACTGCTTCGTTGCAACAGCTCAGGCGCGTTGGCTCGGGCACTGCGTTCTTCGTCCTCTTTGGGAAGATACGTTTGCCCCAGTGATGCCTACATTGGCCTCCAGTTGTAAGTGCACCATCTTCCTCTCGGCGCTCTGGAAACACTTGGAAGCGGGTGGCGCAACGATCACATTCTTCCCAGAATCCTGCTGATGTCTGCACAAGTTGAGCCTCCTTCAGCTGTTCCTCGCTGGGTACTTTAGTGACATATCCATGGTTATCAAGTCCATCCTGAGGACAAGTAAGTGTCGAGAGAAATATGACCTCTTCTTTTGGAGTTAGACCTGTATCGACCTTGCTCGGCGGAGGCTTCTTTGGCGCATCTCCTCTCTCTTTCGACACGGCTTCTCTCCGCTCCTTGACCCAAATTTCGGGAGTCATACCTTTCAGCTTCACTAGGCGATGCTTGAGGATGTTCTCATATACGGACGGATTCTCGAGAGCAAGTTTCTCTTCTTCGTCCACTGCCAGCTTGTTGAGCTGGTTGGGACTGAGATGCAGTGCTCTAATCTCAGGCTTGACAGCTTTGGCAATCTTGTCGTTCTGTGGCTTCATATAAGTGTGTAGCGCTTTCAGCAGCGTCAGGCGCTTAGCGAAGGGTACTGGTTCTTTCGAGAGCTTCCTCGGCATCAACGCGACCGGTGCATCTGCTTTGGCAGCTGTCTTGGCTGTAGCAGCTGTTGGAGGCGGCGATACTGGACGAGTTGCAGACTGCGGCAAATTACCATCAACCTTGGTCGCTGTGCTAGACTTGAATGGAGCAGTATTGACTGTGCTTGCGACATTGGTTGCAGCGGGTGTCTTGTCTTTGGACATGATCGACCCAACAAAGAAAGGCTTTGAAGCCGGTTCGACAGGAGCAACAGGAGCGACAGGCGCGATAGACTCCTTGGAGCCATTGTTGAGCTTCAGTCGCTTCATGTCTGGCTCTTGCTCACGTGTTGCTGCATTTGCTGTGGGCGATGGGAGCTTGGGGAGCGGCTTTGAGACCTCATGACTGAAGATGCAATTTGGCAGCTCGCACCTATTGGCCGATGGGCAAGGTATGTTGCCAAAGCTCCTGAAAGCCGGGATAGAGGGCCACATAATGTTGACCGCACGGAAGCTTACTGATTAGTGATCATATGGGAGGCTTCGATATGTCCGCGACATACCAAGCTGGACCAAAAGCTACTTGCCGGTAGTGGGGATTTTTCTGGTCTCGTATTCAGGTCGATCGCAAGCGGAGCAATGCGCGAACGACTTGGCAGTATCTGAAGTATTGCGCGACACGAAATCAATATGCTTCGCATCCAAGCAGAGTAAGCAAGCCAGCACAAACCTAGACAGGAAGAAAGGGTGAGAAGAATGTGCGCCAATTGACAGTGCTGATAGGGCTGTCTGTCGCAATGTGGTGTAGTGGTCAGGCTGTGTACCTGACTACGAGCCACACCTATACCTGCGACGGATGGACTAAAGCGCTTAGCGGTGAAGGTGAGCCGCAGATGTGAGGGTGAGGTTGAGGCTCAAGCTTTGAAGTTCGACCCTAGCGGCGCTAGAGCATGCAAGGCCCGGTGAGTCGGACGAACTCCCGTGCCGATCCCGCATCATTCTGTCATGACGTTGTGACCGTCTGCTCAAATTCGCGACTTTTGCCAGAAAATAGCTTTGAGGCGCCACAGTAATTGATCTGACCTGGGAGAAGACCCCCGGACTAACGAACCTTCCGAGGCTTCATCTGAACTAAACCCTAAGTAGCTGACGTGACGCCAACTTTGCTGCGCGCGTTCCGAGGGCTGCGCCCGATAACACCGCTCACAGCGGACGAGATCTGGAGGAGGCGCAACACATAAACACCACGCCCCTGCACTCATCGGAAGTGTATACCGCGAAACTCTCAGCAATGTCTACGTCCATTCACAAACCCCAAAAAGCAGATCATCTGTGTGTTCTTGTTCACGGGTACGAGGCGCTTCAGGAAGGCTCCACTGATGCAGTAAATTGACACCGACCAGACTTTGGGGCAACCCAGAACATCTCAAACAAGTTAGTGATTCTCTCCGCCAGAGGTTCTCCGAAGACCAAGTCGAGATTTTGGTAGCGAAGCGCAACGCCGGCAGCTTCACATACGATGGCGTCGACACAGGTGGCGAACGAGTCGCAAGCGAAGTTGAGCAAAAGTTAGGGGACCTCAAGAATGATGGAAACGAAATCAAGAAGATCAGTGTCATCGGATACTCACTTGGCGGTCTCGTAGCCCGCTTCGCTATTGGTCTCCTTTACAGCAGAGGGGTGTTCGAGAAGATACAGCCTGTGGTATGTGCCCCGATCAGCAGAGAGGATATTGCAACTGACGCCTGTTAGAACTTCACCACATTTGCGACACCACATCTCGGCGTACGAACACCGCTACGAGGCTATCACAGCCACATCTGGAACATACTGGGCGCAAGGACACTCTCTATGAGTGGCAGACAACTCTTTGGCATCGACAAGTTCAGGGAGACTGGCCGGTCACTGCTTTCTGTCCTGGCGGACTCGAACAGCATATTCATCAAGGGCCTGGCGCAATTCCAGCATCGGAGTCTATACGCAAATGTCGTCAACGACAGGACGGTGACGTACTACACGGCCGGAATATCTCAGACAGACCCATTCGTCAAGCCCGAAAATGTCACCATGAACTATATCTCAGGCTACGATGAGGTCATACTGGATGGCGATAACCCCGTCTCACCAAAAGCTCCCGAAGCTCCACCTGCCTTTACACAACGGCTAGTGTCCACCACCTCGACTGTCATAGGCCGCGTACCCATTGTCGCTTTCCTAACAGTCTTCATCCCTATCGGCACAACCTTGTTCCTCGTCAACTCCGTAGTCCAATCCTTCCGCAGCTCGCACCGCATCCGCCTCCACGAATCCGGCCAAGCAGGCGTCAACATCCAACAATACCGCCTCGGCAACATGATCAACGCCGTGCGCCGTGAAGCAGAAGACATGTTCGAAAACGTCAACAACACACAGGAATCAGACTACTTGTCCGCGGGCAGCACCGAGGTCGCGTCGCCCACACAGCCCACGTCTCCGGGCCTGACACGCAAAGACACAGAGGCGGCGATCGAGAAGGATACTCTCGATTTCCCCACCTTGGCGTTGACGCAAGATCAGTTCGGCATGATTGAGGCCTTGGATACGCTTGGCTTCAGGAAGCATCCGGTGTACATTCATCATCACAGACACTCGCACGCGGCGATTATCGTGCGCATGGATAAGCCGTCGTTCAACGAGGGGCGTGTTGTTATCAAGCACTGGCTTGACAACTTCCAGTTATAGATACCCCATTTCCTATCTCTCTTAGTTTATTTCCGGGCGGTTTTTCTGTTGGTATCTTTTTTTTCTCTAGCGTCGGCGTTCAAGGGTGGGCGTCATCTCACCTACATGGGCGCCGTAGAATAAGGCCGAACTGCGGTTCGCCTTGCCCATGACCGGGTTTTACTCTGGCGTGGTTCTCGGACTCCCACCGCAGAGGATGCACATTGACATTACGATCTTCTCATCCAACATTCATACATGACTCTGTACACACACTCAATATAACACCATCCACAACTATCTCCCGTAATTCCATCCCATTCCAGACTCTACGCGTTCCAAATCCTCAAGAAACACGCTCGCGCAGAAATAGCATCGCATAAGAAATCGCCCCGTCTCATCTCATCTTCATGCGGACGGCACGGCAGTGTAGCAAGAAACGGACCGAAAAAAAACCGCTGCGGCTGCGTTGTTTCACTAGTTACGCGTCGATCTGCCGCACTAGCGCTGAATCTGATGTGTGATGGACGGGACGCCGCATGTTGGCAAGCATGGCCCGGAAATTTGTGCGGCGCTGTGCAATGAAAGATAACGACTTTTTAGCCATAACTGATATCAACAAAAACTTCACGACCATGAGATGTACAAGTTGGTATGGAAAATCTTGGTTTGATTGCTTAGTTTCGCGTTGCTCGGCTTGTGAAAAGGGACTAGATCTACTAGTCTTCATTGGGTATCAATGCTGGTTTGCTGTAGGATTCGTATGTGCTATGCGTTGCCTGTGTGCAAGAAGTGTGGCGCCGAAAATGCCTCCATATACAATGCGCCATCAAGAGGGCAGTCTCAATGCTTCGCTGCCGCCATAATCGAGAAGAGAAGAAAAAGGAAAAGGTGATCGTAAATCTCCGTGAACGGGCCGGTATGCAGAGCCCTCCTTGAACCATGATGCGCCTGTGATGCTAATGTCCCAAAATGGTTCTATACAGTGAAGTAGAAGTAAAGTGAAGTGTGGTATGAAAAGCTCATATTGAGCGTGTTGTGTGTCGGAACATGGGTTTTTGTGTGGTGGTCTCCTCAATTGCCTGGATCGCGTCGACTTCGTCTTCCTCGCGGTCATCTTTTAGGCATTTGCCTCTTCGTCCAACGTGCTCCTGGAGGAATCGCAGGCGTTCCGTGTCGTCTTCATCGAAGCCAAATGCGCCACTCCAAAAGCCGCAGTCGATGTTTGTGGTCTCATTGCGGTAAACAACTTGTGCCTGGCCGGCGAGGTCGACAGGCGGAACGCCAGGTCCTTCGCCTGATTCAGTGCCGATCTCGTCGATTAGACTGGGGCCAGGCATATGGTGGAAAAGTTCTGAGTTGAGTGTCCAGCAGCGCAGTCCGGGGCTCGCGTACTTGTGTCGTAGCTCGGGATTGGGGTGGGGTACTGGGTTGCCTTGCGCTGGTGTTGGCGAAGGCGTCTTTGCTCCTTTCCGGCAGGAGTTCAGGAGGGCTACATCGAATGCTCGGGGTCCACCCTTTGTAAGTTTCGGGGGTGCAAGGTCATCCAGTAGTCGCTGGGCGGCAGGGCGTGTGAGAGCATATCCAAAAGAGCAGAGTGGGAACTTGGAACGGTGGATGACTCTAGTATGCGCAGGTATGCTCATCGTGTCAAACAGTGTTTGCGTAAATGGATGCAAGTCCGATGGGGGAGGTAGTGTGGGGTCTCTGTACTGGATGTGTGGCATATTGGTCAGGTTGTAGTGCTTGTCGAGTCGCGGTCCTTGTTCAGTGACTTCCTCAAAGTAGTCGCCGCAGTGGCCTAGGTAGAGTAGGTCCCAGTCCTTGTGGTCGCCCCAGTAGTTCGTATCGTTCTTGGCATGGTGGCCGAAACGGAAAGAGCGTGGAGCTGGTGGTGCTGGTAAGAGTTGTCGCACGGCACTGGCCGCGAGAGGGATCTGGACGCTGCGCAGCCGAATGTCCCAGTCGACATCGTCTTCCAGGACGAGGGCAGTCTCCAGGCCAGAGTCGAGGAACCTGCGCATGAAAGTCAGCAATGCGCCACGGCGTGCACAGCATAATCGCTTACCATTGAAGGGCATTGCGATGGCCCAACCACGCTAGAATCGAGCCTCGCTGAGCATCCTCTTGACCGTTGATGAACCTCTGCAAGTCGCCTTCGGTCCACGCAGGCTGCTTCGGTATGGTAAGGTTTACGTCGGTGACGTTTGCTGACTGGAGCAGGGCATGGCGCCGGTCCGAACCTTCTTTCGAGATGACAACGACTGCACCAAAACCTAGGGTGCTGTTTGCCGGGATCTGGACAGGCCGCGAGTCGACGGTGGTCGACCAGTGCTGATATATCGAGTTTGCATTGTTGCTGTGGTAGAAGAGTACAATCAGAATGAGCGTGAGGGTGCATAGCAGCGGCGTGGGCCGCTTTCTGGATGCAAGCATGCCGGGCTAAGGAAAGTAGAAAAACACACAAACAGGAGTGAACTGTGGACAGAAAGAAGTTGAAGACAAAAGAGTGTCAAGACAAGCACATGGTGGAGTGGTCTGAGGTGAGATGAGGCACGGCTTCAACAGCACGAAGACAGCCGAAAGCAGATCCCGCAGCGTGGCAGCCGGACCCACTACTCTGGCAGGGGCAGCAGCAGATGGCGCGCAACAACGCTCATCTCTACCCGTCGCATCTCGGTGGAGTACGAGCCGGCCGGGGTCTTTGGGCGATAGTGGTCTGTGTATCATTTGCGACAGGCTACCTTAGATTGTTCTGCGACGAGCACCAGGGTTTGCCGAGCAGTTGGTGGAGGAGGACGCGCAGGCCGGACCCACGGCGGGAACTGAGCGGCTGTTCGACTGTCAATGGTCATTGCGATCAACGGCTCAAACGGTCCTACGCCTCGCGGGCACCGACAGCCCTTGGCGCGCGAGGTATGAGAAGCCTCGCACCTGCTATCCGGGGAGTTTGGAGGGGTGGTGGGTTTTTTTCTTGGTGTTGGTGGTCAGCGCCGTCACGTGCCTGTCAGCCTCACGGAGCTACTGGGTCAGCCAGCATTCCCGATGCGATGGCGCTGACATGGCCCTGCAGCGCGACGACGACTTGCCAACTGACTGCGCCTGCCCTTCGAGCTCATCCCCGTGCCCTCATCTGGTGCTTCTGGCGCCCTCTTGTGCAGTGTTCCTAGCTGTCACCGGTGCTGGCTTAGCCGTGTGAAACATATTGTGCGGCGTCGCGCCTGAAACGACGTGTGCAACACCACCCCCGTCCTCCGCATCTCTGCCCTTCTCGAACCCCGACGGGCACGCGGCACACACACACACCCACGACGTCACCACGCCCTGGATCCCCAGAGAACATCGAACATCCAACACCGAGCATCGCTGATCCGTCATTCACTGCCTCGCTGCCGCCACATCTCGCACCACATGCCCGGACTCTCGACGATCCCGTGACCATGGCCACGCTAGGCTCGCCCTCTCCCCCGTCTTCTCCTTCGCGAACCATGCGCCGCCGCGGGTGGGCCAGGAAGGTCGAGCGGTACTGCTGCAACACCATCACCTACTTCCCACTCGTCTTTGTCTACGGCCTGACCACCTGGGCCGTGTGGGTCGAGGCCGGCATCGGCTTCGTGCCCTCGAAGAATGCCTGGACGGGTGCGTCTCCTATGACCTGCCATTGCGACGCGGCGCGGCATGGCAGATTGCTTTGTCACACCCGAAGCTGTTGTGCAGTTGCGTGGACAACCGATATGCTGACATTGGTGTAGGCAAGTTTTCGTCTGCGCTCGGCGTCTTCTTCTACCTCATGCTCAACTGGAGCTACACAACCGCCGTCTTTACCGATCCGGGGTCGCCCCTCAGCCTCAACAACGGGTACAGCCACCTGCCTACTCAAGAAAGCGGGGCTCTGCAATATACATCCTTCACCGTGAAAGCGTCAGACGGAGGCGTGCGCTTCTGCAACAAGTGCCAGTCCAAGAAGCCCGACCGCGCCCACCACTGTTCAACATGCCGCCGCTGCGTGCTGAAGATGGACCATCACTGCCCATGGCTCGCCACATGTGTCGGCCTGCGCAACTACAAGGCCTTCTTGCTGTTTTTGATATACTTGACCTTCTTCTGTTGGACTTCGTTCGCCACTTCTGCGTACTGGGTTTGGAGTGAGATTTTGAGTGACGGTCAATACACCGAGTCCTTCATGCCCGTCAACTATGTTCTGCTCGCCGTGTTGTCCGGCATCATCGGAATTGTAATCACCGGCTTCACTGCCTGGCATCTTTGGCTTACTTTTAGGGGGCAGACGACAATTGAAAGTTTGGAAAAGACGCGCTACTTGTCGCCACTGCGGAACACCATGAAGCACAATCTGACTGACCGCAACTACCTCGACGCGCAAGCCAATGGACGATTGAGCATTGGTGACCAATTGCGCGAAATTCATGCGAACGCGCTGCCTGGCGTGACGCGCCCGGAGGAAGGTGAGGCCCCGTCGCGCTCTCCAGCGCCTGGTGATACGCCAATGAGTAATGGATACTCACACCCTGCCTACCACTCGTATGAACAGCGGGAGCGCCAGCAAAACCAGGAGCGCTATGACAGCTACCTCGACGAGAGAGACAACGAGCAACTCCCCAATGCATTCGATCTGGGATGGAAGCGCAATGTCGCGCACGTATTTGGACCTTCGCCGCTGAAATGGTTCATTCCGATTGTTACGACAACGGGCGATGGGTGGTCCTGGGAGCCAAGCCCGAAGTGGCTCGCAGCACGAGAGCGCATAAAGCGCGATAGGGAGGCGGAGGAGCAAGTCCAGAAGCAGCGTGAGCGCGCTGCCGGCTGGGGTCTTGATTCTCCCACTGAAGCAGAATTTAGGCGCCCCACAAGGACAGCACAAGGCTGGCAGCCCGGTCAATACAGCCACGCTGTACCCAGACAGCCTCATCGCCCCGAATGGCAGTCTCCATTGCGCCACGACGAGCCTGCTCGATACCTGACGACCACCAACGGCGTCGTGAAGTCACCACTGGAGGGAAGACGGAGTCCAAGCAAGGCTGATCAAATACTGGGGAGAGAACATGGCATGTACGCCGATGGCGACGTACAGCTCCAAAACATGGACCGAAGGAAGTTTGACCAGTACAATTACATATCCGAGGACGAAGAAGACGACGACTACGAAGTCTCGAGCGATGAGCAAGCCGCGGACCAGAAACGCGCCCAGCAAACGCAAACCGGCCCGCCACCAAAGTCCACACAGAACTGGAATGACATACCAGAAGGATTTTTAGATCCCGCGCCCCAAGGCAAAAAGAGCACGAGTCGGGAACGCAATCAAAAGAAAAAGGGGGAATGGGATGACTGGGGCTCGTAATGAGGGGCGGTAATGAACCATGTTGCTATATGTATGTGTAAATCTTGTCTGCATAAAGGACCGGCGTTGTATTTCCAGCTGTTTTGTCTTGCATATAAGCACTGCGCCGTCAAAACACGGCGGCAATACCAATACTCCTGTTGAATACAAAACAACATCTATCGAGACCTACCTACATCTTCATCCATGACATCAATCCTTCTCCCTCTTAACCTCAACCTTGACTACTCCCTCCTTTTTCGCCTTCACCGCCCTCTGCTCAACTAATATCCCCACCCGACTAATCTGCCTCATCCCCCTCGCTTCCAACGCGCCCACAACGCCCATCATCACATCCCCCCTCGTCGCGCCTTCTTGCGAGCCCACTATTTCGCCAAATCGAAACAGCCAGTCTAAAAAGTACAGCACGACCGCAACATTTGACCACACACTCAGGCTTGAATATGGCATGACCGCTCTCACATGATATCACGTAGAGCATTTGTTGCGGCACCAGATCAAAGCAGCGCGGCTCCCCTGGAGGCCAAACGCTCGTTCTTGTCAGGTGAGCAATTCCTTTGCGCTCGAAACAGCGATCAGATATGTATATGAATCATGCATGAGAGCTGTTGGCCCATTTGTTGCAACACGCACCTCATCCATCATGGCTCTCGAACCAGACGCTGTCTTGAGCGAAACGGACTTCCGCACTTACAACCTCATCAAAGGTCAGCAATCATCCCTGGACCAAGCCTGTCTTTGCACCAGCTGACACCACCCCAGAATTCATCACACTATTGCCGAGATGAAGAATTGCAGGAATATATCTAGTACGCCGCGAAGCCAACAAAGAGAGCACAGGCAACAAGGCGAGCGATTTCATCGGCTATCGAGCCGCCGTAGTATGTGCAGAGTCGAAACCTGTCTATGTCATCGAGCCAGTGATAGCAGAGACGCGATCTAAAGCGTTGAGGAAGCTTCTCGAGGCGTAGGCAGTGGAGATGGAAGAGACGCTTCAGTTCCCGGAACTCGATGGGTATCTCGAACGCTTGGAAGCTGCCTCTGTGCTCGGAGACACCAATGATGTGCGCGAACCTGGTGGGGCGGCGCATGAAGGTAGCAAGCGCGCTAAGACGGGTAAGAAGAGCGTAGGAACCAAAGACGAGGAGGCGGTGTCGTCGACTGAGGATGAGTTCGCCCACGACTTCCAAGAGGCACATGTTCTAAAGGCTCGACGAGTAGTAGGTACGAGGAGCACCTGCGATCAATCTTAGCGATGAAGATGCTGAAGAGCCAGTACTGGAGCAGCGGAAATTGCAATCTGGCACCAAGCTGGGTGAAGTCAAGCGCAAGCGCAAGGAATCTGTCACTGAGAGCGACCAGGAGACGGAGGATGACAACAGTGTGGTGGATTCGAAGTGCGTTGGGAAGCAGGCAATGAAGGCGCCGGAAGAAGCTGGAGTGCAGAGGGGTAGGAAGCGCGGAGGCAGGGGAGGAAGGCCTGAGGCGTAGATCTCTAATAGTCATGATATTGGGTCGATCCAAGTCACAGTATATCACTGAAGGGTATGAGGCAGCAGCACACCATGGGCCTAGAAAACTTGCGAGAGGATGGGATTATGGGTTGGACATGGCTTTGAGCAAGTTGTGCGCGAGAAAGCTCGTTCTCATGCTATTTACACGAGCAAGTCCCACGTCCTCGGCGCTTCACTTGCTGGCAGTACGTTTTCTTATGCGTATGGCAACTTTGTCGAGCGGTCGCAGCATGCCAAATGCAGCTTCCTGCACCGGAGGCAGCACCGCGTCGAATAGCTCATCATCGCAGAGCTGGATCTCAAACTCATTGAACAGGACCGCGATAGTCATTGCGTGTACCGTCCTCACATAATCGCGACCAAGAATTGGAGGTTGGCCGCTTCCCAGGGTCATGTTCAGTGACTCCAAGCCTTCCATGCTGAATATTGTTTCGCCAACACTACGTCCTTTCGTTCCTGGTTTGGAACTCGAGCGTTCTCCGACTAGAAAGCGTTTCGGCCAGAAACTGGTAAGCGGTCTTTCCACGGTTTGTGCTCGCACGTTACTCCACGCTGTCGTGTTAAGTGCCATGTCGTGCGATATTGCAACAATGTGGGTGTCCGCAGGTACAGCCCAGTGCTCATCGAGTGCCAAAGTCTTTTGAGTGCGGAGGGCTGCGATTGCTGCTGTACGTAGTCGCATAGTCTCGGCAAGCAGCGACTCCATTAATGGCATCCCCACCAGACCCTGGATGTTATATGTTGCACCATGGGAGGGGCTGTAATGAAAGAGGCCGGCTGTAAACTCATCGACAAACTCTGCCGCCCTCGCAACCTCTAAGAGCGACCAAATCGTGCATGGAACCATGGCTGATAGTGAACTAGAATAACGGTCAGCCTCAGCGCCGTTAGGAAGTCACCATTTATCAAGCTTACTCATGCATAATGCTCAAAGCTTCTGTAGCACGCGCTTTCATATCCAAGACGTCGATGTTGCTAAGGACGTGATTTCTCTCTTGAAAAAACTTCGAACCCTTCATTGCATCCCACGTCGGATCTTCGTCAGCGATTCTTGCAGACTCTGAACCACCGAGGTTCGCTCTCAACCACTTCTGGATGCCAAGCAGTAGGCGATCTCGGGCTTGTATCGCCGCTCCTGGGACCCAATAACGTGGCAAACCTGGTACGAAGCCTTCAATTGTGTCAGAAAACTCCAAGTAGTCCTTCATGACATTGGGGTACTGCTTGAAGAGATCCAAGCCAAAGATAGAGACCAGGATACAGCGCGTGACCACTTGGCGGAAGAAAGCCCAAGTATCTTCAATCTGTGTCCAACTGCCCACTTGAAACATCTTGTCGTGGAGATTTTGTGACAAGATTGAGACATAGGTCTCGGCGTTGTTCAACAACATCGCCCCAGTAAAGTGCTTCTCGGTCAGAGCGACATGTGCGTACTGAAGGTCTTTGATATCAGCTTCTAGTCCGGCTTTCCCCGCGTAGAGGTTTAGAGCAGCTGCTGGCAAACCGTACACCTTATCGAATAGCTCCAGATGGAAGGCTGTTGGCGTAATTTGGCGGGATGCATTACAGACTTTATCGACGTGCTTTGGATCTCGCACAATCAGGAATGACTGTGGTCCTGCATTGACGAAGAACGGGCCGAATTCGCCGTAGTCTTGTCTATCCTTCTTTAGCGCACGCATACTGGCGGATAGTTGGCACATACATGAGCTGTGCGAAATATTTCTGTGGTCCGACCGAAGCCAGTCCGAATGCATGGAAGACAACCGGCACCTGGTATGGTATAGTTGGGGGTATCTTGCCGGAAGCCTTGCTCTGTATTCTTTGCCGAAAAAGTGCTGACGTGACATAGTATGTTATGACAGGAAGTAGGACAGAACATCCGAAGACGGACAGAACCACTCCGATATTGAGAAATGCCATTGTGTGTACCAGCCAGCTGACAGTTGTCACGCAACAACTATTGACAAATGTTGCTGTCCGGGTGTGGTGTAAGCATGTACGCACAGTCTGATTAAGTATACACAAAAGGGAGCCGAATTATTTGAGCGAGTCCTGTGCCTCGGTTTGGAGCAGAAAATCTAGATATGACGGTCTTTAGAAGATGGTGTCGTGTGAACGTTGTTGCGATTGCAGCTCAATTGGGCCGAGATTGGCTAGCGGCGGCAGATTTTCGGCAGAACAACCAATTGATCATGTCATCCCCGAGTGTCCCTCATTCTCCCGATCCTGACAACACAGTCGAGACAACATGGGACAATCACACCATTTGTTCAGCTCCTAAGACACATGCTCGATCATGTGCGATGCGGCAAACTCTCACTAAGCTCATACGATGGCAGGTTCATGAACCCACGCGAGGCATGTGCACCAGAAAGCTTGCTGTCTCTCATCACGAGCATTGCAGACGTGTCGATATATACAGAGGTCTTCAGCGATATGAAATGAAAGATCAGAGTTCTTTCTGCGCAGAATTTTCGCTAAACTACCAGTACACATTGCTCTTACTGCAGTAGGTACCCGCGAAGCCCAAGATGATCTCGTCAAATCTTTCGTTGAGAGCCTTGTCTCCACACGAGCCCTCGCCGAAGAGCGCATCGCCGAATTCAAGAGACTGAACACCGACCCGGACATCGCTGCAGTTTGGCTTGCCAACAAACTTAAGCGAACAATCGGGGAATACCCAAGAATTTACGATCAGATGGTTGCACTGGCTCACGCTGAGGTGCTGATATCGGAAGAGATGCAAGCAAGTTCGTGGAAGAGTGCAAACAGGCAAGGGACTCGAGCTTGGATAGGCGTCAGAAGGTTATCAACGCAGCTCTAAAAGAGCTAAAGAAGTCAGGCGAGAGGTACATCGCAGAAATGGCGAAATCACGTAAGCGTGCTGGATTGGACAATGTCTGTACAGACTGAAAAAAACATGACAACGAATTCGTAATCGTAATTGTCTGCCGGTCGTATGTCAAGATATCCCTAGCTCTTGCGTATTTGCATTCGTCTTACTCACCACGGTGACTTTAGGTTGCAAAATCCCTGGGCCGCGTACGAAATTGCGCAGTATGATCAAGTCTTGTTCCCTCGTAGCTTCACCTCGTGTCCCTTTGGATGCACTTCCCCTTTCAATTTTGATGTTAGGCAGGGTCGCTATTCCTCCCGCCAGCCGCCAGCTGCTTGAATAACGCAAGCTGTAAACGTACGGAGCCAGACGTTACCTGCGACAAATCAACGTTCTTATCATACTACATACCTCCGCCATGGGCCACAGCTCGTCGAAAATCCCACAGCCGCCACTACCTGATATCCTTATCGACCTTTCAACTCCTCCAGACAAGGTGTATAGACCCGACGATGTTGTGACTGGCAACATTACCTTGGTTCCGAGCGTCCCCCTTGTACCAGACGCAATTGAGGTGTCGCTCTTCGGGAAATCGCTTGTGTGGTATCGTGCGGCTACAGTGATCAACAACGTCACGCACTACTGGCATTGGCGCGACGATAGACCCTTGTTCGAGATCACGTCGATTGTCTTACCAAATGTACACACGGCTGCGCCAATACTTTCATCTGGGGAGTCCTATACATACCCATTTCAATTTCGATTCCCTTCAAGCGTAAGCAACAGTCGCTCAGGGCAGTACGAGGACGACCATGGCACGCGATGGACTGTTGACCATCATTTGCTCCCTCCTAGTTTCTTGCATACGAGCAAAATGGGTGTCGTTGCGGGCGAAGATGCGAACTATGCAAAAATCGAGTACGGCGTACGTGCGAGGCTGAAATACTCCCGGTACTGGAGTCGCAAAAGGTCAGAACATCCACGATCTGAAGGTTACAGCACCAGTGCTGTTCGTCCACCGAATTTCTCACCCAAATATTTCACAGGACCCCCCCCAGTGCTACAAGATACTTTCAGCCTTTCAGCATGAGATCTTCGGCCCTGAAGGACCAAGCGTCATCGTCCATTAGCTTTCGCCAACACGTACGTGATCGCCTGTCATCCAGCACACCGAAATTAGACTTCGAGATATCACTCGAAATACCGCAAGCCCTCGCGTCAGGCTCAGAATTATGTTTACGGGTCTTCTTCAATGTCATTTCCACAACAGAGAGTGCATCACACATCCCTACCGTACAGTTCACTATCCTCAACCTGTACTTGCAGGAGTTTATTGCCATCTGTGCCCCCTCGGATAAAAAGGCATCGGACTCTTGTAGAGGATACTATTGGAAAATATATACGAAAACATGCAACCTCCCATCACACCTTTCTCTGGTCAAGAATTTGTACCCTCAAGCAAGGAGAAGATACATCTCAACAGCATACCACCATCTGCGACGCTGAATCTCCGAGAGACACCGAGCGAGAACGGGGAAGCCTCGCAACGAGCGAGTAGCTGCGACACGTGGTTCAAGGCACGCATACCAGGCTTCACATCCCCAAGCTTCAAGAGCTTCGCAATCACCCGGGCATATATGATCAAAGTCAAAATTTGCATTGGGATTGGCGGGAAGAAGTTCGAACATGAGGTCAAAAGCGACGTTGAGATGGATAGTACGCCGGAGTACTATCCTAACGCAGCTTGGACCGAATTGGCAAAACGCAGGAAGGATAACAGGTTGAAGACATGGGAGCAGAAATCGCGTTGGCTTTGGCGATGTGAGACGCGTGGCTTGTCGAATTGCATATTCGATACTCATTCCTGTTCTGTACTTCTCGTGCCTCCTTGCGTGTCCTTTGGGTTGCAAGTTCGCATACCATGTTTTTTATACTTTTTATCACTACACTTGCACTGAACTCGCGTTTATGCGACCATGTATCTTTCGTGATAATACTCTCTGGACACAGAACCGCCCCTATACGATTTGAACAGAAAGGCGCTCATTGAAGAAACGTCTAGGACGCCCCCGACCGGCTTGCTCTGGTATCGTCGAAGTCAGTTTCGGCGGCACGCTGCCTTGGTCTTTTTTTGGCTCACATACACTAGTAGATCAGCTTTAATTCTTTTAACTTCCCCCGTGGACAGAATCATCAAGAATGGAAGGTGTGAACTTGGATGGTTAGCTTACATAATTTAGTGTAGTCGTTATGACTCGTTCGGTCACCGGAAGCCCCTCACCCCCTTCAACAACGGCCGTACTACTATGCCTGGCATCGAATCCAGCCTGCTCCGAGTCCAATACGTTCTGAAACTCATCCACCAACGATACATCGGCTTGGCTACCAGTGTAATTCTACCCTGTCCACGTCCGGAACCATTATACTATCCGTTAGACCTCCTTTGCGACGGAGCGCGCCCACCGCGCGTCGTTCCTTCATGCGCAACCTCATTCATGTTCATGCGACCTCGCCGATTTTGACTAGTCACACGAGGGTGAGCACGGTGGAGATGCCATGCCGTTTCTCGTGATAGATAGAATACAGCCACTCTGTCTCTGCCTGTGGCACAAGGTCTCCACTGGCAAAGTCATGGCTACGCTTGGGCTGCTGTCGCGCAACACAACTGATCAGCCTGAGGTAATTAGTTTGAACATCTTTCTAGTAGGAAAGCGTTGGACCCTAGTGCTATCATTTGTCACTTCAAAAGCCTACTGGAACGACGATCACCGACGATTCGTTAGTAGCGCAGCTTGTGGTTTCGTCCGCGCACATGCGACAAGGCATGAACGGTACCTGAGCTCACTGCCGAGGCTGGATACAACAACACCATAGATGAGAGGTTACTTTCCCACACGGATTTGTGGTGAATATGGGGATGGTTTGCTACCCCGCGTTTTATCCCCGGATTGTCCTTGTTAGGAAATGACTCCGTCAGCATGGATGTGCATAACCAACGCATTTCGGCTGATCTCCGTGCAGTCTGACCGGGAACCCGGGTGCGCAGAGACGTACCAAGCCCACAAATGCCGTACGATATACGACGCCATCTGGTAGGATCGTACTGAGCCCAATGGTCGTGTCGTCACTGCGCGATGTGACCTTTGCTATCTTTTCGCTGGGCTTGCGCATCGCAGGACCTTTGGAAAATTGAGCGTTGGTCGAAACAGCTGGTGAAAGGGGTGGATAAAGTCTCTATGGACCGGATGCATTGATCCGACATCCCAGTATACAAGATGCGAACGCCATGATTCGTCTACATGCTACGCCCGGTATTCTGCGATTCGTAGATGGTACCTCGTGACCTCCTACAACCTTGAGACCCAAGCGCCCTTAGCCCTAAGGCGGCGACGCACCGTCTTTGCTTGGTCCACCTTACTTCGGCCGCGTCTTTTGGCTAGCACTATGCTCGGCACAGCCTTCATTGGTCAAAGTGTACAGAAGCTTTTATATTGGGACTATCGGAATTTGCAGAGCCTGATGTAGTACGATCTGCGATGCCAGGCATGATGGTTGGTATACCAGCCAGGGGCATGCTGCACGAACAGGAGACTTGCATACTTACTCTCAAAGCCTCCAGTCACCTGAACATGCTACGGTGTCGTTCACCGAGGAAGTTGCGAAGGATCTATTGACTTCCAGCTTGTGATTAATTCATTGTTAAGTCCTATATAGGGCGGGTGGTGTACATCATTCAAGCTTCAAGCGCTACCTCAAGCGTGCCTGCACAGTTCCTCCATTCACGAGCTTTGTATCTTGCAAGCCATCATGAAGCTCGCAGCAGTTCTCGCCCTCCTTCCTCTGGCTCTTGCAGCCCCAGCGCAGATACAAAAACGTGCGGCACCTACTATCATCGCACCCGCTGCACAAGCCACTGTCGGTGGTAAAGACTTGTTGGGCGTCGAAACCTTCAATGGTATTCCTTATGCTCAGCCACCCGTTGGCCAGCTCCGACTCAAGGCGCCTCAGCCTCTCACCTCTGCTGTAGGCAAGGTTGACGGCACCGCTTCTCCACGAGGCTGCCCACAATTCTTCTTCAGCACCGATCAACAAAACTTCCCAACGAATGTACTTGGAACACTTCTCAACACACCTCTTTTCCAGACCGTTACGAATGCCGGTGAGGACTGCCTCACGATCAACGTCCAGAGGCCTTCCGGAACGAAAGCAGACGCCAAGTTGCCAGTACTCTTTTGGATCTTCGGCGGAGGATTTGAACTTGGTGCCACCTCTATGTACGATGGCACTTCGCTTGTCGCCGAATCTGTCGCTCAAGGCAAACCCATCATCTTCGTGGCTGTCAATTACCGCGTTGGAGGCTTCGGCTTCATGCCAGGCAAAGAGATTTTGGCCGATGGATCCGCGAACTTGGGCCTTCTCGACCAGCGCCTTGGTCTACAATGGGTGGCAGATAACATTGCCGCGTTCGGTGGTGACCCAGACAAAGTCACAATCTGGGGCGAGAGTGCCGGTGCCATCTCGGTCATGGATCAGATGCTGCTCTACGATGGCGACTTTTCGTACAAAGGAAAGAACTTGTTCCGTGGAGGCATCATGAATTCGGGGTCGATTGTGCCAGCGCAGAAGGTCGACTCAAAGAAGGCTCAGGCCATCTACGACACAGTTGTAAAGGCAGCAGGCTGCTCTGGATCCACCGATTCCCTCGGGTGCCTGCGCAATGTTCCCTACACGAAGTTTTTGCAGGCCTGCAACAGTGTTCCTGGGATTCTGGGCTATTCTACCGTCAACCTATCATACCTGCCGCGTCCAGACGGCAAGACAATTACCGATTCACCCGAAACACTCGTACTCAATGGCAAGTATGCCAAAGTTCCCTTTATTGTGGGCGATCAAGAAGACGAAGGAACGCTTTTTGGTCTTTTTACGCCAAATCTTACCACCCAAGCTGAGGTATCAGAATACTTTTCGACCGTTTTCTTTGACCAAGCGACAACAGCCCAGATCGATTCACTTGTCGGAACATACCAAACCATTACCGAAGACGGTTCCCCATTCCGTACCGGCTTATTGAACAACTGGTACCCACAGTTCAAGCGTGTCAGCGCAATCCTTGGCGACATCACTTTCACAATTACTCGTCGCATATTCCTCGAGCTTGCTTCCGCTGTAAACCCAAGCGTGCCATCATGGTCGTATCTCGCTACATACGACTACGGCACGCCCATTCTCGGTACTTTCCACGGCTCGGACCTCTTGCAAGTATTCTACGGCGTGCTGCCAAACAATGCAGCGAAGAGCATCCGAGGCTACTACTACTCATTCATATATGAATTGGATCCGAACAAGGGCAACAACCTTGACGACTGGCCGCAATGGAGTCAGTCAAAGAAGCTGCTCAATTTTGGAGCGAACAGGAATAGCCTGTTGGATGACAACTTCAGGAAAGATACCGAGGATTGGCTGAAGGTCAATGTAGGGAGTCTACGGGTGTGAATGCTCATTGAACATAAATTTTAATGAATGTCAATATTTTAATCCAAACGCTTGCTAAAACCTTGCTTTTCCCTCGTCGAACTGTTGCTCTTCTGCACGTTTTGCAGATGTTCTCCTAATCGTTGATATAAGACCGAAGTCTCATGCATACAGATGTGCAAAGATCCACGTCTCATGCACGCATCTTCGCACTCGCGCATGTCGCAGAGACCTGCATATGACAGTAACCAATCATACCGAAGGGATATGCCCGGAACGTGCGGACGGAATGCGCGGATGATCTTCAATGAACCTAAAGGTGTCCACGGGTAGCCCAGATGTCTTGGTATCGTCTTGGGTTGGGACAAAGATCATCATGGCTGTGCTTCCAAATTGTCGGGACGTCTCTACATATTCCTGCGTTGTCTGATGCGCTTTTGACTCGCAACCCCCACTGCTCGTGCCGACGTAAACAATAAGGCCGGAAGTCGCGTTCGCATTCGTTTGCTCGGGACCGGGGACGTTGGCGGCCCGAGATCATGTATGTGTCGCGTGTGCTAGTTTTAGTCAAAGTGTCATTAGCTGTGGGATCTGCGCATTTCGGATGGCGATCTCGTTTCGATGCTCCGGCTTTTGAGGTGTGGGGCCGGGCAGATACCAAAGGCGTAGCGAGAATATTAGTGTAGTATAGATATGCAAGTGTAGAGTGAAGCATATTTGGAAGCTTTCTTCAATTTACCAAGATGAAGAATGCTAGTTCGTGATGTCTGAGAAAGAGGTCTGGGAAGACCAGATTACGATGCTGCCATATCATCCGACCTTTCCTGCAACGCGTGTGTTTGGCACCATTTCCATGCACTCCAATGTCTCATTTTGCAACGCCATTTTTCTAGACCGAATTGAACACAATTTCACGCGCATAGATAACTGTTTTGAATACGTAGAAGCATTCCCGTTCTATCATTTCTCACCAGATCGCCGAATCACATTCTTATTATGCAACCTCTTTCGATGGACTCTATCCTGGATAGGCTATGCTCCTATGTCGTGTCAGTCAATGATCCTACCATGCCTCATGCCTCTTACTCAATTTCTTCCTGCGTACGTCAGCATAGCCAGAATGAAATTGATCTATTGACATACCTCGTCTAATAACCTTGGAGACCAATATTGCCAGGCGTGATGTTCGACCTGTAGCGATTCAGCACAAATCTTGGCTTTGATGGTGAGCATGCGAACATTGTACTGTACAACTGCATCCCCACCGAACAATTTTTCGAGCAATGCCACTAGCTTCTCTTTGCGTACATAACGCGAAGCGAGCATAGATAGCATGTAGCTCTCGGGTACTCCTGCTGGAATGGCGGGCTTTGCGTAGCCCTCTGTGTTCGACTGTGATTGTAATGGCTGTGCGGTCGGTCTCGACGTCCGCACGTCAGTGAGCGTTGATGCCGCTAGAACATAGAAGTTAGTATTAAAAGACGAGGTATAATCAATCGCATGGAACTTACGCAGCTGGTCAACCCCATCTACTCCCACTAATCCGTTGTTTTCGTTCTTCTCCTTGACCACAGCTTCAAAATTCATATACTCATCGTCAGATATATCCGGATTGTTTGCAGCGTTGAAAGGATCTTCAGAACCGATGATTTCATCATTGGATGACCCCAGATTGCTCGCAGCACCACCCGATATTGATGAAACATCTGCTTCATCGCTTTCGTCACCTTCTTCGTTATCATTCATATGCGGAGGAATAGCAAAAAGCGAGAGCTGTTCGTGATGTTTGCCTAGATGACGACGGAGCTGAGTAAGGGAACGCTGTTTCTCCGTACAAAGTGGACAGCATGCTTCTTGATCCATCGAATACTGTCTTTCACAGCTGCGCACTATATCTTTGATACGAGCTTTCCTGGCAAGCTCAGCGTGTTTGCTTTCAATGTGCTCGTACAGCTCATTCGAGCATTGAAAAACCGTATTGCATCCTATGATACACTCCCAATACTTGCGATGGGCCTGCAACTCGTGTTGAAACCATTCATGTCTTGACTCATACGTATGGTCTGGCACCCGACAGCCAGAGGCTGTACATACATATGGCTGTAGATCAGTGTAAACATGCTTGTGCCAGGCATGTAAATGCTTAACAGACGTAAACCGAAAGCACAGAGGGCACTCAAAGGGCTCGCCGTTCAAGCCGTGCTCTGGTAACTTTGGAGGCCGTATTTTGGAGGGGTCGCTGTTTGAGGATGCATATGAAGTTTGGGAAGCTGCATCTTCATCGGGAGGAGTAATCCCAAAATCAGGTACTATGATGCTTTCCTTGACCGCTGGCGCAAGCGAAGACGCCACGGTGCTATTGGCCCACTCCGAAGTTGTTGTATCAAGGTTTCCAGCGTTTTGTGGAGCTTTGGAACCTTGTGGTTTCGGTTCCAGATCCAAGTCTTCCCCCAGCTTCATTCTATGCTCTTCTCGATAAACCAGATATTGCCTTCTACGCGATATTGCTCTGCCAAGTCGGAGTACGAGGTATTCTGGAGCATCTGGAAACTTCTCCCGTACATGCGCAATATCCCACGGCTCTTGAGGTGGATCGTTCATTTGCCTCGAGTGTCTAAATCGATCGTGGGGTGCTGGGTTTCGGATAGCGATCGAGAGGCGCATGAGGCAAACGATCACTTCACTCATGTTGGAGATGAGTTGCGCAAGTTCCGTTGGTGGGTGTTCTTCCGAGAATTGTGATCCAATGTTGGAGGTATCTGAGTCTGAATCGGAATCGGTCATATCTTCCCAAGACATCTGCTGCCCAGTGATGATCTGGAGCATGTCTTGTAGGTCGTGCTCGAGGTGCTGTAGAAGCTCTATAACTCTGGTTCGTATGTGAGACGCTTCCCGCAGCTTATAATCGAGTGAAGCCCTTCCCTTGTGATGGGCTCCGATGTTGCCGACCCATAGTCGGAAGCGACCAAGTAAGTCGTTTGCCACACTTGCGGGCAATTTGACGCGGACTGTGGGTTCAGCTGATGCTAAACTCCCGTGTACATTGCGGAAATCCACCAAACATTTGCTGACTTGATAAGAGATCAAGATGGGGTCTGTGGCTATATCAGACATGTTGCACAGTGCGGGGTTACCCGATGCAAGTCAGCTGATAATAGTGCAGAAGTTCGTCTTAGCTAGTAAACTATGACATGCTAGGACTAACTGTCACTATGATCGAGGTCTATGATAATTTGCGTTGTATAAGATGCGTGGAAGATGATTGAGTAGTGACTGTGGTCAGGCTGGTCGTGGACTATGGGGATCTTTCCTGCGGGTGACAGGTCATGCGTTACATGCACAGTTACATGTACACAACACTCTCCTCAGCTGATCTACCCCGCAACCAAGTTCGAACTCATCCTTCATCATATGAAGCAAACAGAAACTCAGCTTCTCCTCTATCTCTTGTCTTTACACGGACGTAAACGAAGATGTCGGGCCTTGAAATAGCAGGCGTCGTTCTTGCAACGGTGCCGTTCATCATCGCTGCCCTGGAACACTACGCCACTGGTAAGTGTCTTACGTAACAAGAATATTAGCATTGCATATCTTGGAATCTTGTAACCTCCAAGAATCCGAGAACGAGTGTTGTTTTAACTTAATGATTGGCTCAAAAGTGAAAATTGACGGCGTACATAGGCATCGAAACTGCAAAACGATACTTCTGCTACAAGCGGGAGGTGCAATCCACCATCCTCTCTCTTCAAACATACTACACGATATTCACCAACACGCTAGAGCAGCTACTAGGAGGCATTATCAGAATAGAGCACATGGCCGATTTCATCTCAAATCCAGGTGGCGACGTATGGCAGGACGCGACCATCGATGCGAAGCTGCGCGAGAGGCTTCGAAATGCATACAAGGTCTATTTCGATAATGTTACTGGGATGGAAAAGTCGATGAAAGAGATCATGAAAAAGCTTGGGCTCAATGCGCAAGGAAAGGTGAGAAAGTTTGCGAACGCCTCACCTTAGAACATTGCTGATGTCATACTTATCAGCCGCAAGATTCCGACCCAAGTCACTTCAAGAAAGAATTACGCAAACTGCAGTTTTCTCTTACGAAAGCCAGATACTCTGAGCAGCTCGAAAATCTAAATAAATGCAACGATGCTCTGACGCAACTCACAAGGCAATCGTTGGATCTTGAATCCTCTCGGTCCGAAAAGACGTCTCTTGTTTGTCCAAACTTTGATGCGCTTCGAAGCTACGCCCGCAATCTCTTCGACACGTTGAGATGTAGTTTGAAATGCAGCTGCAACGATCACGCTGTTAAACTTCGTTTGGAAAGCAGGAGTGATAAGACCGATAGGGAAGATGACCTTCTCGCAAATACATATTTTCGCGTCATCTTTACGCACAATGTCACTTTGACATTGTCTACAGATGCCGCGTGGAAGGAGGCCGATATCCGATGGATCGCGGAAAAGCCACTTCGACTTCCCCTAGCACCACAGTCAACGCACTACAAGGCAGGCAAGGCAGCCCGAACAGTACGATTCGATACGTCCCACGATCAGGCGAACAGTTCGACAATCACGCTTACGGATACAAGTACCAGTACCCTCAGCTCCAGCCTTCGAATAGAAGATCTTTGTAAAGCAATCGAGGGTCTCCATTTACATCAATCGCAGGCAAATGTGTGCGCAGGGTATCTAGTCGACAACCTCCAGCGCAAACAGGGGATCTACCCATGCCAGCTCCCGACTTCCCAGGACAACCAGAAGCAGTGGAGTGCGTATACCTTGCGACAAATTCTTACCCAGCCGGCCGGGACTGGGCCAAAATTAGCGCTGGTCGACACATACAAGATAGCTCTTGATCTGGCATCGAGTGTACTGCAACTCTACGAGACCCCATGGCTCAGCAATGATTGGAGCGATGCCGATGTCTACTTTGTGCATCGCCCGGGCACTTCACTAGCTACCGCATATCAACATCCGTTCATCTACCGTGATCTCTCAACTGCCACAAGTCAAGACTCCGTCACTCAGCTCCCGACCGACAGCCTGATCAGAAACCAAGTTCTCTTCGCTCTAGGCGTAGTACTTATTGAACTCTTGTATGGAATGCCTATCGAAGAGCTACAAACGTCTCAAGATGCCAGTAGTAGCTCAGGCATAGCTTGGCGTGTCGCGGAACGATTGATTCGAGAGCAGCAAATTGAGCTTCGAAGTGGGATACACTATGCAAACGCAGTGAGGAAATGCATTCGCTGCGACTTCGACATGGCTCAGTGGAGGCTAGAAGACCACGACTTCCAGCAAGCAGTCTACAGCGGCGTGGTGGTGCCGCTAGAAAGGACGCTTCGGCATTTCACTAGCATTTGAAGTAGAGTAAAGCAAGTGATTTTGCAAGATTATCGTACTTGTCCCATACAAAAATTCCCTTCATCGCCAAATATCCCTAGTCATTATATACAACGAATACATCAAACTTCTCACAAATACATCATTCTATGCGCTCAAATTTGCGCTTAACATCCACTAGGCAGCGCCGTGCTTCCTGTCCTGGCGGTCGAGCTGTACCTCGCACCAGAGCCGAGACCACGCTTCGCGAAACCCTTCCAGATATCGCACTTGTTCGCACCACCGGTAAGCGCAACATCAGCATCGAGGATAGCGTCACGAGCCTGGACGAAGTTGGGGCTGCAAGGCTGGCTGTGATGTTGTCAGTAAGGGAGTCTTTGAAAAGGGGAGGTGTGTGGGGAAGACTTACAGCGCCATGCCGTCGACAACCAACTTCATCGCCAAGTACTTGCCATCAGTAGGCGCACCGTTCGCGCCGAAAGTAGGCTTCGCGCCATCGTTCTTGCCGTACCTGTCGATCAAGTTCCACATGACCTCGTACAACATGGTAGCCCAGACGGTTCCGATGGGGTGCACACCCCTGAGGTTGTTCACATCAGTGTACTTGTGGGGGTTGGTGGTCAGCGAGGTGGAGTACGGGTATGTGCGGATACCCTTAGGGTCGTTGGCGATCCACGAGCCCATGGTGTAGTCCTTAGCGCGGGTGTCGCCGGCCTTCAGGCGGATCGCGGTCGCCATGAAGTCGCCCCAGCCCTCGCCCATGCCGCCAGACTCGAGTGCGTTGAGGCAGTTGGAGTTAGCGGGGCCGCCGGTCAGACGATTGGAAAGACCGTGGGTGTACTCGTGGATGACGACGCCAGCTTCGAAGCTGGAGTCGCGGTTAGGCGTCGAGAGGTCCCAGAGGAACATGCGCATGCGGCCGGGCTGGCCATCTGGTGGGGTGGCAAAGTTGGCGTTGTTAGTGTCAGAGCCATCATGGGTGTTGAGGATGACCATGTCGTTGCCAGACCCTCCTGCGCCGTTGTTGTTGACCTCGAAGTTGCCAGCCCTCTCGTTGAAACCAAGGCTGTGGAGAAGATCGTGGTAGACGTTGGCAGTGTAGAATAACTGCGTAACGGAAGCATCAACATATGTTGATGGTGGAGACATTTGCAGAGTGTAAGGGTAGCTGAAGTTCTGGCTGGTGCTTGTGGGGCGGTAGTTGCTCAGGTAGTCTGATCCTCCATCAGTGTTGGATTGAGCAATAGCGTTGTTACCGCGGGGCACGTTGTAGGTAGTGGTTCCAGTTCCTTGCCAGGTGAACTCAGATGCCGTGGTGTCCCAGGGGTTAGTCACCACAGCGCGTGAGCCTTCAGTGGGGTCGTTCAATCCCCAGGGGCTATGTATATTTAGTATGGAAAAGCTTTGGAAGGTCATTCAACTTACTAGACTTGGTAAGTGGCATCCGCAGAGTAGTCAACGACACCGTGGATCTCCTGGTTGGTAGCAGCATCGACATATGTCAACAACCAGTTGCTCATGATGTCGGTCTCAACACGCCATGTAAGCGCAAGGTTGCCATCGGACTTGACCAGGTAGACGAGCTTGGCCTCTGGGTCCTTGACCGCACCAGAAGTGCCCTTGAGGGTAAAGGTCTCCTTGGCACCGGTAGACTCAGCAGAAGCCTTCTCAGCAGTAACAGCGAGCTGAAGCTTGTCGTTGGCGGCCTTCAAAGCATCGACTGGGTCCGAGAAGTCGCGCTTCTGCAGTGGGTTTGCAGGGATAGCGCCGGTGTAGAAAGAGTTTCCGTATGAGAAAATGGATCCATCCTTGGCAACCTGATGTTTGTCAGCAGTGTTGAAAAGCAAAGAGAATCAAATGCCTTACGTTAATGTTGAAGTCGGCGTTGTCGATATCGAGTCCGTTGGCAGTCTGCTTGAAGTTGACATGTGCAATGCCGTTCGAGCCGACGTAGTGGTCTTCAACGACACGGAAAGTGGCATCTTTGGCAACAGATTTGACGAGCTCGGTGGCTGTCTCGAGATAGTCGGCGCGCTTAAGGAACCTGAGGCTGGGCTCAGACACAGCTACGGTGGCGTTCACGTACTCGGAAGTGGCTGTGAGGCGGAAGGCGTTGATGTCAACGGCACGGCGCGTGAGAGCGTTTCCGTGGGAGGTAGGGTGGGATGCGGCGAGGGCAACTAAGCCAGCACCGGCCAGCAAGGAGGACAACATGTTCAGCGAATGAGATGGAAGATGCGGTCTCGATGTTTGGATGATTCAAAAGTAAGTATCAGGGTACTCTCGACATTTTATACATAAACGACATCGTCCCACTGCGCGCGGTCTCGTCGCTGGTGGGGGCAATGTTACGGTGGTGGGCGTCGTGAACTTCCTAATTGGGAAGCTCGAGCAAGATAGTGTAGGTGTGTGCCTAGCCTGGGAAGAGCCGTCCGACAGTGGCTCATGTCAGGTCCACGAAAAGAGCTTCCTCTTTGGCAAGACCTCCGTGGCGTACACTCCGATGTGTGATATTTCTAAGCGTAGTCGGCGCCAGAATACCTCCCAGACGATATCACTTGCCTGTTCGATGACCACAGACCCGTATTGACGGCGGCTTGGCTGGCAGCCCATGCAATATTACAAGTTATGCGAAATGTACACCACTGTAGACTACTCGTATGGTCTGAATTCAACGACGGTATAGTCCATCGCAAAAGTGAAGCTGGTGAGGAAGCAAGCAAATAACAGCACATTGTGCGGCTATCAGGACCACTCTGCTGGAGAGCCCATCGTGAGATCCTCTCCCAAGGTTCGCTGCCAAGTAGGAATAATAGACTCTGGCGCCGGTAGCGAACCACACGCGCTGTGCTAAGCAAGCTTAACCTACACAAGATCATCGGAGTTGCCTGTGTAGTGACCTTCCTCACTCAGTGCATTGTGGCCAAGCCTATTGTTTCTCCAGCATCACCAGCAGCGGAAAGGCTGCCCCTTGGCAAGCCGGTCTTGGCTACCTTAGCATGCTCGAAACGATCAAAAGCACGCGACAATATTGGACAATAGATGAAATGTGCTGGCGCGCTGTGGGAGCCTGCAAAACATAGAAGTCGACCTTCCGGATTGGCGTAGTCACCAGGGGTCTAGTGTCGCGGTAAGAGCGATAAGCCGGTCCTGGATCGGAGATGGTACTGCCTCGTGATGCAGCATGGAGATGTCGTGCCAAAAGCTAAAAGCGTCTGCGGCGAAGATACGGGGTCGCCCGGAAGTTCGTTGAGCCTCGTGGGTGTAGCCGTGGTGGTCTCTCTCTTTCGCGCTCAAGCCAGATCGACGTTTGCAATTTCCACACTGGCGCCCCGACTTGGCATCGCGAATGTTGAAACAAATATAGAAACCAATTCAATGCACAAGTACTGCGCATATCGACTTTCGTCCGCTGGTACGAGACTGGAGTCGCTCTACTGTCATCGTCAACATGCAGTCGCTCGAGCTGCATCCGACCAGAAAGGGGCTTCGACCGACACGCAGGTTGCCACAAGAATCGCTCATCACAGTGTCGAATGACCGCATCACACGGTACGTGCTGCTTACATCTGACGACGTTGAAGATCGTGCCAGCTGAGCTGTGTGCTTTGGTGGTGTAGGGTGATGGGCAGATGTTGCTGTTGCCATCCCCACTGGCGTAAGCGCCTCCCGCATTTCAACCCATCCCAACACGGCCTAGCCTAGGGCGCGCTGTCAGCATCTTCAAACCCAACCTCGACCTTCAAATCTCCTATTGAATACATGTCAGAGTCTGTCAGCATAAAAGCACCTCGAATACCACCGTAAAACACTTTTCGAGAAAACCATCGTGCCACGGCGACAAGCTTTCACAAGCTCTCACGCCGCGCGGCGGACCGATTTGTTTCGTCTCCAGATCTGCGACAAGACTGCTCGTTTCAAGTCTCACGGCCGTCTCCAATTTTGTGTCCGTACGAATTGGACGAGAAGCATGCATCTCCGCATGAGAGAATTCTCCGAGAACATATCTCCAGATGAGAATAAGGTTGAGGAGTCGTTCGCGAGGTGCATATTGTGAGGAAGCGTGCGTGGCTCAGCACACGGGAAGAGTGAGCTGATCGGTCCGAGATGTGACAAGTTGATCGATTGGACGAGCGGCAAATACTGGGGGAGTATAAGTTAACGTAAGACGTCCTGTAGATCGATGGATAAGTTCCACAATTCCTTTCAAACAACCATTCCTTTTAAACAACCACTCCTTTCGTCATCATCGCATACTCTCACCTGGTGTGAGCTGGACTGTCGTTTTTATCTACTTTTTGTTACTCGCAATATACCTCGCACCACTACCGGAAACATGAAGTCCTTCGCATTTCTCTGCCTCATCTCCGTAGCTCTAGCAGCTCCAAGCCCGCTCTCTTGGCGCATCAAGGCCGCCGCACCAGCTGCGCCCGCTGCGCCCAAGGTCAACTGCACCGAAGTCCAGGCCAAGCTCGAGAAAGGCATTAAAGCCAACCTTGACATCCAAGCCCAGGAGCTCCAAGGGTATGGCTTTCTCTAACTTTCCCTTGATTCTCATATTAACAACTCTTCAGTGTGCACGCTCTGCAGCTCCAGGGCGGACTCGCGGAGTTTGAGACTACGCAGCAATCCGTATTGAGCATCCAGCAGAAGGGCATCACGATCCGCGCCGAAAACCAGAAGCTGGCCGCAGAGATCAAGAGCCCAGCTGCCGACGGTTTGGCGATCGTTGCTGGCGCGCAGACGAAGGAGATGATGCAGGTCATGAGCTTGAAGGGTACGGCGGCAGATGAGGCAACACTGAAGCTGTTGGTCCAGGAAGTGCAGGACGGCACGAAGCAGAACCAGAAGAACCTGGCAGCTGCTACAAACCAGACATGTACGAAGTAATCGTAATATCACCGACGGCACAAGAAGGCGACATGGTTCATGAAATGAGTGTTCGGATTCTGGGTCGAGTCTATGCCGCAAGACCAGCATTTCATTCCCTATCTACGCACAGAGATCTCGAGAGTATTCCATCCCAAGCCCCTGCTCAAATTCGCGTTTCGTAGACTGTATAAATCCTCAATTCCATATTGTATATTGCCCGATTCTCGAGCCACGTTATGATCGTGTCGTGAACTATCGTGGAACGCCTAGATCTGGAGGCGCTCGACCTTGTCCTTGAGGGTCCTGATCTGGCCCATCAGGTCACTGGCCTCGTTCGTGGTGATGGAGGCAGCGATGACGGGACGCGCGACGCCGCACTACGATAAGTCAGTATGCGATTAATGAAAATTGCGAATGAAGTGACACGCGAACTGAAGGGAATGGCTACTGCGAAGCTCCAAATGCCAAAGCTCTATGCAGTGCACAAACAGACACATAACCTCTCAGAGACTGGCGCACATCTCTTCGAGCTGCTCGTCCGCATGCTGAGGGCGTATGGTTCGGTGAAGTGCAGAGATAAGATTTGTTATCGATTTGAAGACTCCGAGGTGGCCATCACGCCTTCGATTCGCATGTGCGGAGAGGACTTACAGCTCTGCCGAGAGCCATCTTGGATGGGACGTAGACGTAACTAATGGAGCAAGTCAGCGAATGACACAGTATTTGTGGTCGGAGAACACATACGGGACGTTCTTGTCTTCACAGAGAAGAGGGAGGTGGAGCAAGATCGCGAGCCTGCGCATCGTCAGCAGAAGTCTTACAATGGAGCAATCAATACTCACGGGCTGGTGTCGGCAGCCAGGATGATTAGTTCGCTGATGCCCCGGTTGAGCGTCTTGGTCGCTGGAATAGTTAGCATTAATATGGTTAATTGGAAGAGATGAACTCACCTTCATTGGCGCCTTTCTTGATTTGCCTGTAATGCGTGCTCTGCTGAACGAGGTCGAGGATCTCTTGGGAGAGTGCTTGGTCCGCCTGAATGGGAGTCAGTGATCGTCCTTGTGATAGAGTAACTTTTATTCAAAAAACCGACCTGGGGCCACGCTGCGCTGTTGTCTTCGGCCATTTCGAAAGGTTTACTGTTTTGCTCGCCCGTGGGGGGTTCACTGCTGTGTGGATTGAAGAGTGGTGGTGATAGTTTTCAACAAAAGTTCGGCCAAAAAGATTCCAAGCGCTAGAGGCCGGCTTGGCGGGTCACGTGCTGTGACGGCTAGCGCGCGAAGACTGCATCGCCAGCCATCGTCACCACTCACCTCAACATCACATCCGCTCTCGTCGCAGCTCCCACGACACCCGTCCATCTCCAAACACATCTCCCAACCATTACCGACGACCCGTCGACTACATAAACCACGTCCACGATGCCTTCAGAACTCTGGTGAGTCGCCCTGGAGCTCCAATGAGGAGACGTAGGCAGCTCCAGCTCGCCTCCGCGCAGATGAGCTGGAGCTTGCCATCGTCATTCCGACTTTGGAAGAGCGCTCTTTCCTATCTGGTGTGATGAATGAATGCTAATGCAACCTTCGCAGCCCCGTGTATGCCGTAAGTACGCGAGAATCACAGCTCCGCCACGCCTCCCCTTAGTCGTCATCGCAACGCGATGAACCGTTTTCTAACACGCGATAGCCCTTCTTCGGTGCGATGGGCTGCACGTCTGCCATCGTCTTCGCATGTTTCGGTGCTGCCTATGGCACCGCCAAAGCCGGTGTCGGTGTCAGCGCCATGGGTGTCCTCCGCCCTGACCTGATCGTCAAGAGTATGTCACTAGACCAAGACGAAGCTCGCAGAGTCGATCACCACGCAGTGAGCTAATACAACCCAGACATTATCCCCGTCGTCATGGCTGGTATCATTGGTATCTACGGTCTCGTCGTTTCCGTCCTCATCTCCAACGGCCTGAAGCAGGACTCGTCGCTCTTCGCCAACTTCATCCAGCTCGGTGCTGGTCTCGCTGTCGGTCTCTCCGGTATGGCTGCTGGCTTCGCCATCGGAATCGTCGGTGATGCTGGTGTCCGTGGAACTGCCCAGCAGCCCAGGTTGTTCGTCGGAATGATTCTCATTCTCATTTTCGCTGAAGTCTTGGGTCTTTACGGCCTCATTGTTGCCCTTCTCATGAACGCCAAGGCTGGTGACGAGAGCAACCACTGCTAGACAACCGACACTATATAGGATTGCAGCTACGGCAAGCTCCTGCAATCAACAACGGCGACGCGTATTTCGGCGGACAAATCCACGTTTACATGACGCGCATCCCATACGTGCGCGGCATGTTGTATGTCTACACCTGTGTTCTCTTTTGGAGTGTTCCGAGCCACAAGAAAGAGAGCTAGAATGAGAGGAGAGGTGTCATCTGGGGACGGTAAATAATGGCTTCGAATGACGAGCACTTTGCGATCCATTTGACGGCGTGTATTTTAGGGTCTCATCAATTTCATCTGCGCTTCAACGAATTCATCTGTTCTTCGGATCCAGTCCAGATTCCTCTGATGGGTCCATGTTCTCACCATTCTTTGCGGCATTTGTGCCCGACACTATACACATTTGCTAGCGCTAACTTGTGCCGACTGACAGCTTAGGCTTCGAAGCAAGGCTGGTAAACCCTACGTCAATCACGCGCTCGACCAAGAATGGTGCTTTTTCCCACGGCATGTCACCAAATGTACTATACCATAAGTCTAGACGTGCCAACAGAAACAAAAAACACTCAGTTACACCGGTTGGATATGCCGAACGAGTTTGCCTTGCGTCGCACGTTGGCTTGCTCAGGGCTGACGAGCATGTGGTACAAGGCAGCCTCTCTAACCACATGACTTAGACAGGACAGAAAAACAAACATGTCCATGGAGTATACTATGAGAAGAAGCACCGGGGCACGAGCGATAACTTCGCTGAGTCTTGCTCCGCTTGTACCTCGTGAAAGCCAACTGCCGCTCGGCAGTATTGACCGCACGTCGGCCAGCTTCCACCGATAGCTCTTTTTCACAATATCGATACTGGAGGCAGTAGCAACGTCGCGATTATTACCGATGCCATTGATGCGCCAAGATGGTCCTATTGTTCCTGCGGGAAGCTCTCCGTTTGCAGCTCGGCGGGCCGCGCGATAACCTTATTTCATTGTTCTGGAGTCTTACGTTCCACTGTGGCTGCCGTGTAGGTAGTCACTTGTATCAATGCGGATTAAGCCCCGGCGCGTGAGTAGTACAGCGGCAGGTCCCAGCGAGGACATTTGGTACAGACGAGGTAAGTTTTGCACACTTTCAGTAACTGAGTGAGTCTCCGATAGGCTGTGAGTGTTTCATTGGTCCTCATTGACGTCGATCAGCAGTCGCCTGGTACACTAGCGGTGCGGAACCTATAGGATGCTCCCGGTGCGCACTAGCGACGTGCCTGTACCATGGTACAGTGTCAACCACGTTATGTCGAACCACAAAGACGGTCATGACGGCCTGAAGCCATCCAATACACTACAGGATATCGTGCCTCATCCATTGTATGGTGTTTCTTTCTTCTAGGGCATTCTCTACAGCGCTATGTGTGGATCAATACATCGTGAAGTAGGCACACAAAGCACAATGGCTTATTGACGATGACGAGAGCGTCATAAAATTTCGGCCTGTGGAAGGTGTTGAGGTGAATGGGCGCACTGGCGCATGATCTAGGACAGAGCAAGACACTGTGACACGAATTCTCACTGACTTTCATTTGTATGGCGCACATGAGCAAAACATCATATAAGACGCTGTCCCCAAGTATGGATTCGAGCATCACAGCACAGCTTCTTAGCAACAGTCGCTTCATCACCTTCCCTGTGATCGCTATCTGTTAGCAATATCTTCTCTTCTCCATCATGGGTTTTACATCCAAGCTTTCCTTGGCCCTCTCCTTGGCTGGCTACTCAGAAGCCTTCTTCCGCATGTCATGCCCTGGCCGCGTTGTCCGCGAACGCATTGATCCCATTGTAAACCCAGGTGCCATCGCTGGCCATGTACACACTGTATCTGGCGGTGCGGGGTTCTCAATGGATATGACATATGCAGACGCTCGGGCAGCCAAGTGCTCTTCTTGTACTATCAAGGTAAATACCCCTCACAGACTTCAAACCTAATTGCTAATAACGACGATAGGAGGATATGTCAAATTACTGGACTCCCCAACTCTACGTGCACAAGAAAGACGGCACTTATTCACCTGTACCTGTCGTTGGCGATCCAAGAGATGTCAATGGCGGGATGGCAGTGTACTATCTCCAACGACCATCACCAGCTACCGAAAACCTGACTGCGTTCCCCGAGGGCTTCCGCATGCTGGCTGGTGACTCTGGCAAGCGCGATGTCGGTGCAAATGATCTAGCCACCAAGGGTATATCCTTCAACTGCCTGGGAGCCAACAAGCCCGAGACAAACAAGATCCCCGACTACCCATGCCCAGGCGGCCTTCGCGCCCAAGTATTCTTCCCCAGCTGTAAGACACTCCATGCAATCTGCACTTGAGATGTATCCTAACCGCCACCCAGGCTGGAACGGCAAAGACCTCGATACACCCGACCACAAATCCCACATGTCTTACCCCAACAGCCAACACTACGACAACGGCCCTTGCCCTGCAGGCTTCCCGATCCACACCATCTCTATCTTCTACGAGATTCTCTACGACACGGCTCTCTTTGCCGACCAGTGGAACGGCACCCAACACCCCTTCGTCTTTGCTAACGGAGATGCAACCGGCTATGGCTTCCACGGCGACTTCTTCAACGGCTGGGACGTGCCCGTCTTACAAAAAGCCATCGACACCTGCACTGACGCCTCCGGCAGCGTCGAGAAATGCGCCGTCCTAACGCAATTCACCGGCGCGGAGACGCAGGCATGCAGCATCCCCACCACCGTTAAGGAGACCATCGACGGCAACCTGTCCAAGCTGCCAGGCTGCAACACGCCCTCCTTCGGCCCTGCCCGCGCAACCAAAGAGACTTGCGACGACGCAGCCACCCTCGGCGCCGGCACTCAGAACTTCCTCGACCTCACATCCACACTCAAATGGTCGTATGCCGGTTGTGGAGGCGACAACATCGGCGACCGCGCCTTCCTCAATGCCTCCACAGGTGCCGACGACATGACGATCCAAACCTGCATCGCCTTCTGCGGCGCGCGCAATCTGCCCTACGCAGGCCTCGAGTACGGCCGCGAGTGCTTCTGCGCGGATAAACTGGACCCGCGATACGCGCCCAAGGATGGCATCATGGGCAACTGCAACTACAAGTGCGCGGGCGACGAGAGTGGGATCTGTGGCGGGTGGGCGGCGATGAGCATCTATAAGAAGTGTGCGGATGGAGACAGCTGTAAGAATTGGGATATCAAGTATGTTACTCCCCAGGCTAGCAGTTCGGCGGCGAAGGTGGTGGCGAGTTCGACGGTGGGGAGCTCAACGGCGGCTAGCTCGAGGGTTGCGACTTCGACAATCCTGGCGACGGTGACGAAGACTTTGGCTGCGGTGACGAAGACTTCGGCTGCGGCGACTGCGACTGCGACGGCGGCGAGGAGGCATGCGAGACAGGTCAGCTTCTAGTTGGGCTTTAAAAGTACGAGAGGGCGAGAGTGTTGGAGAGTGTGCTTTCATGACTTATGACCACCGGCCAACTTCTAGGTTGAGCCGCGAGAACACGAGAGAGAAAATGTGTGTGGGAGAGTGTTGCTTTTTATGACTTATGATCGACGACTGGGTTTTCTTGGTTCTCAAAAATGACTTTTTCTCTTCTTACATATATATATATATATATTGGTTCGTACTTTGTGGAATGAATTTCGGTTTCGCTTCGACATGGCTTCTTTCTGACACTTGTATGCCTCAGACTCCCATCTACTTGCCCCCCGGAAATACCAACCCATTATCCTGCCGCGCTTTATACAACACATTGAGAATATCCCGACTCAATTTCTCATACTTGCTCACTGCCCCCGCATCCCTCTCCTCAATACATCTCGCAAACTCACTTGCCTCCTCTTTCAGATTCAATTCCGCCGGCTCCTTCGCGCCCGCTAATTCAGTCCTGCTCTTGTTCTTACTATCCCACAACACCACGCTCTCGATATCCGTCACTGTAGGGATGACCAACGTGCCCTTCTCCCCGTAAATCTCCGTAGGCGCATTGCTGTTGTAGATCTTGCTGTGGCACAGATATACCGTGAAGGAAGGGTATGTGAGGATGAGTTTGCCCGCGCCATCTGCGCCAGTGGCTACTTTGACTGGGAAGTATGTAGAATCCTGCGGTGCGCCGAATAATTCGATAGCCGCTGCGACGCAGTACACGCCCAAATCCACCAGCGCGCCGCCGCCCATTTCGAGGTTGAAGATGTTGGGCGTTTCGCCGGCGAGGACTTTTTCGTAGCGGGAGGAGTACTGGGCAAAAGTTATGCTTGCGCCGTACAAGGGGCCGAGTTTGGAGATGGCGGATTTAAGGATTTTGAAGTTTGCTTCTTGGATGTGGCGGAATGCTTCGATTAAGATGACATCCTTGTCTTTTGCGATTTTGAACAGCTCGTCGAGTTCGGAGGGCGTGCTGCACGATGGTTTTTCGAGGATGACGTTCTTCCCAGCGAGCAGCATCAGTTTCGCTTGCTCGTAGTGCAGGATGTTGGGCGAGGCGATGTACACGGTTGAGATATCGGTGGACTTGGATAGCTCCTCGAGTGAGGTGTACAGAGCGATTTTCTTGTCTTCATATTTTGCCGCAAAATCTTGCGCCGTCTCTTCTTTACGAGAGTACACGGCTGCCAAGTTCCATTTTGAGGTGGCGTGGGCGGATTTGACGAAGGAATGCGTGATCCAGTTTGTGCCGATTATGCCGAAGTTAATGGGCATTTTGGTGGTTGCTGGGGTGAGGTGGTGGAGGAGGATGAAGGCGGGGGTTGAGAGAACTGAGGTGTCATGCAAAGGACAGAAATCCTTTAAGCCTCAAGTTCAAATAGTCTTCGCTTGTTGAAGTTCTAGTAAACGCGTAGCGGGCAGTCGCGTTGCAACCCCACTACAAGACGGGAACTCCGATGCCTCGACCTATGACATCAACGGCTCTCATTGGCCCGCTGTTACGATTACCGAATTGGGACAGCAGCTCAACTGTTGAGCCTCACTATTCCTGTGAATTAATTACAAAGCACGTCATGCCATGTCACGCAGCAATGCACTGTCACATGGCAAAAATCAACGAATGTGTCATATGTTCGTATTCGAGGTCGTGTGCTACTGTGTGCAGCAATCCTCCAGAGTAACTAGATATACAAGGGCAAAGCTTCCATATACGCAGGGTATCATGCTAGTGACGACGTTCAATGTCGTGGATATTTCGTACCATGTGCAGGAAAGGAGGCGGGAAATGCCTATCATTATGCAGGCAAAGAGCAAAACCAGCAGAAAGAAACAGCCCAGTTCCATGTAAACGCCAGTGTATGCAGTAAAGGAAAAACTCATGCATCTTCGTCTCGTGTGCTCAATCTTCCCAGATGGTCTCAAGGTCCAGGTCGCCGCGCCTCTCGGCTCCGCAGACACTCCAACGCTTTCGCGAGTCCCTCTTGCCGAAGCCAAAGGTGCGGCCGCGGTCAGGAATATCGAGGCTAGAGCGCCTCATGTCGCCGCCGTCTTCACGGTCAGCAGCGGCCTTCAGCTTGGCGATGCGGTCTGCCTCGATAGCTTCCTCTTCTGCGTCGGGGCTGTCTTCGATGGTCTCGAGCGATGAGATGGAGGGGCTGCGGGAGCGCATCGAGGTCGGGGTGGATGGCACGGAGGACGAGGCAAGCGAGGAGGGATAGTGCTCGTTGGTGAACTTGGCAGGAGCGAGGAGAGGCGAGGATGCAGCAGATGTCGGCGTGCTGACAGACGGCGTGCTGGTGGCTGAAGCGCCAAATGGTACGTAGACCTGGTGGAGAGGCGATGCTGGTCGTCGTCGGCGCGACAGAGAGCCGGTGCTGCTGTACAGGGTCGACACGCTGGTGCCGGCGCGGGGGGTGAGCTCCAACTCGGCGTCCTCGGAAATGTCGCACACGCTTGGTGAGCCCTCGAACGACCCGAGCGAGGCTGGGCGAATGCCAGAGCTGCGTGGTCCTACATTTAAGGGCCTGGGCTCTGGACCGCGTGGGCTGCGGGTCCGCTGTGGTGACCGCATGGGCGAGGAAGGACTGGCGAGCGGCTGCGGGGTTGGCGAGAGGGAGAGCTGTCCATGCATGACTGTCGGCAGCGAGTGGGCTCGGGTCATGGGTGGTGCACTGAGCGAGGCCGAGCTGCTGTGGGAGCGCAGGTGCGTGCGGGAGTAGGGCGAGCGGTTGCGAGGTGGTGGTCGGTACGACGAGATGTCCAAGGTAGGGTCCGTTTGCGAGCGCGGCGTGGTCGGTCGCCGCGAGGAGATGCTGTCGTCGGAGGTGTTGCTCAGCTGGCGGGAGAGGACGCTGGTGTCACTCATGCTGTCCGTGTCTTCTGGAATACTCTCTGCGCGCTTGGCTGGGAATGTTGCAGCCGCTATTGTAGGCTCTGGTAGGGAAGCAAGTGTCTTGCTTGGGGTTCGGACAGGCGTCGGTCCTGAGGCGGTGGTTGCAGACGTCTTCATGGCTTTGAGGCGCTGGACGACGTCGTCGGTTTGGTTGTTGTTGGTGTTGTTGTCCTGAGCTGCAGGCGGCAAGGACGTGAAGGGACTCATGGCAGCGAGGAGGGTGAGCACATAATAGTCTAATACTCTGGCTGCCGGCTTTCAAGGGCCCGAGGTCGGGCTAGCACAGGCACCAAGGTCGACGGTGCATGTCAGGGAGACGATCGTCTGGTCGTGTCCGTGTGCCAACCGCTGGACGCCCACTGCACCTTGCGGTGTTTCAGCCGCCGGAAACTGACTATCGGGCGCCTTTATTGGTTGCAGGATGCGAAATTGTTTGGCCCGGCGCACTCTGCGTGCGGAGAGCGACAGGAAGCGTGCGAGCGTGCGAGGACGGCGCAGAAGCAGCCCCAGCACTGGCCGACGTGTGCGAAGAATGCTGCTGAAGCTCGTCGTGATGCGGGCCTGCGACTGCGCTGAGGGGCCACCGCCGCCGTTGGTACCTGCCGGCGCGGCGCTAGCTGCGAGAAATGCTTCTGGGGCAGTCGCGACCCAACTGGGCACGCAGGAACCACACAACCACAACAAAGAGCCCCTGGAGCACGATTAACCCGCTGACAAACACCTGCACGTTAAACAATGCACTATATCCTATGCACCAGCAACTATGCTTGGGAACATCACCGCTGTTGTTGCCACGCTGCTGCATCATGTCGCCATTCAGCCGCCGTGCCCCAGAGCGGCTACCCGCCTCGGGGACCCTGAATTTAGCAGACGGGCGTGTTCTGCTAGTCCTCGCCAGGAACAGAAACAGGTCTCTGCGTCGCCGAATTCCACACCCAGTCGTCCCGAATCGAGCCCCCGCCAAATGAGACCAGCGCCATATCGGGCCCGAGTATTCTATTTGCAGGTGCCTGAGATCTGAGGCTATGCGGTTTCGAGCCTGCTCAGGGGAATTGTCGTGATTCATGCTACAAGCGCAAGCCGCGGCACGGTGTTTGGGAAGTATTGCTTGCATGAGCCATCTCATTATTGGACCGACCCTGCAGCATTTCCCCAGATGCTGCACAGTGCATGCGCGCCTTTTTTCATTTGTCTCCTGATTCCTTCCCCCGTCGATCAACGTCACCGTCCCGGACACCGGGCATCATTTACCAGGAACCAGGCTGTATTGTAGGACCGACACACAACACGGAAAGCCCATCGTCATAATAGAGAAATTTGCCTCGAACCGTATTCCCTAAAGGAGGCCGCGGAACGTTTGCCGAGGTGTACATGCACGACAGGAACTTCATGACAACAAGAGGGGGTAAATATGTATGCTTTGGGAGACGCAAAATTGCGCTGACATGGGGATCGCATATTTGTTCAGCGATCGATGGTTACTGGATATGCTTTGCGAGACAAGAGTTGAGTCGAGCCTGGGATCGCAGTTTTGCAGAGTTCACTGCGGAGGCAGCGAGGTTGACTCTAGTGCATACACATCGACGACGCAAACTCCGGCTATCCTTGACCCTTAATCTGCTGATCCTTCTACAATCCGAGACTAATACAAGGCAAGATAAGCAACTTGAAGAGACGACGAGGATTATCAACAAATATCAAATTCGAGCCCTTGATGTAGAGACGTCTAGGCTGACAATCAACAAAAACGCAGGACGAAGGCGCAACTTCTTATCTCTGTCTGCACCTCCGCGCGTCACTTACGTCGTAACATACCGTCCTGTCCAGCGCGAACATCCTTACATACGGTTTCTCGGCAGAAGAAAAAGAAACGGAAAAAATATACAACAGCGGGGATTCGCCAGTAGTCACCCACCTGACTACTAATCCGCCAGTGCGCTGCTTAAATATAACTAAGTAGAAGCTATATTAAATTACTTATAATATTTAATCTATAGAGTACTTGCAGCACGGGGGGCTCTGCGTGTCGCAGAGATGTACGTTAGAGATAGTTTGAAAGAACAGAATGCTTCAAAAACGTCATTGGCAGCCCCAATGCTGTATGCGAGACCATGAATAAAGACTCTGAGCAAGCAACAATGCATGTCATTTTACCGCTGATATAGGCACTTTTGAAACCCAAATTGTATAGTCTCCGATCCGGCGCATCGCCTCTACCAGCCCAGAATCCAGCATTTCTCATACTGATTCAGTAATAAAAACTTTCAAAGAAGAAATGGTGCTGTTCGGGGTACCTGACTGTATACGTGGTCATCACTCTACTCTAACAACCGCACAATATCCTCATGTCCCAATTTGCGAGCAAGATCCAAAGCCGTCAACCCCACCATGTTCCTGTACTCCTTGGCCGCGCCTTTCTCTAAGAGAAATGAGACTGCCTCAGTATGGTGGTTTTTCACCGCACAATGTAGCGCAGAGCCCCAATCTTCGTCCTCTCGTTGCGAAGGAATGATCTCGTATCTTCCGTACGGGTGTGCATTAACATCAGCGCCTCGATCCAGCAGCTGCTGCATAATGTCAATGCTGCCTACACTAGCAGCATTAAGGAGTGCCTTAGGCGCCTTTTCTAGCGATGCGTCATGTGCCAACAACAGCGCTGCCATATGCCTGTCATTTCTTGAACAGGCTATCTCAAGCGGGTTTTCGTTCGTCTGGGTGGTCTCGTCCACATGGGCGCCTTTTGACAATAGATGTGCAGCAACTTTTAGGCAAGCTGTACTCGCCCATCGGGATATTCTGGGCCTGTCTCCGCTCGAAACGGCAAGGAGTCTGTTTACCTGTCAATTAATTCTGCGCGTCAAATGGTCTCGAGAAGGGTAGCGAAAGGCTTACACAAGAGCGCTTCCAATATGATCAAAGTGCTCGTTGACATCCCAACCGTGCGCTACCGCCACATCGATGGCTTGCGTATTCCACCCGTTTTCTTCACGTGCCCCGTCTGCGATGTACATGATAGTGCTATCACCCCACCTAGCACCACGCTTGAAAAGCTCCTCAGCCATGTCATACCGGGCTAGCTCCAATGCTGTGCTGAGGGCATCGGTCAATCCCGGACCCCGCTGCAAAGCATTAGGACCTTCGGCCTCGCGTGTCGACAGCATTTTCTGTAGGGCAGCGAGGTCGTTAGATTTGATAGCGGCAAGCATTTGCGTGTTGAAGTTATCGTCGTTGTTATCCGTCATTGCTTGAGTGATGTGGAGGATAAATTTTGAATGTGAATAATTTTCGCCGTTGCGATTTGGAAATCGAGAATTGCGGGCTTGGCAGATAGGATTAAGCTGGAAAAATGGTAATAGGTTGGAGGGAAGAAGTCGAGGGCGGGAAGTCTTTCTAAGAAGCGGTCTCTTTAGTGTGGCGCAGTCAGGTCGTATAAGGCGTACCATAGTCACAGCCCCAGCTAACCCAACATCCCTGTCTAGATTCTGACGTGAGATCTCACTCTCATACATACAACTCCGCCGCGGGTTTTCCTTACTATACAGAAATTAGCCAAGAATTACTATGATTACAGTAAAAGCTTTTATTATCTCCTAGTACTGAGGCAATAGTAAAGAAACCTGACGGTGACGATGAGGATTGCGATGCTGGTGAGCACGACCCACGCAATGCGAGAATCTCACCGCAAGGCTAGGCACAGATCGATCTTCTGCTTACCCGAACTGAAGGGATAGTAATGAAATCGTGGATCTCATCATGGTGGTAAAATCAGTAAGAGGTCGAAGGATGTAGACAATCTATAAATGATACAGTTATGCCCCCGACATTAGAAAGAACATCAACATCAACAACAACAACAACACAACTACCACAATCATTAGCAACTCTTTCATTCCACCAGACATTGCCATTGAAAGCTAGTTTATACTTCTTTCCTCAAACACCGCAACCATGAGGTTCTCATTCGCTCTCGTCGGCGCGGCTTTCCTCTTCAACCCTTCCATCGGTGCACCCACTGTGGACAATGCCCTTGAGGGTCGTGCACCTCCTCCGTGAGTATTCTCCTGTTTCATTGTAGTATATTGGACACCGCTTGCAATAGTGTTCGAAGATATCAACAAGTTATCAAAATATGACTAGACGGATGTAGCTAACTTCAAGTAGGCCACCACCTCCACCGCCTCCTCCAGCCATTCCAGCCATTCCAGCCCCTCCACCAGCCCCGCCAGCTCCAGCTCCAGCTGGTGGAGAACCCAGCGATGCTGACATAAGGGAGAACATGAATACCATAGCAAAAGACAGCTGTATCTTCTACGCGAAGGTAGGTTCTGAGGCACAAGTCACGAAAAAGCGTGACGAGCGGGATTATCTCAGTGGTTATAAGATCTTGGAAGACACATGGAAGGACCGGGGTTACCCCGGCAGAGCCATTGCAGGAATACCGGGTAGCAGAAGGGAAAGGCCTAATAAGTTCTTTCGTAGGGCCTCCAGGGTTCTTGCTGAGGATTGTTCCGGGATCGTCTATGTCTTTCTACCCGAGGGCAGTGGCAGTGACTGGTCAGATGATCTTTACAAAGGCTCCATCTGGAAGGATGACGAGTGGCCAGCTCTGGTAGCAAATGGCGGCGTTTCCAAGGTTATCCGTCTCGACTGGAACGACAAAGGTAAACAGGATACCATCAAAGGCAGCTCTTCAAAGCGTGCCGTGGCCGCCATTGAGGCGCGTGATCAAAACGATAAGTGTACGTTATACCCCGGGTACAGGATTTTCGGTTATCCAAACGCCAGGTTGGGTGGCGTGTTGCGATGCTGATAATGTACTGAAATATCTCCGGACAAATCAAACTGATTCTGCTCACAGGTGCCATTTCGCTTACCCAGTGGGACAACGACCGCGTCGACGGACCCGGAGATCGATTCGAGGTCGAATTCGATGTGACCAACGGCAATGGCGATATCCTAGGACACCAGGTCCGCGTCTCTATCGGCGACTGGAACCCGTTGAGCTGGTTGAGCGGCAAGCTGTCTACTGGCCTCATCGTCATCCCCGGCGGCGGCAATGTTGGCTTCTGGTACCACGGTCGTTACTGGAGTACCCAAGACAGTAACTGCCAGTTGGGTAACTGGGTCGATGACGCAAACAACGCCCGCCACCGCGGAATCAACTGCAAATTCCAATGTTAGATGGGGCCAAAAATGCTCTCTGACATTGATGGAGTCCAGCGGAAGATAAGAATGGTTACTTTTGCATGAGTTCGGGTTTTGGTGTTGTTTTCTTTGTTGGGGTTCAAAGTGTGTTGCATTCGAGCAGATTAGATGTGTTCAGGTACAAGGGGTTGCCGTATTTTCAGCTCTACATTCGTTTGGTTTTTGGAGATTTAGAAAGTTTTTTTTTTGCACATTTTGTACTCAATTTGATAGATTTATAGAGTTTGCACTTGCCTTAGACTTAATGTTCAGACGTGTGTGAAGATTCTCTTAGCAGCAAACGCGAGAGGAAGAAAAAAACGCTTACAGTCCTCCTCAGGGTGGCAAATGGGTATAGGTTAAGTTATAGTTAAGTATTATATAATATAACCCTAAATTGACCTTAACCTATACCTAAACCTTTTTGCTAGAATAGATAAAGTTAAGTAATAGTTATAAATATTTAAGTTAGAGTTAAGTATTATATAAGCAAAAATTTAATAATTTTTTATCTTTTTTGCTAGAATGGGTTTGCATGTTTGCAAGCTGCTCACCTACCGCCGGCGCAATATCACTACTCGACGCACCCATCATTGTTGATCGCGAAGACTTCAAGGGTGTTCACATTGCAGCTAGAAATCTCTCAGATGACATCGCAAAAATCACGAACAAGACGCCGCCTACAGTTTGCTCAGAGCACATCACATCGCCGTGTGTCATTATTCTTGGTAGTCTGCGGTGCTCCAGATTCATCCAGCAATTGGTATCGTCAGGAAAACTGCACATCAGTGAAATCGAAGAGAAATGGGAGACATGGTGTACGCAGATCGTGGATGCGCCATGGGATGGATGTACTAGAGCACTCGTCATCACGGGAAGCGATAAAAGAGGCACCATCTTTGGGACGTACGCATTGTCGGAGCAGATTGGAGTATCTCCGTGAGTCTTTTAGGTCATCTCCCGGGTAAGTTCCTTGCTGATAGGCCTTCGTAGCTGGTATTGGTGGGCAGATGTACCCGTCAAGACAAGTCCAAATATTTACGCCCTGAACGTCAAGACCGCACAAGGACCACCGGCAGTCGGATACCGCGGCATCTTCATCAACGACGAAGCACCTAATTTGTCGGCATGGGTGCATGAAAAGTATGGGCCGAAGTACAACTCCGAGTTCTACAAGCGCGTCTTTGAGTTGCTGCTTCGGCTGAAGGCGAATCTTCTTTGGCCTGCTATGTGGTTCGGGTTTCCGCATCCAGGCAATTCATTCTTCGTCGATGATCCATTGAATCAAAGGCTTGCTGATGAATATGGGATTGTTATTTCTACGTCTCACCATGAGCCGATGCAGCGCGCGATGAATGAATGGTTTGATACGCCGTACAAGCAGCCGGAGAACAGTTGGAGCTGGGTGAAGAATAAGGAGAAGATTACCCGGTACTTTGAAGAGGGAGCACAGCGAGCTGCTAACTTTGAGAGTCTGATTACCATCGGCATGCGTGTTGACGGCGATCGAGAGATGAACGTCGAGAATCCCCAAGAGGTATTGAAGGAGGTATTAGCGACACAGAGAAGGACCATTAAGGACGCTTATGGACAGGAAGATGCAGTACCCCAACTAATCGCGCTGTACAAAGAAGTCCAAGAATACTACGAAAATGGATTGAAGGTACCAGAAGACGTGACACTGCTGTTTGCTGACGATAATTTCGGTACCATCCGAAGACTTCCAACCGAGAGTGAGTAAAGGCGGAAAGGAGGTGCGGGAATATATTAGCACCTGGAATACGTTGGAGAACCAAGAAGTTACAAGTGGCTCAATAGCAATTCTCTTGGTAAGGTTTGGCATCAGCTTGATCAAGCACATCGCCGTGGAGCTGATGAGATCTGGATCTTCAATGTTGGGGACATTAAGCCTCTGGAAGTTCCTCTGAGTTTTGTTATGTTATTAGCATGGGACGTGAATTCCTGGAAATTTGGCGATCTCCCGGCATTCTTCCACCAGTTTTCAGCCAGCAGTTTCGGACAAGAGCTCGCGTCACCATGTGGAGATCTCCTCCTTCGCCACGATAAACTCGTCAGACTTCGAAAACATGAGCATATTGAACCAGAGACGTTCTCGCTTATCAACTATGCCGAAGCTGACAAAATACTGTCAGACTGGACCGCGCTCCTCCACGACGCCGAAGCCCTCCACACTCAAATTCCCTCAGAAACCAGTCCATCATTCTTCCAACTCGTCCTCCACCCTACCAAAGCATCACAGATATATATCTCGCTTCAAGTCCACCGCGCGAGGAACCTACTCTACGCAAAACAGCGCCGCAACACAGCAAACCACTTCTTCGACACGTCCATTGCCCAATTCAAAGCCGACTTCGCGCTCTCGCAGGAATACCACGCCTTGCTCGACGGCAAGTGGAACCACATCATGCGCCAGCCACACCTCGGATACCGCGAGACCTGGCACGCGCCGTCGCGAGATGTGATAAGCGGGCTGTGTCTTGTACAAGCGCATCAAGCATCAAACCCTATCGCGGGAAACATTGGTGTCGCTGTCGAGGGACACGAAGGCGTCAGGCCGGGTCTATGTAATGAGGAAAGCGATCGCACACATCCGTCACGTAGGGATCTCGTTGCTGGCGTTACACTGCCAGTCATGGAGCCGTTTGGACCTCAGTCGAGGAGGTTCGACCTTTCTTTGCGCGGTCCAAAGGCAGTGAAGTGGACGATCTTAAGTCCAGTATCGTGGGTGTCAGTTCAGAATTGTGGGGTTCTCGATGCGAAAGACGAGCATGATGCGCCTATCGACGTAACAGTGAAATGTAAAGACGTACCAGCAGACTTCGAAGGCGAAGTACTACTGACCCTAGAAACCGATCTCGGCGACTTCGAACACATCCACATCCCGATCATCAACCGCCGCGTACCCGCTGAGTTTTCGGGACACGTTGAGGCGGATAGGGTGCTGTCCATTCCGGCTTCTCGCTTTGCTAACCAAAATGTGATGGGAGTGTGGAAGCATCCGCATTTCGGTCGTGAAGCGAGTGGGTCTGTGAGCTTTCGCGACTCGAGCGTCGGGAAATGCGAACTGGTGTATCCATTTTACACGTTTACTTCGACGCCGAAAGCAATCTTACATATATACTTCACGCTGACGCTTGACACACATCCGGGCGCGCAGATGACTTACGGTCTATCGCTCGATGGCAAAAGTTTCGAAACACATAGGCTCGTGCAGCAGCCTACGAAACCGGGTGAATTGCCTGCCGAGTGGTTAGGTTCGGTAATGGATTGCGTCTGGGTTAGAAAACATGAAGTGGATATGATGTGCACTGGGTCGCATGTTTTGAGAGTGGTGCTGAGAGACGAGAATATGGTTTCGGAGAAGATCGTTGTAGATTTGGGAGGGTTGAGGGAAAGCTATCTCGGACCGCCTGAAAGTCACTACTCTCCTGCACCGAACGAGTAACGAGGCAACTTGGTACTTGTATAGGTAACAAAACTGACGTTTACATGCCTCTGAGGTGAGCGCAAGTCATTCAAGTGTGCCTGCTGAGTTGAACTTCGGATAGCAAACCTTCTGTGGAGAAGAGAAGGAGGTCATGCCAATGGCCAACCCATGTATGAGGACACCATCGCTATTGCATAGCACGACCCTACCCTATGCGTGCGAATCATGTCCAGCATTCATGGCAATGCAGGTAAAAAGGGTGTAGCAGTGTCCATAGATGTGTTGGTAAGCGTTGCCCTGACGGAGAGGAAAGCAGTCATCGTTGTGCAATGTTCTGTGGCTTTCTCACCCGAGGCGCTTCTCCAATCATCATCTCTGACACGTTCATCTGCCACATTGCGGCCTCCGAATTGTTCAGGTCTTTTATGTCTCAAAATACTCGCGAATGATACAAGACTCTGTATGTTCATCCATAGTGGTGGTGTCCGCAGCGCTGGCGCTGGAGGGCCGTTTCCAAAATTAGCGCGATCTTGCCCTTACAGCCCCCATCTCAGCGAGTGATTGCGCATGCAGATGTCAGCTCGGCTAGTTTCCAGACCAATCGCGATTATCGCAACTCTTTACGCTCATATCTACCCCCTTCACGAGCAAGGCAGAATAAATGCACTTCATCTTTCACCGGTGTGGCATGGGGGCCGTAATGGCCTGGGTATCGTTGCACTCTGGGACTTCTGCCGCGATGACTGCAAGTAAAATACGTGCAATGGGCTTCAATATCAGTATACCTAGCATAGCTGCGACATATTTGTACCACCGCGGTGCTGGTACAGCGACCCTAACGAGCTTAAGAGCTGACCTCGCCATTTAGCAGTGTCTATTGACCAACCTTTCCATACTGTGAATATATTTCTCCTCGTTCACAAGTATAGCCATGGAGTCTACAGCCAACTATAAAGTGAAGTTGGGCTTCTGGACAAATTGGTCAAACGGCAAGATTCTCGGCGCGACCATGACAACGAGTCGGCAAAATGGTGGCTTCCTGATCGCTTTCTTGGCTATTTTCGTTGGCATGGCGGGGAAAAGGTAGTATTCACTCCAGCGCTGTAGATTTTGACTGATTTGTATAGCTTCTGGCGTTTGGGATGCTTCACGATTCACTGCTATCTCTCATCGGCAGAACCTCAAGATGGCGTCTACCACCAACGGCAAGCTATCCTCCGCAACTCGGATACTGCATTTGATGGTGTAGCCCGACTCTTTGCCTTAATGTTTGCATGGCGATCCGGCCTTCGAGCGCAAAGATCTCTTCTTCGCCTTTTGCCAACGGTCATTATGGCTTTCATAATCTCAGCGGCTTTTGGCGTGGCCTCCGTCTTCTCGTCAAGCGTCACCAGTGAGACACTTAACCAAGTGCTCCTAGAAGGTCGTAGATGTGGTCTATATCTGACTGGACTGCCGGACAATATTACTAAAGAGCAATCTCTCAGTGTACCCTACAGTACCGAAAGGGCGAGTCGATTCCTTGACTATGGGCGGCAATGCTATGTGGACAAGACACAAGTGGATGGATGTAACCTCTACACAAAGCCTAGACTGCCACTGAATTCTGAACGCGGCGTGAAATGTCCATTTGGGGAGGACATCTGCAAGATCAGGGACGATAACCTCCTCATGGACACAGGAAATCTCGACTCCCTTGAAGATCTCGGTATTAATATCGATCCCCAATACCGCTTCGAATTGCGCTTCGTCACTACGTGCGCGCCACTCAAGACGAAAGGATACACGAGCGACTACAATGACAGCAAGCAAGGTGCGGTAAAACGCTACTTGTATGGCTCCGACGCGAACTCTCGCCAAGTCATCGATTTCACATACGAAGTTCCCCTTGATCACGTATATCAACCAAGTGATAATTCGACATCCCAGAATGTTCCCCGTATGGAGTATCAACTCGGAGCGAGGATGGCCACTCCAATCACGGAAGAATCGGTTGAAAACCTCGACATCGCATGGGAGCCTATAGATGCACTCAAAAAGCTCGACGCGGACGTGCACATCTTGTTCATGTCTGCCCCTGGCATATTTTATTCCGACCCTGTCAGCGACCCTTGGTTCTCGGCGCAAAAGTCTATGAGTCGGGTCCACAGTGGGGGAAAGGAGTATAAATTTTGGCAGCAAGACGAACCGCTTGGTGTGATGGCGTGCACACAGCAGGTCCAATACTGTAATCCGAAATTATCCGAGGGTGAACGTTGTGAGCCCCTCCGTGGGCTGTTTGATAAGAAGAGAAGTGGATCGCTCGCGAAGACCTTTCCATCAGAAAAAGCACTCGCCGCAGTTGTATGGGCAGATCGAGTCTGGTCAAACACCATGAACTTGTTTTCCGATGCAGTCTTTTACGTTGGCGCTTCCGCTCTTCGCGCCCGTTACAGCCTCTCGGGTGCAGGCTCAGGGCCCTTGCCCGACAATCAATGGCAAATTGAAGCCGAGCACTTGCAGAAAGGATGCCTAGCGTCGCTACAAGATGCTTTCGTCCTAACAGCACACGGCGTTCCTGAAGCCCTTGAGGAATTTCGCCAGCCTCCCTTGGCTAACGAGACCATGCCCAAGTTGATCTGCGCAAATCAGAGGATAACTTCAAACAGCTATTCTTCCTTCAATATGATGGGAGTCGGACTCATCTTGGCTATTGGACTGCTCATCATAATGTTAGACCTGGGTCTTGCTCCAACACTCGCATGGTGGCGGCGTCACAAGTACGGAAAGCTACAGCTGCAAGATGCAGAGAGCGGGATCGAAGAAAAACCAGGTCATCCATTGAACCACACGCTTGAGTGGTCGCAAACATCCATACTGCAATTACAGCGCCTTGCACACGAGGCAGCTGGATACGGAAATTGGAGCGGCTGCGACGAGACTGTGCCAGTTTCTCATCGAGGCGAGCTTCTCGCATGTCTCGACCTTAGCGATTTGAAGCATCCAAAATATCAGACTAGGAAGACGACCAGTATTTCGGATCTTGAGGAGCAGGGTTTTCCGTCTAGGCCGCAAATCATCGAACAACATTACAGTAGTCTGGAAATTCCAGCAAGCGAATCTGGAGTGGGGGATATTTCCCACAGCGTCGGGAATTCAGAGGAAGGAAGCGAGCAAAATGAAGCTGGCTCGATGATAAGCGTTGAGATCGAAAACGAGACGGAGGCAGACAATATTAGCCACAGCGCCGTGCATCCGGGTGATCAAAGCGAGCAAAGCGAGATTGGCTTCACGACAAGAATTGGGGGAAGCGCGACCGTAAACACAAGTAACGGCACTCGTCAGCAGCTTATTGTGGACTAGTAAGATAGGTATTGACAGTCAGTGTGGAGACGACATGGGAAGATGTTTATATGAGCAAATGAGACAGCGCGACAGTACCACGAAGCCTGGAAGTAGCGCAATAGACGTACCAGAGTCGTCGCCTAAATCTTCTCACGGATCAAAAATGTGGTCGATCCAGGGAATTTATTTGAGCTCGATGGAGACATAAACAAGGTCATGTTCGTGGAGACCGACCATGGGTCGACCCGGGTATTCATGGCGCTACAGATGGAGGATAGCGCCGTCAGTCGATCTAGAGACGCACGCATTGTCGATTCTGTCTTTGGAGATGTTATGCAATCCTGTGCATTAGCTGTGACCTATTATCGCAAGCAGTGATGTTGTTGTCCAAAGTCATGAACAGTCAGGAAGTTGTTGTCATTTAAGCACAGATCATATTAGTGCTATTTAGAAAATGCGCACCCTCCCTAATTTAGCTGTTTTAAGAATATCTATAACAAATTATAATACACTAAGGAAGAATAATAATATACCTAATAATATTATAAGTAAGTAGCCTTTTTAGAGGTTAGAATTATATAGTTTAATCTAAAAGTAATATCTATTAATAGCTATCTAAGCTCTTATTAATATTTATAAAGAAATCTGCTAATAGGAGCATATAGAGAGGTCCTGCTCGTTGTATAGTTAAGCTGGAGGGAGGGTGCTCATATTCTGAATACGATAATAAGTTATCTAGAGGGAACTTCAGGTCCCTCTCTTATCGCGTTGTCGCACTTGCCATCTCTCTTCATCAACTTCCTAAATATATAACATCATTTCAGTCAAGATCTGGTATGATGCTTGATTCATTTCCCTTACTGCGCTTCGGACTCTAGCACTAATCACACGCTTTTCTTTCGCGCTAATCGTTCAGACCGTACCTAGGTAGAATCTAGTAACGCCCGGGTCACGACAGCTTTGCATAGAATCATCCGTCTCAGTCTACGATACAGGACTATATAATATCTTCTGATATGTTCGGAATTCGAAGCTGGAATAGCATTTGTCCGCAGCCTGGACTGATCACATGAAAAACGCTTGGAATACACATACGCACGTGGACGGTATCTGTATATCAACGCATTCATCAGCTCTTTATACTCGCATTACTAGCCCATGATATATTTTGGATACTAACGTACTGTATGTTGTGTCAATTTGAGGGACAATTGCATTCAAGATCCGTTTGCGGCTTTCTTTGTGCTAGCAAGGTCATCACAACAAAGAAAGGTTTCGTTGCTTACAATGTACGCCAAAACCACAATCGCCCTCCATCTTCGCGAAATTTAAATCATTGCAACGCCCAAAATCACTAAGCTATCGAGTGGGATACCATGGCCCCTCCATACACAACAGGAAAAACATACTTCACCAACGATGCGAAGGCTTGGAAGGCAACGAGGCCGCCAGCTTGGACGACAGGTATGTCTCAATATGTCGTGTCTCGTATTTCTGCTGACATATTACCGGAAGCTCAAATGAACACCACTTTCGATACTATTTGGAGTGGAGATGCGGCACTACGGAACTATTACAATACGCTCGCTGTTGCCCGCCCCCCGACGCTCCCAGGATTTCCGGCTCATATGCCAGCGTTACCGCAGCATCCTTATCTGGCAATCGATAGAACAGCTGCAATAGCTAATCGAGTTGTACCGCCCCAGCGAAATGCTGCTGGATTGGTGGTCGCTCCTGCACTTCTCGGCCCTGGAGTTGCGCCTGTTCCTGCTCCTGTAGCCCCTGTTATTGCTCCGGTAGCTGCGACTGCAGCCCCTGTAGCTGTTACGGTTCCTGTTACTGGAGCTGGAGGCGCTCTCTTAGTTACTGGAGGTGCTGGTGTAGGTAATCCTCCTGGAGCTGTTGCGACTCCAACTCCGGCCTATGTTTATCCTTTCTCATTCTGGCCACCGCAACCGTGGCATCCAGAACCCCAGGGCGATAGAAGTCTCCAATATATTATGGAGGAATTGAAGACAAATAACGAGAAAAGAAGCCAATGGCTGATTACCAAGCCATTCATGTGGCCTGTTACAGACGAGCATAACTGGGAGAACGCTAGACGTTTTGGATTCGGGGCTAATGGCTGTGTGGGCTTATGGTGCCGCATAGATGCGAACGGTAACATCGACAAAGTGAGTGACATACGCTTACCTTGACAATCGGATCTTCTAATGTGTGCTAGCGCACAGTAATCAAGGAGACGCGTTTTACCCGCAGTTCATGGCGCGATCCCCTCCAATGGCGTCAAGTGCAAAATGCCAATCTTCCAATGGAAGTCCAGATCCACAAAATCATCGATAGTCATAGGCCCGACAATAGCTTGGAGGGATACAACAATCTCGTTAAACATGACGGTTACAGACTAATGATGCGCCAACAGCGATTCAGACTCTATCTCGAGTACTACGAAGGAGGTAATCTTGACGATGCCGTTCGAGCATATCGGAGGACTGGAAAACATCCCCTGGGGCCGGGCAATATACCGGAATATTACCTATGGCGAGTATTCGGCAATCTAATTGCTGCATGCCAGATCCTCCATCTGGGACAAGTCGACCCAGCAGAAGGCAAACGCGCAGACTGGCGGCCTATCACACATCTCGACATCAAGTTAAACAACATATTTCTCGAGCTCGGAGAACACAAGAGCCAGGTGAGCATTATTTCTATGAATAGAGATCTACGTATCAAAGCTTACGAACGTAGATTCCAGAGTTTGTTTTAGCGGATTATGGGTTGTCAATGTTCCCACTGCGTCAGGCCCGTGATGCCCAGGGTGGAGTTCAAGGACATGCTGATTTCGTTTCCGACAACCCAATCGAATACTTAGTAGAACTTGACGGTTACGAATTCTACGCACCAGTAAGCATGATCCTATATGTGCGCGCGACGCGTTGAACTTACTCAGCTCAGGAGCATATTCGCACGAGACATGAACCACCTGACCCATTGAACCAGAAGACCGATATTTGGCAGATGTCAGTTCTCAAGAGGAGTAGAGTCACTCTGGTGACACGCTGACATTGATTAGTGGTGCTGTGATTCTGGAATTGATGATGAACGGACAAGAAGGCGCGGATTGGGGACCGAAGATTTCTCGAAATGGAGAAATATTTCCCTTGTGCAACTTCGATACTGGACGGCTTGAGGAAGGTCCGAATCCTTGGCCACCAGGCACATTCCCGACAGTAGGCCATTATTCTTTGCAGCTTCGGAGGATCATCATGCGCTGCCTCAACTATAGCCCAGACAACCGACCCACTTTGGTGTGGCTCAAAAGCCAGATCAATGCATGGATTACGGCAAATCCCCCTGCTAAACTCAAGACGCCGGTCAGTTCAGGTCGAGATCGTGAGTTTAGAATGAACCAGCCGATGCCATCTCGACAGCATCGTGGTCGATGAGACTAAGACTGAGGGCGGACCATAGTGGTTCACATGCCGAAAGGCCGCTCTCGCAGACCGCAACACTATCAGATCGCAGTATGTACAACTGGAGAGATAGGTGAACATTGGAGGGCAACAATTTAATGCATTTTGACGATATATTCATATCAATCGTTTTTGTAGGGCCGCATATCTGATAGCAAAAGCTAAAAGATCAGGGAACGACAGGAGGCTCCTTGCTACCAAGCCGTAGCGTCGAACCGTTCATGACGGTTCCGTGGTTCTCAAGTTGTAGAAGGTGTGAGATAGGAGTGATATAGCAAGACTGTGACACAAGTCTTGGAAGTGAAAAAACGATTGAACGAAGTCGCCAGTTGCTCTATGAAGTCTTTGACTTTTTCTGAGATACATGTTTTCTACTGCTGAATCTTACATTTTTTTTTCTTGCATCGTGAGAGCGTGTCTATCCTCAGCTTCATCTCAGCACTTCACAATCAACAAAAGCATTGCCATAATTCTCTATTTTCTCCAAGATGATTCGGCCCAAAGCCACTCATATTATCACCAACCATCTCAATCCACACCGTCCAGAGCACCCAGGGCATCCTGCGCTGGAGCAGCCAACTCAAACAGCTCCGCGTCGTTCGGAAGTCCCCCTCCCAGTTCATCAATTCCATCTTCACACCCAGCTGTCTCAATTGCATCTCCGCTGTGTCCAGCAGATGCCTAAGCGTTGGGTGATGGCCCTGATTCCATTCGACATGACCCCACTAATCGTTGAGCTCAGCACTACGATTAAGGGAAGCGGGATAAAGGTTTCCACTAAGCACACTAAACATGTCGTGCATTTCTTTATGTTCGGGGTGCTGGCGTGATGATAAGGGAATGTCCCTCACCATCGTCTCCTCCCTGACTGGTCCCATTTTGATATCGCTTCTTGCGATGAGCGCATGGAGAACGGAGCCAATATCCCACACGTCGGTCTTTTCGTTCAGACGTATCCATGGCGGACCCCATTGCTGTGGCCCCTAGACAGATCATCGACACAGATGACCTTGTTATTATTGATGCAAGAAGTAACATGGGCATTGCACAGTTACTCGAAGGTCATCTCTGCGAAGCTGAACATATCCATCGACACGTGTACAGCAAATGCCGCAAAGTGCTTGGAAGAAGCCATCCTGAGACGATTAAGAGCAAAGCCAATATCGGCATGACGCCTAACGAGCTCGAAAACCACACGCGTGTTGAAGCGCTGTGGAGAGACGCACTCCTACTGTTCCAGCGGTTCCTCAGTCACACCCATTCGGACACGCTAAAGACGTATACGAACCTCGCCACCAATCTTCACGACCAGGGGAAATTTAAAGAGGCCGAAGAGGCAATTACCGTTGTTGCACCAATTATACAGTCCAATCACGCTCAAACGAACATGGAATTTACCGAGCTCCTTGAACTCCGCGCAGTATTGTTACATTGTCTTGAGTTGTACACCATCGCAATTGGTGTTACTGGGCAGGTGTACGAGCAACGTCTAGTTCCCTTGGGGTACGAGCATCATCACACGCAGAGGGAACTTTCTCACGTTCGTGACCTGGCCGAGAATTGTGAGCAAGGACAAAGTGTTGAGGCTTTTGGATCGTGTGTTCCGTTTGTGAGTACATGCGATGTGTGTTGGTATAGTTTATTTTCAATATCCAATCTCCTTCCTCAGCAGTCCGATTATACATCCATCGCTTATGATCCACGACCCTTTCTTTTCATCATTCGATCTACAGCTTGAATTCGGTTTCCACCAACCTCTCACTCAACGCCCATAGTCGTTCAACCATCTGTGAATCTGTCGCATGGGGCGCAGCATCGAACATCTGGCAATCGTGCAGGAGTACACCCTTCGAGGCTGTCAGAAGTTAGTTAGTCATCTCAAAGCAAAATGGAGGACGAGACATACAGTCCAGAACAGGATCCAGTGCCGCAACCAGCACTGTCGCAGCGCCCTGATCATGATTCTTCCAGAATGGGCTCGTCTTCCGGATCGCCTCTTCCCCTTCAGTATCGAGGTTCCGGCTCAGGCCTGTCCATATCGCTAATTCTAATCAGTATGAGCCTCCAGTAATAGATACAGTGGGCCTTACATCCAGGATGCACGGCGAAACTGGCAATTCCCTTTTTCTCCAAACGCTCGTTCAGCCCGATGGAAAAGAGAATGTTTGCCGTCTTTGCCTGACCATACGCCACCCACCCATTGTACCCATCTGGTCTATTCTCTGTGAACATGGGAGGTAATGGGCCAGGATTCTTCTCCTCAGAAGGAACATCCTTGCCTGTGATATTGTAGTCCGAGAAACGCACTGGACTGATGCGATGACCAAGACTCGTCAAGTTGATGACACGTGTTGCACCTGGTGGATTTGACTTCGCCGCGGCAAACAATTTAGGCATCAAGAGGTTGGTGAGCAAGAAGTGGCCGACGTGGCAGGCCCCAAACTGCCCTTCAATTCCTTCTGCAGTAGTGGTACGCTCTTGGGTCATAACGCCGGCGTTGTTGATGATCAGATCGAGGCGGTCGGTCAGGGTAGATATTTCCGCTGCGGCTGCTTTGACAGAGTCTTGAGACATGAGGTCCAGTGAGACGAGACCAATGGCGACGTCTGGGTAAGTATTTCGGGTGTTTTTCAGAACTTCTTCAAGCTTGGGTCTGGTGCGAGATGCGAGTAATAGAAGAGTCGGAGCCTGAGATGCGATGCTCAAGGCAATGGAAGATCCTATGGACTCAGGTGATACGCCGGTGATGAGGACTTGGACTGTGGTCAACAACCGCTAATTATCCAAGCATAGTCCCTCATACCCTTCTTGCCTCTAATTTTATCAGCGAAAGCTTTCGCGACTTGCAGACCGCCCGTCTCCTTATCCCACTCTGAGTGCGTCAACGTCGACGATGCCATGTTCGTTGAATGTTACAAAATGACATGCACTCAGTCCAAATATGCTACATACATAATGTCGCTTTGCCCCACCAGGTTGCAAGCGACCTGCATGCGCATTCGAGTATCATTCGCGCTCTTTCACCAGCGGTACAAGCTCTGTCTCGAGTGAGCATTGGCACGCTTTCAAAGGCACAATATCCTGGTAACGCAAACCTAGCGCGCTCTCGCCACATTCCGATGCTTCGCTAACAGGCTCGTTCTTGGATACAAAAAAGGTAAAGCGTGTTGGTGCTGAAGCTGCGGGGTACTTTGCGGGGAAGTATCGAAGCGATGTGGGGCGAACAATCCGACACCAAAGTCGCGACTCCAGATACCCACCCTAAGTATCACGCGTACGAGCTATATGCACGGCATGTGTTTGCCGAATGAACAAGATGTGATATTTCCAGCACGAAGGATGTGTGGCGCGAGAGTTCAGCGCCTTCCGCGGACAATTCTTTACATTGTCGGAACCATGTCGCCTAGGTCATGCAACCTTATGGAAATGGTGAAGATACTCAAGACCGGGATTTGATAAGCCCCACGCTGCATGCATTGAAGATTTACCCGGTTGCCGTGGATGTATGTTTGTGCTCTTTCTGTCTTGTCCTGATACTTCTACCTGCGTGAAGTTCGTACCTTGTCAACCAAGGCTGTCCTGCATACGCGTAGATTGACGCATGCCACTTCGCGCAAAGATACACGAAAACAGGCTACCAAATATGGCGACAGCACAGAGCAATGGCGAGAAGCCAAAAACTGGCATCAAAGTCATCATCATAGGCGCAGGTACATAGACTCACCACCCTCACCAACATGCCGAATCTGATTCCACATCCTAGGCTTCGGCGGCCTCACAGCAGCCATAGAATGCATTCGACAAGGCCACACGCCCGTCATATACGAATCGTTTCCCTCTCTCAAGATCCTCGGCGATATCATAACGTTTGGCCCCAATGCAGGTCGCATCTTCTATCGCTGGTCCGACGGCTCAGTCGCCGCGAAGATGCGCAAGATCTCCATTGATCTTCAAAATTACGGCTTCAATATTCACAAGTACGACACTGGCGAGATTGTCCTCAACCAGAAGAATCCACCCAGGAACGAGACGAGCCCCATGTTCAATGGCCATCGTGGCGAACTGCACGAGATTGTGTTTGAGTACGCGAAAAGCATTGGCGTGGAGATCAATCTGGGTCAGCGAGTGGAGAAGTATTGGGAGAACCAAGACAAGGCAGGCATCGAGCTTGAAGATGGCACAAAGGTCGAGGGCGACTTAGTCATTGGCAGTGACGGTGTGCGGAGCAAGGCCAGGACACTAGTTCTGGGGTATGAGGACAAGCCCAAGTCAAGTGGCTACGCGGTGTGGAGAGCGTGGTTCCCAAACAAGGATATGATGGCAGACCCCGAGACGAGGCAGTTCTGCGAGAACGGTGACACCTTCAATGGGTGGATTGGTGAGTTCTGCGCAGCTGTGTAGATGGCTCGGTGCTAACGAGCTTTAGGTCCCGACGTTCACTTCCTCTTCTCCACCCTCAAAGGTGGCTCAGACTGTTGCTGGGTCCTCACGCACCGCGACGAACACGACATCGACGAATCTTGGTCCTTCCCCGGACACCTGAAAGACGTCAAGAAGGTTCTCGAAGGCTGGGATCCAATGTGCTGGAAGATCGTATCCAAGACACCAGAAGAGAAGCTTGTGGATTGGAAGCTGGTATACCGTGACCCACTTCCTAACTGGGTCAGTGGCTACGGCTCGGCGCCTGGCCACGGTCGCATTTGCCTGCTCGGCGACGCCGCACATCCTTTCTTGCCGACGAGTGCTCAAGGCGCAACACAAGCGCTTGAGGATGGCGTCACAATAGCCGCTCTTTTGAGGCAAGCCGGCAAAGACAATGTGCGTGGCGCACTTCGTGCTTATCAGGATATCCGCTATGAGCGTGTTAAGGCGGTGCAGAAGACTGGTGAGACCACGCGCGACATGTGGCATAACACAGATTGGGAGGCGGTCAAGAAAGATCCAACTCTCATTCAGTTCCCACGCGAAGACTGGATCTTTGGTTTCGATGCTGAGAAACACGCGGAGGAGGTTGGACCGGAGGCAATCCAAAAGGCATCGATTGTTTCAGGATAATTTATATACACTGATAGCCTTCATTATCAACTAATAGGTCGAAGCATTGTGTAATGGATTCGTGCTGCGATTGTGGCCGTTGACTTTCGGATGACATATGAGGCGCGTTTCAAAGTCGACTATATTGTGTGTCAGGAAAGGTGTTGTGATAAATCAAGGTCAATTCATTATTCGTGCTTTGCCTACTGATGGACCTTCAGTGCAGAATGACGAAGCTATCTGCTAATAGTACCCACTCAGCCAGTCTTGTCAACGCCAACAACTTCATGATGGACGACCTCGTCCTTGTCACTACCATTCAAACTGTGCCTCACGATCTTCTCATCTGAGTCAGGCACATGTCGGCCAACGCAGACATACTTCCTAAACTTGCGTGCTGAGAGTCGCGCTTCAAACATCTCATCAATCTCCTCCAGGGTACGATTCTTGATCTCGGGTAGGTAGAAGTACACCCAGATTACTGTGAGAAAGCACGAAGGTCCCCAGATCCAGCCTAGGGCAATGTCAGAATTTGGGGAGAGGTTGTGAAGAAAGCTTCGCTTACCATATTCCGGGCCCCAATTGAGTGCATCAGGGTTAATGAAATAAGGCGCAGTGAAAGTTGCCAGCCAGGCACCAGCAAATGCAATGGCGGATGCGATGCCGAAAGTGTACGAGCGAAGGCGCTGCGAGGGGATCTCGCCACCGGCCAGCCAGGCATATGCGGCAATCATACCATTTGTAGCCACATATATAGACGACTGAGAGACCAATTATAGCCTGTTCAACGTTAGAAAAGCCCAAGTTCAGTATGGAGGAGCCTATTTACCTTCCCGGTGCTTACTGTACCAGGAGAAACGTGGTATACAGCTGCGACAGCAAGCTGGCACAAGCCACAAATGGTCAAGCCAGTCATCAAAAACACCCGACGTCTCCCAATCTTCGAAATGACGCAGCTATTCACGCTGATGGCAACAACCCCAACTGCAACCAAGATACAGCTGTTCATGAATGGGCTGCCGACCTTCGCCATTTGGAAGAAGTATGTGCCGTAAGCTATCATGAACATAGCACCGGAGGCGGCCTGAGTAGATATGGCGGCAATGGATAGGAGCGTACGACGGCGATCGACTGGGTCTCGCCAGATATCCACGAAGTTCGCGGTGTCCTTGGTAGCTTTCTCCGCATCGATCGCAGCCTGAATCTCCGCGAGTTCCGCAGGCACGATGCTATGGTCGGGACGCAGCCACAGCATCGCTTTGCTAGCTTGCTCGGGCTTGTCCATGAGCATGAGCCATCTGGGTGATTCGGGGATGAAGAACAAGCCGATGGAGATGACCACAGGGACGAAGTAGATAGTTGCCAGAGGAATGATGTAGGAATTTCTGCCATCAATGTCGTGTGTGGCGTTGTCAATTACAGTACCGACGAGCGTGCCGATTGAGGTCCAGATCTGGAACACCGATATCATGAGGCCTCGGTAGCGAGCCGGTGTACATTCCTGCGCATACGTTAAAACACACTGTCCTGAGCAATGCTTTTGAGAACCTGACCTGGATGTATAGTTGCGAGTAAGTCATGTACCACCCATTTGCAAGACCGATGAGTAGACGCCCAGCGTACAAACCAGCCAGGCTCGTCGTGGTCATCATGACAACATTTGACACACAACAGAGTAGAGATGCGAGCCAAAGACATTGTCTGCGACCCAACTTGGTCGCAAAAACACCAGCAGCCGATGAGCTGAGGAATGCACCGAGTGTCATCAGGGACGAGATCAATTGTTGTCGCTCAGGTGAGATATTAAAGCCTATTGGCGAATGTGGATCTGCGTGTCCGAACACCTTTATACCCTCGTTAACCCTATCGACGGTGTGGTGAATGTCTCACAAACCTCAAGGAAGCCTTTCATGGCCTGAAGCCCTCCTATGGCGCCGAAGTCGATGCCATACTGGAATGGACTCATCGACACCAAAGTACAAGCAAGCAGACATTTCCAATTCTGGAGCAAGCCAGTGGTTACTGCAGGCGGCATGATGAAGACAGTGATGTCTCTTGGCCAATGAGAAGGATTACTGAAACAAATAAAATGCGGTCTTCGCAACGCAAAGATCCTGGAGAAGAAGGAGTGCAGCCCGAAATATCAGTACGAGTAGTTATGATGTGCCGGCAAGGCTTTGCCACATGCTCTATTCTTCCAAATGCACCATGCAGATCGGGAGCCAGGATGCTGCCCGTGTGCCAAGTTGTGCCGGATGTGTCCATCAAAAGCTTAGTCTGCTTTACCCCAGGATTGTGAGCATCGGAGTGTGGGGTTGCGGGGGAATTGAACTTCCCTAGCCAATCAATCACTTATAACAATACTTGGTCCTGCCCAATATTGCACGGGGACTGCATGGTTAGACGGGACAATGTGCCATATGATTTCTGCTAGTTGCAAGCCATCCCTAAGGCACTCGCGGTAGTTATCGAGGCGCCTAGACAAATGTAGTATGAAGTATAATTTGACGCATCTGTGGACGACCTGGCTTGGATAAGTCATATGCTACTGAACACTGTGAATGTGACAGCGCATTGACCTATCAAGCTGATGCTGCCAATGACGAGGATATAGTGGCTAACCGCACTGTCGGATTGATAAAGCCGTGTAACCATGACCGTGATGGGAATTGATCTGCTATTGGCATGATCTGATCTGAAGTCCACAGCATCTGGAAGGCGACCAAAGCAACAGTAGAACGTTCCAAATCACGACAGACTCTTTATGCTCTTTCTCAACAAAAGTAGAAGTGATTGTGGCATGTGTTGATGGAAATGTACACAGAGCGTTTCGGACGTGCATTTCACCCGTGACGCGACCCGGTGGGGTGCGCTAACTCTAAGATTACTAGCGCAATGCACGTGCTACACTTATCATTTCTCCAGAAGTAAGAAGTTCTGAAAAGAGAATCTTGCTTGGTCGAATTGAATTTGCAGCCTTCGCACGTCAGTTGCACTGTTCTCTGTCTCCTCCTTGCCCTGGTGTGACCGGTAAATATGACAGTTCTTCGATTCAGATACAGTAGCATCAGAGGACAACGATGCTTCTTGCGCTTCAACTCAATTCAGAAGCTGCATCATACCTGCCCACATAAGAAGTCCATACAATAAGTTCCTCATTTTCCGAGCTCCCTCGCCAGTCGGCTTCTCTTGCGTCGCGAACAATCTCATCGTCCTTCACAGCAAGGCTCATATATCAGATTCTCTTGGTACAAATTGCCTTTACGGTCGCTAACTGAACCGCAATTTTAGCCAGCCGCGCATTCTAACAATACTCTTTGAAAGGCACTGTCTTCCCTACACGAATGAGTGTCCGGAAAAGACATAATTTTGTACTGAAGTTTTGAGAAAGAAGCGCACGCCGAGCAAGTGCTCATTTTCAAGCATTCCAAAACTATAAGCAGACGTGCGTGCTAGACGTATCAAGTAGATGCCATGGTAGTACTGCATTTAGTTGACCTCGGAATCCAAGCTTGAAAGGTTCCATCGACGACCTGTAACAGGACGCGTTTCGATTCCTCAATGCGTCAAAATCACCACATGATTTGACTTCCCAGCTTCAAGCATTGTGCACACGGAATTATTGTCGGGCTGCATATGTACTGATCCTGTACAGTGCAGGCAAACTTTAACCGGCCCTGTGCCCCACCATCGTAATGTGGGGTGCCAACTTCCCCGGTCTCTGCCTAGCAGCCTCGGGCATCGACGGCGCTCGAAGCCAGAAACATTAGCTTCAACTGTTCGCTAATTGGCTTTGTCACATCCACACCATCGCATGTTCCTGTACGAAGACTGGCATAGCGTCGAAAAGGTGGTAGAAACGTCTTGGTCGAAGTCAGTCCCGAGGTCTGCAGCTTCCACAGTTACAAGCATATAGGGCAATTATGGCGATAGAGCAGCTTTTCGAGGCAATGCCATTGCATTATCTGCAACATGGCATCTCGAAGTTTGGCGCTGCAAACATTGTGCTGGCCGCGTTCATCACGGCCGCTCTTGGTGTACTTGCAGATTATGCGTGGATGCTATACATGAGATCGAAGATGGTGAGAAACGTCTTTCATCCATCAACTTTAGGAAGCGTCTGACTTTGCAGCCTCCCGGCCCTTTTCCGTATCCCATTGTCGGCAACACGTTTCAGCTACCGGACAACAAACCCTGGATATACTTCGAAGAGCTTTCGAAGAGATACAACACACCATTAATCACTTATTGGATCGGAAGAAACCCAACAGTATGGATCAATGATGCATGGACAGCATCAGAATTGTTCGATAAGAGGGCTGGCATTTATTGCTCACGGCCCCGAATGCTTGTGTTCGCCGAACTTGGCTCAGGCCAACACAACCTCGTCAATATGTATACGTTGACGCCTACGCAAAGAGAGCGATTTCGAGTCCAGCGGAAGTTGATGCATCAAGGTGTCGGGATTCAGCAGGTCAAGCGATACCGTGATTTCCAAAACGATGAAAGCAAAGTCGTGGCGTATGACCTCTTGAGTACCCCAGAAAACTACGTAGCGCATTTTGAGCGATATGCGACAAGCGTTGTCTCCATCATTGGCTTTGGCAGGAGGGTGGCGAGCTCAACAGACCCTATCATCACCGAGGTTATCGCAGTGATGCATCGCGCAGCGGACTTGAATGTGCCAGGAAAGACGTTTCCAATGTTACTGGAGACATTCCCATTGCTAGCTAAGGTACCAACTGAATATGCGCCGTGGAAGCATGGACTGGGGAAGAGAGGCAAGTCGCATCGCGGTCACGACTTCTTCTATTCTCTCGCCCACGAAGCCAACGAGAAACCTGGCCATGATGATTGTTATGCCAAAATGTTGTTCAAGGAGCAAGAGAAATACAATCTGTCCCCAAGAGAGATTTCCGCACTTTCAGGGAACCTCTTCGGTGCTGGTTCGGATACCTCAAGCAGCACACTCATAACGGCTGTTTTGGCAATGCGCGCATTTCCTGAAACCTTGATACCAGCCTGGGAAGAAATCGATCGTGTGGTCGGTCCCGATCGGAGTCCGTCATTCGAAGACGACGCGAACTTGCCATACGTACGTGCTTTTGTTAAGGAAGTCTTCCGATGGCGATCAGTCGCGATCATCGGCGGACAGCCACATGCACCAACACAAGACGACTACTACAACGGCTACCTCATTCCAAAGTCAACATGGGTGCAAGGCAACGTATGGGCGATTCACCACAACGACCGCGAGTTCCCGGAACCTGATCGCTTCAATCCAAACAGGTTTCTCAAGAATCACCCCGATGCACGTCCATTCCCTGGTGAGCGCGGGTATATGACATTCGGCTGGGGAAGGAGAGTTTGCTCGGGACAAGCATTGGCAGAGCAAGGTACATGGCTAACGATCGCACGACTTCTGTGGGGCTTCAGACTCGGACCCGCCTTGGACGAGAATGGAAAACCAGTGCCGGTGGACATCTTTGACTACACGTAAGATATATTGCCTTGGTTTCCAATGACTTACTAACATGTATGTAGCAATGGGCTCAACATGCGACCACAGCCATTCAAGGTGACCATTGAGCCTCGAAATGAACGTATACGGCAAGCGATTATCAAGGAGGGCGAGCAAGCGCTGATCGATCTCGCGCCATACGAGGGTGAGACGAAGTATCGGATGAGCACGTTCTACGCAAAGAAATGAGTACCAAAGCGCGTATTCGTAGATTGCATGCTGAGGTCAACCAATATGACTGCCCTTAATGGTAGACTTATGCAGATGATGATACTTGACAAGCTCACCTCAAGACTTCTTTTGCGAGGATGTATTTCAGCCGTTAATTTCGAACGAGCCCACGATAGATATTCACGTACATTTGACACCACGCAACCGATGAAAATCTCGAAAGCGTTGCATGATTGAATATGTGTTGTTTAGAAAGAGAGACATTTTCCACGCGAGTGGAAGCGACTTTGCTGACTTGCTCGAGTCAATATGCAAGATTAGATTAGAAGATGGTCATGTTGGTTGAGTAGGTTGAGCTTAATCACAAATGGATAGTCTGTATTTTCGTTCGTACTCTTTCTCATGGCATTACCGTACAGCTCCGTTCAATCTTCCATCTCCCAGCTATCTATAAGTAGGTGGGACGCGTTCTGCTACAAGCCTGCGTGACCTGATTGCCTCACCTCAAGATTGTACTCGAAACTAAATCCTGCGTCACCATCCTCAATTCTATCTCTAGGCACCATCCTGAGGTGTTCCTCCATTCTGACGCAGAGCACAAGGGCCATAGAATCCGTGATTATGATAGGAACAGTCCGCGATCGCAAACTCTTCTGGAACCATACCATCTCTGTGCTGGGTTTTTCTCAACAAAGCCAGGTCCTTCAAGACATGTCGCAGGAAGTCGGGTGGGTACTTTGACAAGGCCAGCACGTCGATCTCGTGCGACGAAGCGAAGCGTGCATATGCACTGACTGTCATTCTGAAGAGGCCTGACTTTGTTCCGCACTGTCCAATGAATAACTGCACGCCAGTCTGTGTAAGTAGGCGAACGAACTGAGACTGATGACCGTCTTTGCTTCGAAGCATGGCTAGGATCTTTGAGACAACGACGTCCTGAAATCGCCAGTCATGTAATAAAGAACCAAGCCAGTAGCATGCTAGCAGGTGGCCATAGTCATCCCTTACTTGGTCTGGTGTAAGCGGTGGTACTACTTTCTTGGCAGAAAAGCCGAAAGTGTGGCTTCAAGATACGGCAGACAGGCCCAGAAGGATATTCTTCCGGTGTGCCATACTTGAAAGCAAGGAGATCTCTCCCTTCTGAATGCATTTCTCGTACGCAACAAAGTGCTCGACTGTAGTCTGTTCCAGAGTTATGGGATGTTGCGAATTCTTCGAGCTGGACGATGGCTGCTGGACTTGCTCTTGCTCAAGACAAGAGGCGGCAAGATTTGCGGAATTGATGCGGTATTTCTTGTACTTCAGTAGCTCAGTATGGATATCTGTACTCCGTGGCACGTGGAAGATGACAGCTGTAGAAGCCCTGGGGTCTCATTATTAGTCTTTGGTATCTCCGTAGGCCTGACGACTCTTACCGTGAAAACATGCTTTGTTCTCGGAGTTGAGTGTGATTATTTGAAGTTGCTTTATATCTCACGATGTACAAGCAGTGGTGAGCCAGCTCAGAGGTAGGAATGAAGATAGAGGGATGGTCGGTCAATGTGTTTTTATTGATGAGCTAGGACCTAAACGAAACCAGGCTGGTGGGTGTGAGATGAAGAGACAAGCGCCATCTTCCATCAAGTGAAAGCTCGAGTTGTATATTGAGTGGCGATGAAAGCAAGCAATGAGCTTGAGCTCGAGCGCATGGGCGCTGACAGCCACTGTGATTGTAGCCAACGTACAAGTTCCGGAAACTGAGAACGACCGTCATGTTCCTGTATGGTCCGGCATGCATCAGCACAGGGCCAAATCCCTCACTTCTACTTGCGACAAGCATTGATGTCGCCAGTAACACGAGGCTTGAGGCGCGATGCCAAAATCTCCCACGTCGCAGGCTTCTCTTTAGACTTTGGAGGCATAAAAGCTACCTCGGACTCGGTGACGTGATCACTGAAATTGAAGCAAAGCATCTCTTCGAAGGCCTGGGCGGCAACTGCTGTGACGTAACCTCGCGGATAGCCGTTGCGCTGGACAAGACTTCGGATGTAGCCAATGGTGCCGAACTAGGCGGTGACGTTGACGATGATGGCGCGAACAGATGATTTCTTCTCAAACCTAGGGAAATGATCACTGACGACTTAGTCGTTGAGGCAAGCGATGAAGATCGCCTGATCACTGCCAATGCGCAGTTTGCCGATGATTGTCGTTCTAACGGCCTCCTCGAAGGTATCATCACCAAGGCAGTGGCTCAGACAAAGGCAGGCCAGGAGGTCGAGGTAGCAGTCGTACTCGTACTTCTCGGTAGAGCATTTGTTTGCCTGTTGGTATTGATAAGGCAGAAAAGTAGTTGAGCCCGACTTGGCGATTTAACACCCAATAGTGCCGCCACATGTGGCCAACATGGCGCAGGTTAAATTTAAGGCGTAGCTCAGGCTTGCGGCCAGCAGCTTGCTCACGGCCGTTGTTGGTGATATATTTCGAGGTAACGAGGAGACGGCGGAGTAGGTCGTGGGGATAGTCGGTACCGCGGACGTTGAAGATGATGCGAACCATGTTGCGGTCCTGGTTGGGGGTCGCGGTGGGCGTATCGTTGTTCTTAGAAGCTACTCACTTGCCGCGTGCCATCATAGTATTGGCCGCCATGGTAGAAGTAGAGTACTAGAGCAAGGTACAAACTATTTTCCTGGTAGCCATGGCTCTGCTCTTAATGAACCGCCGCAGCCTAGCAAGCTCGGAGACTAGTGTAAAAAGAAACAGGGTGCACCGTGAGACGGGTGGAGGAGCTGCCGTTTTTTTCCCCGCAGCCGTTGATACTGCTCTCAGCTCTATTTGTCAGCGTCAAACGCATCCGTAAACCGCCGTAGAGGATGTTCCTGATATAACCGCAGTCGAGAGGACGCAGAAACTCTCGCAACACTCTGCGTCAGGTAGTGCCCGGGTACCCAATGTAGATGATGGAAGGGATGACGACTGCTCAATGACCCCTTCCCCACACTTTTTTAACATGTCACATTGATGTGTGCAATATCGCTGCAAACGGCCCCACCCTACAATTTTATCTCGCCGTGGCCATGCATCTAAAACTTACCTCGTTGGGGTAGCTAGGTGGTTTCGAGCATTCTCGTTGGCTCGGTTGATTCTAGCGGATTGTGCTACCACGGTTACGAGTGAATAGTCCACAATTTGCGAGAGCAGGATGCCGAACGAATTGTTTAATTTTTAATCTTATGCTATGTTTGAGTCGAAGCTGGTGTGAAGAATTGCGCACAGTCTGACCTGTTCCGTGGTTCAGTAGTGCGCGATTCACATGATGTGAGACCCTTCTCAATACGATTCGCGATATCTACCATGGTACAGCAGCCTTAGGTCCTCTGTGGTAAGCTTCAGGGAGCATCTTATAAGAAGGTAATACATCTGGCTCTTTTATCTTTGTATCGACTGCGGCTGTTGTACATCACCTGCAAAAGCAAAACCTTGAACAAAGCACCGTGCTTTCATCTAATATTCGCCTTACACAAGCATGGATGACTTTGATGACTTTGAAGAGTTTTACTCTTGGGAGCGTTGCATATTCGCACCAGGAACCGACAGCCTGGGCGAAGGCGAAAGGTGGTGCAATTGCGATCCGGCTACGAATACGATATGCTGGAAAGAGATGGGAAGGCAAAATGCTGCAGCTTGTAAGCTTGGTTGGGATATGGGCGTACAGGCACAGTTGAAATTCTTCCTTGAAAAGAACCGTCTCGTCGCCATTTCTCATCCGGTGCTGCAACAGCCTGTAGGGCCGAACGAAGAGCATATGGAGGCCATGGCCGAACTCGCAAGGACAGCAGCCAGACAGCAGGAAGAACAAGGACATATCAACTCGGCTACCCCCTACGAGAATGATGCAGCCAATTCAACCACTGATAACCCTAACCCTACCCAATTCGATCAGGTTGGAGACGTGGAATTCAAGGGCATGATCGACTATGACCCTGTTGCCCCCGAGGATGATTTGATACTGTGGATGGCAACCTACCAGTCGGAGCAAGGTGCGCCCACGACTCTTGCCGCAGAAGATCACCTCGTGGTCTGACCCCGATGTCGAATGTGGAAGCGGATGATTTGATCGGACTTTCCAGACGGGGGGACGTTCCTTCATCAATGTTAGTACGGCTGTCTCACATCTTAATCTGGCTGACACGCTGATCTCATTGATCAGATCGCATTTTCCTATATTTTTCTGGATTCCGCCAATGATGTCCTAGCGGTAGGACTCACTGACGATACCACTGACTACGGCAGCCTCCGTATTCATCTTGTGGTCGCACGCGTCGGTTCTGTCTTTCCTGTTTGTTTTATTGATTTCGATCAGGCAGATCGGTCTTGTTTGTTTTCTTCAGGGGGCTTGTTTAGTCTCCGCGGGAGACCGTATAGCCTCTAAAAGCCGTGCAGCTCGTGGGTGCATTTGGCTGTCTCCGTTTGTCTTTTATCTTATGAATAATTTGTTTACCTTGCTTCGATATTTATGTTGCCCGTTGATTGGTATCACAATCTTCGCTCAGCACCAAACACACTAGATATAAAAACAATGGTCCGGACTCATTGCGTTTGATTGGAGTGCTTGGTGACATGAGTTCGCTTACATGTTCGCACATGCCCATGTGTTCTTGCCTGACGTGATGATCTATTCCATAATTGGGGATCTCACAACCATTTACAGAATGAAGCGTGCGCGTGTAGAGGACACGAATCGGCCCTTGGGTGTGAGGCCTGGAGACGTTGTCCTTGATGTTGTCGATGGATCCAGTGGTATGGACCTCGGGAAGATGTCCGCCGGGATATTTTGCCGAGATCGGCCGACGCCTCTCAGGGCTGTGGCGACGCATCAACCTTCCCAGGTTGGAACATCGCAAAACATCCCAAGGCAGTGCTGTTTACACCTGAATCAGCGGCAATTTCACTGTTGCGCACGAGAAGAGAAGGACCTTTGTTGATAACGGGTTGCGCACAGTACCAATCCAGAACAGCTCGTTCGTGTGTTCTCGAGTAAGTGCGGAGTTCCGTCTGATCCGACAAAGGGCCGATTGCGCGTGTTCATGGCTTAGCCAGGAACGTGCAAAATGCGGTGGATCTTCTCACAAGCATACTAATGCGAGCAATGTACAAAGAATGATGTATTTGGATCCAACGACGGAATGACGGCTTTCATGCCCGTGGGTAGTCGCAAACTCTGATGCCGAGATACCGTAGTCTGGCACACGCTGGACCGTTCCGCAGAGCCTCAGATTTCGTTGACTAAAAGGCGACCGGCGAAAACTACAGACCTGCTGCTTTCCCAAGTGCAGGAACCCTTGATTCGAGACCAGAGCATGCTCCAGGACGTGCTGAAACCTAACGGAGGTCGCCTGCACGCATGCGCAACTACAGACACTCATCTCTGGAGCTGGTTGGTTCTATGCAGCTTTGAGCTCCGCTCTTTCCCGTCCCGACCACACGTACGCGAGAATGATTTTCGATGCGCTAGAACCCTCAACCGTACGCCACAGCCCATGAGAACCCAGCTCCTCGAAGAGAGTGGAGTATGAAACCTTAACGTGTGGGACGCTTACTTGCCGCGTGCAGTCTGAATCAGGGTCCCCAGTTTTCCGCCGTCTGACCTACCCGGCAAGGGCCCGTATGCCATTTGCAGTAATAGACCCAGGGCACGATCGCGGAAGTGTCGAATCGTGGGAAGTTCTAGTCCGAGTGGAAGGAAAAATTCGTAGATCTCTCTTCGCCTGTCCCTGCTATGGCATGGGTGAAAGTGGATTTTGGCCCCTGTGGACAGTGCGAGCAAAGATGATTATACTGTTATACATGCGCTTCCCGTCACTGTGAGACCATTCTTGCTGGGCCCCTAGCAATCCTGAATTTCACACCACCTACCATCATGGCGAAAGAAGATCGTTCTCCAGAGTTCATTGGTGTATTAGGCTTCTTCATTACAATATGCACACTATTGGTACTCCTTCGATGCTACACCAAGGTCTTCATCGTCAAGAACTTTGCTGCCGATGACTGGTTCTCCGTCCTTACCCTAATCTCTTTCCTCGTCTTCTGTACCCTGGCTCGATTGGGAATATCAAATGGCACCGGAAAGCGAAGATATCTCATCCCCGACGAAAAGCTGCCGAACGGCATGAAGGTAAGAAGACCTACAGTCCACAAACAATGCAATGTCCTAATACATCTTGTTCAGTGGTGGTGGTGCTGCGAACCTACCTACGTGATCACCAACATCTTCCTCAAATTCAGCATCGGTATCTTCCTGCTCAGGATCGCTGTTGACCGCTCGCACCGCATCATCCTCTGGACCTGCCTCATCGCCATACAGGTGTACAGTGTATATTTCTTCTTCATCTTTACCTTCCAATGCTGGCCGGTATCCTACTTCTGGGAGCAGTTCAGAGGCGGTAAAGGACACTGCATCCCTTCGAATGTCATCGTCAACTCGTTTTACGGATACTCGGCGCTGAGTTGCGTTACGGATTGGACTTTCAGTATCGTGCCAATCTTCATCGTGCGCAAGCTGCAGATGAACAGCCGTAAGAAGTGGACAGTCGGTATTGTCCTTGCATGTTGTGCTATGTAAGTGGCAACACGCCCCATAGTTCACGAACGCTTATTAACCTCGTACCAGCGGTTCCACGGCCACGATAGTCCGCATCCCCTTTATCAACGGCCTCAACGATATTCCTGACTTCCTCTACTCCACCATTGACGTGGCCATCTGGTCGACATGCGAAACTGGCATCGGCCTAGCGACATCCGCTGCTGCTACTCTACGACCCCTCCTCCGCCAGGTCTTCAGTGAAATGTCTACACACGACAGCGCGAGCCGGAAACCCTCCCGATGGGGGGCGTCAACACACCCCACACGATCTGGTTATCTGGAGCACGGTAGCCAAGGTGATCACAACGACATCCAGCTCACCAACCACGACTCGAAGAACAATCACGTCCATGTTGTTGGCGGTGGCGGTGGAAGCCCATCGGGAAGCACGATTGTTCTGAACAAGGATTGGGATCAGCACAAGGAAAGCTGGAATACGTCGCCTACTGGATCAATCTCGAATAACAAAGGCATCATGAAGACGGTGAAGATCACGCAGCTGTAAATGGTTTAATGTGCGATGATTGTTTTGACGGCGCATATACCCGGGATAGAACATGACTCCTTGCTCTCTACATAATGATTATTTAATGCCGCTTAGGCTGTACCCGTGAAGAACACATCCATAACCGCTCTAACCACCAGCATGCGTCGCGTGCTGTATAAGCCTTGCCAACATGAGTGGTCCGGTCATTCCAATGTGTGGCGCCAACCCCTATTTTGCTTGAGATTGATTACCACCTCGATGCCGGCGCGCTGCAACTCATCCCATATTCTGTCATCTTCGTCTCCCAACTTATCTTCTTCTTCTATGGCTTCTTCTAAGTCTCTATCGAGGCGATGAAAGAAGCGTTCGCTAAAGTAAGGATCTTCAACGTCGTCTGGGCTCTCTTCCGAACTCCTGCTAGTATCTTGCGCCACTGGGTGATCGACAGAGTCGTGAACCTGCCGAAGTCGTGGGTCTGGCGAGAGGGAAATGGCCAGTCTGTCGCACCAGAGACTGATGCGCTTAAGGTTCGGATATTCGGATGGATACTCAAGAACATATCTCGCCCAGTGATTGAGGATGCGAGTGGAGTCAATGACCCCTACTTCCTCCACATTCTCAGGCAGTGGTGCTGGCCGCCATCCTTGTGCGTGTGTACCAATGAGTGCCTCCTGTGGCAATACGAGACGACGCACATTCGGCAGATTTGACAAAGTCCAGTTGTCTGAGCCAGAAGTGTTGGTGTAGAAGCCACCAATTGATTCAGCTTGGACGCGCCAAGTGTGCGCATATGTGACCTGCTGGATAATTTCTTCGTATAGACTCCAGTTGACGTCTGCGGCATCGATTGTGACGCTCTCAACAGTCGCGTTATGCAGTAATCCTGTGAGTGTGCCGTACGTGGGCTCCAGGCGCTCCCAATGCATATCCTCATACAGGTAGGCATTCGGTGGACTCCGGTACGAAAGGCGTATTTGCAAATCGCACAACCCAGCGAGGTTCCTGACAAGCTTCTGTGCCGTGTCATAGTGACTATTGTAAAGACGGAACCCAAAATCGTTGTCGTCAACACTCTCCAACACTATCACACTGAGATCGATAATCACAGATTTGATACCAGGATTGTCTCCTTTGGAAACGTCGTAATAGGCGGGCCCGAACTCTTCGTCCTCATACCAGCCACGAGCATACCCAAGATCAATGTGTAGGCTCCGGACTGTGGGCATTGTAACCGCAGCCCATGGAGGCACGAACGTCGTTTTGAGACTAGTTATCTGCAAAAAGCCAGCGATGAGAGCAGGCTTCAAGATCACGGGTAGTCCGAGACTGAAATGAAAAGCCGCTTCGTCGTCCCGATAAGTGTTCAAAGATAGGGCAGAGAGATTTGGAAGCAGATATGGTATGATACCCGTGATGGCTGCCCATGCATAGTTGTTGGTGAAGCAATGGTCGTACTCATTACGAAGAATCTTCTGCCATTCGGTATAGAAGCCATACCGCCTCCTCCTAGACGAGGACGGAACGGCTTTCGTGAGCCACAAAGACATTTCGATGCCCTCTACTAGAGTCGCACAGATACCTTGGAGCTCGTGGAGTCTGCAATAGCATGGAGTCTTCTCACAGCCAGTGCCAAGATCCAATGCATGCTCAGAGTGTTGTACAACAAATGGATTGACGTCGATGTGAAGTGACTCCGCTCGTTTTGCCAAATCTGGCCTTTGAGACAGAACAATGAGGATACGGTGTATTCCAGTAATGGCTCCCCGTTCTGTACGGACACTGTTGTCCACCGCCACGGCACGGAAAAGATACTCTTGAGCAAGCGGACGCATGACGCGAGATGTTAATGCAAGATGGCGTAGATCCTGGTAGCGTGCAAGAGTGAGGCGCCAGAAAGCTCTGTCGACTTCTCGAGGGGCGACGATTGGTGATTCTAAGAATTTCGCCGTGTCTGTATCTTCATGCATTGTTTCGCTGACGTAGTGGACGATGCGGAGCATCAGCTCGACCGGGAGGTCTTTCAGAGTCGCCATTGAGTACCATGGACGTCTCCAGCTATGTGCGAGGTGAGTGGAACGAGCTTGGTATTGTCGCGAGACTCTGTGGAAGTGCGGGCAGGGACGAGGAAAGACGGTCAATAGTCTTGGCGCGTCTGGCGCGTTGGGCCACATGGGAAGGAGCGGCGCGATGTCATGTGATCTTTCCGCGAACATCTCACAGTCTTTGGGGTCAGACAAAGGTCTGCTCACATTAGGAAAAAGGCGTAAACGATTCGATTTTGACGTCATTTCATTCCCGCAATAGTTTTCCCAGCATCCAATGCGCGAATTGCAAGGCCGGCATGATCATGGCCGCTATCATTCTTGAGACTGCATTGTGCAGCTTCCATAATACTGTCTCTTGCAATTGATCGCCATCGAGAGCTCGTGCTTGATCAATTCGGTCTTCTACTTCTTCTCTTAACCGAGCAGCTTTACTCGGCAATCCGAGGCCAAGACCAAGATATAGGCCAACTATGACGTATTCCATCACAACTTGCCTAGAAAACGGCAATCAGCTTAACGGCGCAAACAGATGCAAGAAATAGAAATGGGGGTTTTTCGCAATACGGATTCAGCAGAGGGATTGTCAAACTTACATGCATAATTGGATGGTGACGTCGCCGCTGATGACGTTGAAGCGCATATGCTGCCAACGCTCGTAATCTTCCGGCTCCCAACCTTCATACGCAAAGCACATCATGTAGACGACATCGACAACGAAGAATGGCAAACTGAGTACCACAGTAGTCAGAATCTTGACTTCGTTTGAGTCCGCCAAATACAATCGTGCAGAAATAACGGTGGTGGCCCAAATTAGAACGACGAAACATGCGACGTATAGCGTCACGCCAGCTTTGGTCGCTTCCGTGGCAGCAAACGTTGGACCATCACGGGAATCCGGATCGATACCGCCAGCGACAATCAGAATGAAGGAAATGACAAGCGGGATGTGAACCATGACCAGAATCCATTGCATGCGGCGTCCTTTGGGCCTAGTGGTGGTATTGAGCAAGCTACTTGTCGCCATGAACAAAGGAGTCAATCCCATGGACGTGAGAATCGCAACACCGCTTTCCAGCGATGTATTGGGAGCCGTATTGATCGGAAATGTCGTCGTGGCGTAGAAATCGATTGCGACTTGCGTCAGGCGGCAAATTGACAGCAAGGAGAGCCAGATCCATGGCGAGCTGCGGCCGAGTCCTTGGCGAGCAATCAGGTAGATGGAGGTGCTGAGGTAGACAGAGAAGAACACGAGCGTGACAATGTTGACGATACCTCCATAAGGAAGCGCAGCCATTGGGATTAAGGCATCGGCAGTGGATTCGAGATGGAAGGAATCAGGGAAGATGATCGCATCTTTGAAGGAGACGGGCGGAACTTTGCGGTGACTTGGCTAGCCTTGGCGTCCACAGTTCGTGCGTCAACTTCGATCGTCCGCTCCATCACAACAAAGTTCGTTCATCAAAATACCGCTGTCATCTCTGTCGTGTAAGCCTGCGTGGCTCAGCGCGTCGGAAAGGGCGGATCATACTGCGGACATTCGCAGCGGCAGGCATTCCGGAGCTGCACGGAATGGGTTGAATTGCGAGTCGTCGATCTCCTATTACTTCGCCACACTGAGGCTGTGCTCGAAGCGGAGCAATTCCGGGACTTTATGCGGTGCACGCATGCACACGTCTCCAACGCAAAACTTCAATTTACTGTCGGCGTCAAAAACATAGCAAGGCGTATTCGAAGAAAATTCCGCGGACATGGAAAAAGCACTCATCATCAAGATGCGTGACACAGCAACTATCAACTCCGCCCACACCCGTTCTATTATTACTATTGGCCTATTCTCTCTACGACGGTCTACCAAGTTTACGCCTTCGGAGCACGTCCGTTGTAATCCATACCCGGCGACGCGGTGTAGTTTGCGAAGCAGTCGTAGTCAAAGTCGATCTCAGCACTGCGCTTCTGCAGCACGGACACAACATGATCAAAAGAGCAGAGACCATTCGCATCCTCAGGGCATCCCGGATATGATTCGTTGATTGGGATGACAGCGTCGTTGCTAGGGTCAGTGTCAGTACGTTACAACGATAGGAGGAGCTGAAGATTCTTGAACTCACACAATGAACCTGATCTGCTTCGTCGGTTGCATAGCCGGGCAGCTCAACACCTGCGCAGTAAAGTGCGTCGCAAAAGGTACGAGCTTGGATGCAACAAAGCTGTTTTCCCTACGATTTCCGGTCGGGCTCAGAGGAGGGCCGTTGAATAGAGCGGTCAAGTTGAACGCAGTAAGAGTGTCAAGCACAACAACCTCGTGCGTCGCATCCGCGTAGATCGACTGGTTGAGCGGGAAGAAAGTGGTCGTGTTGTCAAACGTTTCATTCAGCGCGGAGTTCGCACCAGGATACTTGCCAGTAAATCGCGCAATAAACTCATCAAGATATCCTTTGCCCTGCGCAGCGGCGACTGGAGAACCAGGGCCGTTGTTGTAGTAGAACGACAGATCGTAGTAATACTCGTAGTTCAGGAAGTCTTCTTCGCTGAAAAGGTCGCAGAACGCGGAGTATCCAAGAGCATGGGTCTCGTACGAGCAGAGCTGCATCATGGCGATGGCATCGGTGGAGGTGAAGTTGATGCCACTGACTTGCGACTGAAGGCGCGCAATGGTCGAGTTGAACGCGTTGGCGGCGAAACGCGATGCAACAGTACTTCCGATGCTGCCCTTGTTGGCAACATTGGAGTTTTTACAGATCTCGTATGGAGCTCCAGAGTTGTTGACGCCCTGAGCTTCCACGATGATCTCGATATTCACCTCATTGAGGAACTCGGGCACACCGAAGAAGCCGGCTGCGAAATTCTGGGCTGTCTTTACCATGCGGTCCTGCGACTGGGTGCGGAAGACGGGGATGGTCTTGGTCTCAGTAAAGTTGTTCAGCAAGTGGCCGTAGAGCTGGCGATACGCAACACCGAGCATGAAATTTTGGCTGCGACCAAAAGGTGTCAGGAGTTCGGCTCCCAACTTGTAAGTCCAGTCACCAAGGAAAGTAAGATCTCCGGAAACTGAAAGGCCCGTTTTGGTGGCATTTGCAACCTTCTGAGCGAAGGTCTGCGGCGCAGCGCCTGAAGTAGGGTACCTGGCACCGTGGCGATACAGCAAATGAACTTGGGTGATATCGCATCCATCAGGAATTAGAGGGTCCGCATCAGGTAAGCCATAATCCGAAGAGCGCACGGAGTACCATGGCGACAGGTTTCCCCAGTACTTAGTGATGTCGAAGTCAGGCGACTGGCTTCCGCTGCCATGCGGTTGCGGGTTGATCAAGGGGAAGGCATTAGCATTTCCATCGTTGTACGGGTAAGCATTCGCAGTCTGAATTGCCGCTGGCTCAGCTCCAGTTGGTGTAGGGCCTGGGAAGCCAACAACAGACTCTGGGGGGAAGTTGGAGGGATTAACCGAGGCTGTAATCAAGGTTAGAAAAACACAACGCGGTCGGCCATCATGTTCGACTTACTACCCGATGGAGGATACCTATCCGCAGTCTGAGAACCTGCAAAACCTGAAGCGGAGACGGTTGTTGGTGGTGCTGCTGCAGCATGTGTGAGGAGCGATATGAACGAAGCCGCACGGGCAATTGAAGCGGTCTGCGCCCTCATCTTCAACAATCGTGAAGTCGTCACTATACTAAGCTTTGACAAGCTTTGCCCAGGAATGCAGGCGGAGAAAGCGACATTTATAGGTATCTAGCCTCACCACGCGCGGCGTTATTATCATAAACGCTTAGATCGCGGCGTACTCATCCCGTAACTGAGTTTACACACGGCAGGGCTGGGCCAATCACCACCTTCTACTATGCCATGTGCTTGCAGGGAAGCTATTGGCAACACAACGTGGGACTCCAACACGTTCCTTGATGACGACATTGGTGCTCGATTTCGTCCCGGTGTCCTGGATGTGGGATGGTGCTTGCTGTAAGGCGTCGAGAGCATGTACCGAAATGTCCGGCGGTATGGCACATTCCCAACAAGCCGTTCCTAGCGGCGGGCAGCTCGATTCCAGAACTCGAATCTCCATACCATATGCGCGCATGCGTAGAAGAAGCGATTATGCCTGTCAACTGTGTAGGGAGGAACATGGTTGCGCAAAGGTTATGTGGATGTCGTTGCGTCTGTGCGCACCCATTGACAAGATGACGAAGTGTACCGGCCCACCGTCAAGTTGAGCAATTGACAAGACCACGTTACCGTCTATGTTAGCAGAAAGTACCGGAGGCACTGTGGGTCTAGTCTTTTGAGATCGAGAGCAAAGACCAAGGTTACACGATGTCGGGCTTGCAAATCCCGTCCTCGCTTTTTTCGATTTCAAGCTTTACTTCAAATCAGCCAAAAAAAAAATCACACTCATCCACAAACACTGACACACGTGAAAACATCAAATTCCGACACAAAAAACAGTATGTGATCACATCCGTGTAACTAGATATGCAAAATCCGGAAATGCGACATGCTGCGCACAGTTCTAGTTATTGGGTTGCCAAACCAGCTTCCTAGGTAAGTTCAGAACGCGTAGCAGCAAGAACAAAGCGCAGTAACCAGGAAAGAGTACGATTAGACCTAAGATAGCATCTGAATTTACAAAAAAAACGAATCTATATACAATTCCTGATTACTGTAAAGTCCCCACCGAATACGCACTCGGTATGTTTCCCCGATTTGGCGTAACAACTGGCACACTCTTATATTCCGGAACCTCCAGGACCTCATTGGCAAATACCGGCGATTTGCGAATTTTAGTCAATTGCTCGATTTGATAGCCAATACCCAGCAGCTTCTCCTCCTCGAATGGGCGACCCAAGATCTCCATACCAATGGGCACACCAATGGGCGCGTCTTCCGTCGCTTCGCTGAAGCCTGCTGGAACGGTGACAACGGGTGTGCCAGTGAGCGCGGCTAAAATGCCGTTGCGACCTGTTTGCGATGGCGAGCCGAGCTTGACGACGAGATTCTTCTGTTCGGGGTAGATGATCGCGTCGAGATTGTTAGAGGCAAACGTATTGAGAAGCGCAAGGGTAAGATTGCGAATACCTGCCTGACGCGTGGCGTAGGTTGCATTACTGGTTGATGAGACAAGTGCAGTATTTACGTATTCATATTGGGATGGGAGGACAAGGAACTCTCCGCCAGACCCATTGGATGCTTTGCGCGAGTACAATTCGTCGAGTGTTGCCGGGTGCTCGCCCGCGAGTGATGGGCGCTTCAAGTACTCATCCATAAGCTGACGGTATTCGTATCTCTGGACATCGTAAGAGGCTTGAATGGCTGTAGCATTGTAGACTGATTCGCTGACTGGGACGAGTGTGACGCCTTGAGCCGTGAGTTGGGACATTAACGTATCCATTGCGTTGTTCACGGGTGTCACCTCAGATCCGTTGGAGCGGTTGAAAAACCCATTGAGGACGCCTAAGCGTAGACCTTTTAACGAGGCGTGTGATAGGGAGGCAGCATAGTCGATGTTGCGGTTTTCTGGTGGGACAAATCTAGTCTCGTTGTCCGCAGCATCGTATCCTGTGGTAGCCATGACCGTCAAAGCGACAGCAACATCCTTGATAGACCGCGCAATAGGGCCAATGACATCCTGTGTGGTTGATATGGGAATGATGCCAGTTCTGGTGATCAGGCCCTTTGTGGGTCGGATGCTGCACAGTGAATTCGCGCTTGCTGGACTTCGCAGCGAGTTGACAGTATCCGTCCCCGTGCCAATTACGCAAAATGATGATGCTACAGCCGCGCCTGTGCCACCTGAACTACCACCAGGCGTTCGTGTCGAATCGTAGGGATTGATAGTCTGGCCACCGAGTGAAGATACGCTGATACCTTCCAGGGCGAGCTCGTGAAGGTTCGCTTTTCCGAGGATAATAGCTCCAGCTCGTTTGAAGGCAGTCACAGTCGGTGCGTCTTGCAAGGGCTGCGACTTTGCGAGAGCCAACGCACCTCCGGTAGTCGGCATGTTGGCCGTGTCATAATTGTCCTTGAGCAAAATCGGGATACAAAAGAGTGGTCCAAATGCATTGCCCGCCGCAAGTTGTTCGTCCAGAGAGTCGGCAATGCTCAGAGCATTGTGGTTCAAGGTGATGATAGCATTTGTTTGATTATTATGCGCCTCAATGCGAGCAATAAAGGACGACACAACCTCGCGACACGTTGATAGGCCCGAGTGCAGCGCGTGGTGGACAGTATCGATTGTTGCTTCTCGAGAATCAAACGGCATGGTTTGCGCTAGCACAGCGTGGCTACTGAGCGCGGCGAGGATGATCCGGCAAAACGACACCATTCTGTATAGAGAACTTAGAGAAATGCCTCACAGTTGGACAAAGACATTACCATGGAGCAGCAACTTGAAGTATTTATGGATCACTGCACGCCGTCCAATTCTACCCTGGCTATCCGGTCAACTAATGCATCGCTTGGCTGACAAGGCGGCACTGTTGCAGGCATCCGACATATAGGTGGTCAGAAGTCGTGATAACGCCTGTGATCAATTGTTTTCTGCTTATCGTTCCAGCTTCGCAAAGGACCAATGATGGGATAGATGACGTCATGCGCTAAGACCCCTGAGCACCTGCCATTGCAGAGCAAGCGTTCTCACACCGACTCCAATTAAAAAAAAGCTACAAGAGAACGCAACAAGACTGCAACAAATAGCAGCTCAATTTGTCTTGAAGCTATGTGCAGGACCTTACTGACGTAACCAACCAGAGTATTGCGCATGGCTTCAGGCTGTTGAATGACTGTGCACTTTTCGTGGTCGACTACCTGCAGCAGCAACTGCAAACATGGCTCAGATGGCTGCTAACAGCTGCCGAGGCACCATATTTCCAGAGCAGAGTGGCCCTAGATGGCGGTGCCAGAGAGACAGAGCAATGTGATCGGTGTTTCGATGCCCATGTTGACTTTGGGCTCGTGATGGATAACGCTAGTAAAGAATGAAATAGCATGACAGTACGTAAGGCCAGGACACGAGAAGCTTCACGCACACATGCACAACACACATGTTCCAGCGCTGAGCCTGGTATAGGCATAGCAGTGCGGTCAATGACTGAAGTCGGCATGTATTGCTCGACCTACGCTGACGGGCAACAATCCCGGGGCCCTTTGTCCCGTACTCGATTGATTCACCTTCATGAGCATGAGACGTTAGAGCGCCATCCAATATTTGCTTATGTCAGTGTATTTTTTATCGTGAACTGGAAGGTGTCGAAGGTTGCGCATGATGCAAGGTCGATGCTTTGGAAGACTGTATGGCTCCAGTGTCGTATTGTAACACAGGAGTTCTTCATTCAACAGTATTGCATGTCAGTTTACGTTGCGGAGGGCGAACGAGAACGCGATGCATGGATTGAAGACAGTTGTTGGCGTACAATGGCTTCTACGTCTGTCAGTGAGTGTTGATGACCTTGAGAGGAATGTGATGCTCGCCTTCACCTCCGTGTGGCGTTGACCGCGCGTAGTGCAGGGTATCGTGTATACTCAGCCGCGCATGACGGTCTTCATTTAGTCGCGCCATATTCCCATCTAACCTCAAAATGCCTATCACCTAGGCAGTTGTCTTACCGTGTTCAGCGTGCAGACAGGCCACGCTGATGTTGAAGTCGGCAGGTCGGCAAATCTGCGGCGTGCCAAGCGCTTATGTAACCATCATCACCACCTTTGAAGTCCAGCCTCAACCTCCTCACCTTATCAATGTGATCACAAACCTTGCGGTCCAGGCCGCATACCCGTTACCTAGCCACTACGGGAACGACTATAGACCGGAAGTTATGCCTACCGAGCGTGTGCCGTCCCCACGGATCGTGTTTGCTTGCCGTTAAGCCTGTGTGAAACTGGCGTTGCTGCACTAAAGAAACTTAAGACCCAAAACGGTCGCACGAAACTCCAAACCACAAATGTCCGCACTCAGATATGCATCACCTTCGCGAAACACATCACAAAAGAGCCTAAGCCACAGCGGATACACCGATTCCGTCCGGACAACAATTTCAATTTTGGCAGATCTCCCGGTGCACGCTCACCGTTAGGCTTGAGTGTTGTGGCCGAGGAGTGGCACCTTTATGTCGTCGAAGCATTATACATGAAGATAGTTTGTGGAGAAATTCGTTACATTCGCATCTCAGTGATCAAGTGCCTCTGAGTCTTACTGATAGTCTGTCTAGATCACGTCTTCCATATCTGATAATTCACCCTCATCACCGCCTCGATGGGATCTATCTCAGCCATTCTATGTTTCACCAGGTTCAGGGATCGATTTGAGTTTGGTGCCAAGCTTTCTCATTCTCCGACCATCGATGCTTAGGTATGGCTATGGCTTGAACTAGGCCTGGACGGGTTTGAACAATGTTCGGGTGATCTCTCCGTGCGCACCAGATGTTTCTGTCAGCGGAGAGTTTCGGTATCTCCATCCCTGTCACACTTCGAGCCAAGCGACTACACTCCATCGTCTCATCAATTGTCACTAAGGTCTGTCATTGGTCCTGCTGTCGACACGATGCCTGGTGTGCATCAAGCTCCAAGTTTCCAAATCGAGGTGGATCAGGCGGCGAAACTACCAAACGCAGTTTGATGGACTCTATTCTTGCCTCCGAAGTGTTTCGATACATCTGCCCAACGCAAAACCTTCTGCCAAGATGTTGTTCTTCGTGCTTCATGTTGGCTGCGAAACAACAATTCGATCACTTCACACGTCTTGGCCAAACCTCAGCCCCTCAGACATCCGTTCTAGCCACAGGCGATGCAACAGGCGACGGCAAGGCACTAGCAGATCAATCGTTGGTATAGTTCGAGAAGATGTATAAAGAGATGCGAGGCCGCGACGGAAGAAGAACATCATCAGCACTCAGGTTCCCAACCCAGCTACTACAGTAATCACTACCTCACTCTTCCATTCTACCTAATAACCCTTCTACTCTTTTCTCTAATCAATCCATCTGACCGGTTCAGCATGTACTTCACTCAGTCTTCCGTTGTTGCTTTCAGCCTTTTGGCTTCTTCTTCGCTCGTGGCTGGCCACGGTGCCATCATCGGTGCTACCGGAGACATGGGTGGCAAGGGTTCTGCCATCGGTGTTGTTCCCACTACTCCTCGTGACGGAACCAACCGCAACCCCTTCCAGCAGGACTCTACTCGCTTCCGTGGCGATGCCGCAGCTACCTGCGGTGAGACTCTTGGTGGAGGTGCCAACGCCGTCGAGGCAGGAACTGCACAGGTTATGCAGCTCAACGGTGCCACCCTTCCCCAGGTCTCTGCTGGTGGTCAGGTAAGAGACTCTCATTCCACCCACAATGCCATAGCTCACACTCCCTAGATCATGATGACTGTTCACCAAGTCAACTCCGACGGTGCTGGCCCATACAAGTGCATGATGGATCCTTCTGGCACAGGCACAAACTGGCAGCCCATCACTGTCACTCAGAACCTTCCTGGTAACGACCGCGGACGCAACAAGGACACTCAGATGCAGGACCTGCCTCTTACTGCCTCCATTCCCGCCGGCATGACTTGCACAGGAACTGTCGCTGGTCAGAGCAACGTCTGCATGGTCCGGTGCGAGAACCCCGCTCGTGCGGGTCCTTTCGGTGGTTGTGTTCCTGTCCAGATGGCCGGTGCTGCTGGTGCTGCTGGTGCTGCTGGTGCTGCTGGTGCTGCTGGTGCTGCCGGTGCTGCCGGTGCTGCCGGTGCTGCGGCGCCTGGTGAGTGATTTCACAGATATCCTTCTCAATCATAGACTGACCAATTTAGCTGCTTCTGCCCCTGCGACCGCCGCAAACCCTGCTGCTGGAGCCAATGCCGCCGCCGGAGCCAACGCTGGTAAGTCTCAATTGAAACATACTCTTCAAGCACAAGCTAACACCATCAAGCTGCCGCCGGAAACGCTGCAAACGCCGCACAGGCTGTGGCACCTGTCGCCAACGGCCAGGCCGCTCAGCAAGCCCAGACTCCTCAGGCATCTGTTAACACCGGTGCCACCACCGGCCAAGTCGCCCAGCCCGCAGGAAACGCGAACGCTGGACTTGCTCAGACCCCTCAGGCTGCCAACACCGGAGCAACATCGAACACCGCAGCTGCTCCCCAAGCTGTAGCACCGATTGCCGGCGCCGCAGCCCGCAAGCGCGCTGCTCTCCGCAACTCGCAGCCTCAGCTCACCAACGACGACCAGGAGGAGGAGGTCGACTTCCTCGACAACTAAGCGATTTGCCTTACACCTAATACATAATGGCGCGACTTTGACAGAGTGCAAGAGATGGATGTAACAAAAAAGACGCATAATGGGAATGTATATACCCCACGATTAGCATGTAGATAAGACATGGGAACGGGTGACGAGAAAAGACGAAGGATGGACCGGTCTGCGACCGCATCTACGAATATCTCCTTATTGGGTATGATTTTGGTTTAGTTTGTTTTTGGTTGCGTGGTGGTTGGGACTGGGAACCCTTTACTGTATACGCTCCTTACTAGTAATCGATATTCAGATTTTATTTTCCTCAATGTTGGTCTTCAACTTCGTGATCTGAATGACGATAGTGACTAATGTGAAGCCTAACAGCCTTAGGCGTCGTATGGATAAGCTTTTGATCGCCCTGGGCGGGGCTGGGGTGCCGGTGAACTGTTTGGTGAGGGTCTGAGCTAGGGCGCTCGGGTTTCAGATGCGTTTTGCCTAATCACATCTACTTATTATAACCACAATTCCATACCGCGCATTGATCGCTTGCAGGGTAAATTATGCCTCGGCTGAAAGGTGTGTTGCAGATGTGTGTACGCTATTTGCAATCAAGTTGCAAATTTTGATGGTCACATGCATGCCCGCCGAAACGACACTTCAGCATGGAGCAACACAGAGTTGCTAGGTTGAGCAAATAGGTCCTGATAATGCAACTCGAAGCTGACCATGATCGTTTGCTATGTCGTCGACCTTCTGACAATCCACGAATGCCTCCTGGCTGCTTCAAATTTTTGCGCAGACGAAGCGCAACACTCGGATGCCCAAGCCTCTCTTCTTCCGCATACCACTCCCAAAGCTACGAACTGACGATTATTTTCCAACATGGCCGCATTTTCCACCACTAGCACGTAGATTCCCCCGTTCATTACTCCGGAATAGCTCCTTTCACGCTTTTCTCTGAGCTGCCGGCCCAAGCACGACGTACATATCGATGGACACAGGCAGATCTGCTTCAGGTCCCGCTCAAGTCGATATCAATTGCAAAAACACGGACGTCATATGTAACCTAATATCACTTTACTTATCATATTAGTTATAGAGTAATTGCTCACAAAACGCCGACATCGAAACCATGTTGCTTCGCCACGCTGCCAGACAAGAGAAAACCACGTGAAGGAAAGCAGGATCAGTAGCAGATACATATAGACCTCTCGTCTGCTCACTTATCTTGCCGTCGTATCTCTTTTGGTCACCTACTCTTGAAGGCACGGTTTTCGAAGCCACCTACTACTCACATTCTTCGAAATGGCCGCGAATAGCGTACAGGTCCCCCCTTTATCACTCCTGAAATAGCCCCAATCACACTCTTCGCTGAGCTGCCAATGCAAGCACGGCATATCATCCCACGTACACCCGGCAGTGTTGTACAGACCGGGCCTCCAGACCACCTCACGACCAGTGATGCGGCGGCCGCAAGGGCTCGCATCATATCTGCACACTCCAGTGCACTCCCCGAGGGAATGGATGAACTGCTATCTGGTGCAGCAAGAATGCCAGAAGCGGTCCAATGGGCCAAAGATCTCTACAAGACCATCGAAGGCTACGTATTCACAGAGCGGTTCGGAAAGCCATCATACATACAGAAGTACCTACCGGGGGTGATGTCGACCATGGCGTGTGACGTCCACAGGTACGGTTCTCCAGTGGTCAGGGAGTCTGGGCCAGAGACGGCAGCTCGACTTGCCTGCCAACAAGCCTGCCAAGACGCCATCACGGCACTGGAGCTACTATGGAGCGAAACGTACAATGTGTGTTGACATTGTAAATATTCCTGTGGGCGCTGCAGCAGTGCAATTATCTGTCTTGAAGTCCTTATTCGTATGTGGGTGAATTGTAGCATGGCGGCGTTGATAACCTTTGGTTTGGCTGCGCGTGTAACGTGTACATTTGTGTTGTATCGCATAATTGTAATCTCGACGTTAGCTAGTTGCGCGTCACAGGCCCCGTTTTAGCTGGCTTCCTCACACCATCAGAACAACAACTGCCTACTCCACTATAAACGTCGACTCATCCCATCCATACACCCTTCTCAATCGCCGGGAAAGAACTAACAACCGCGGTCCCTCAATGCGCGACTGGTGCGGTCTATGTATCGTCAGATCCCTCTTCGTCTGCATTTTCTCTGAAGGGACGAAGGTGTATATCGAGCCGATTTTAGGGTTAACGGAGAAGCCTAAGTCTACCATGGCAGCTACGAAAGCTTCCCATCTAACCGTCCCGCGGGACGTGGATGACCGAGAGAAAAGCGACGAGAAAACGGTGGCGGTGGAAGATGTGACGTTGAAAGTCTGCTTGGTTTGCGGTGGCAGATCGGTCTCTGGGGCGGCATCGGGAGGTGGGGGTGTGATACTGTATATGGATGGCTGAGCTGGCCGTGTCTTTTCTTTCTGCTTGCGCTGTTGAATCTGCGATTCTGGGGGTTCAGGAGCCGTCGGGGTGATGTATTCCACCTTCTTCTCACTTGACTTCGCCTTTTGTTCATCGTGCTGCTCTCGGAGTTTCGTAATGCAATCCTCTACTAGATCTTGGTACAAGTAACCAATCTTCGTCCCCGTCTTTTCTTCAATGTACTGATCCAGTGCTGCAAGAGCGCCGTCAGCCATACCCGGCTCTAACAAATTGTCGATTGGGATAGCAAAGTCGCCCAAATCCAATCCATCCTTGAGCGATCGGAGCTCGTTGTCTAGCGCTACATACCCAGTCACGAATGGCTGGCTCTTCTTGAGATTGGCAACGGGCAGTTGCACCAACTGTGAAAGCGACTGGATGAAAGTCACAATGACCGCCAGATCTCCAAGCGTGTCGTGTTCTCGCTCAGACAGCTTATCTTGCTCTAGAGGATGAGCTCGATGAAGGTCTTCGAGCTGTTGAAACCAGCGAACCGCTCCGGACCAGTTTGTTTCATCTTGACAGAGTCTGAGCATGTAATGCAACTGTGGGTTCTCTATGGTCAGAGATTCCGGACTGCGTTTGAGCGTGATGCGCGCAACATCATCTTTTCGCGCAGTTGACATTCTCTTGAACCATTTAGTACCACCCATTCCGACAGCTACGCTTCGCTTGAAGCATGTCTGAGCCCGCTGATACTCGAGGTGGCAGGTATTTGCCAGCTCTTTCGCGACAGTTGCTCGGAACTGCTTGTCCGATGTGTCTTTCAGCAAAGCTAGAAGTTGGATTATGTAGTTCCACATCGCAACAGTCTTCATTGAGTTGTGGACCACGTCGAACACAGCACCGCTGATATACTTGTCAGTGTGAACGGGCATGGTCCGGCCCTTATCATCTGCTATGAGTTCTGGCCGAGTAAAGAAACAGAAGTTTACTTCGTGAGCAAGGACGGTGGGCTCCGTGGATATCAGATTGATGATGTCTTCCAGAGAAGAGCTTTTGTCTCGCGCAATTTCGACAAGTTCTGGAAGCTCCAGCGTTGTAGGCGGAGAATGGATCGACAACTTCGACAGCGCTGCAGTCGCACCATTGGAAGAGTTCTTTGGGCGCTTCGTTTGCGTTCGCGTGGTAGAGGCAGTATCGAGGATGTCCTCGATGACGATGTTGAGAAGCTGTAGCAGATTGATTTGACGCATCAGGATGAGGTCGCCAGTAGCTTGTGGGACGATAAGCTGGGCATCCATGGCTTTCTTCATGGTCGCCAGAACCTCATCCCGTTTGCTGGCAGCAATCTTGACCGACTGACCGTATCCGTCCTCGGTTATGAATAGCGTGTAGCAGTTCTTGAGCTCAGAAGCGTTCTTCAATTTCAGATTTTTCTTATGCATCATGTCGATTATGTGCGCATGATCTCCAGGACGGCCATTGAATCCACTCGTGTATTGGGTCTGTAGTGGTACCGTTGCCCGAAATTTAAGCATGTCGAGCAAGAAGTCTGACGAGGGTGACGCAATGTCGCGGATATTCCATTCTGGTATGAATTTGTAGACATTCTCGAGACTTGTATCTTCGGCATGCTTTAGGACTGCACCCTCATGGGCGCCACTTCTCAGAATCTGTATTCGTTGTTCTTGGCTGAGCGATCGCCACATCTGCTCAATCTTGGGGCCATGACGCTGATATTTCCGCCCAAGGTCGCTGTGAAGCTCTCTGATTGTCTCATCCATCTTAAGTTGGGAGCAAACGATCGCTGATGCGGAGAGGGAAGGAGGAGCCCTGGAGTTAGCGTTTTGAGTAGCACGCTAGTGAGGGCGCTAGTCTCCTTTAAACATAGCGTCCGAATAACGTCCGATCTGTGTCTCCGCACCCACTACTTTGGAAGCGTTTACTAATGGGGCCGGACACTGATGGCGAACTCCCAGTGTTTATTAGTAAATTATAACATATAAGTGTTGTTTTGCTACATATGTAGTACCATTCCTGCTCGATCATCATTACCAACACTCCCACCATCCCCTATGTCCAACAAAGCACCGCCTAGCTAACCAGTTCTCGTGTTCTGATTCTGATCCACACTCCCCGCTGTAGAGTCGACTGTCTCACGAGTACCGTTTGTACCGTTGGTGGTCGCTGCATTCGTGTCCCTAGCTGCCCGACGTCTGCGTCTTTCATTTGGGTCATTACGTCGCGCGGCATCTTCACCGTTCCCTGAAGATTGAACACCAGTGCCGTTTGTGGTTGCATTCGTGTTTTCTCTTATCCGGCGACTGCGTCTTGTTGAGCCGTTAGTTTGCGCAGCAACTTCACCGTTCTCCGAAGGTTGAGCATTAGTGCCATTCGTGGTAGTATTAATGCCGTTACTGGTAGCATTCGCGCTCATAGAGCTGGTATTCGGAGCCTCATCAGGTATGTCTGCAGCGTTGTGAGGCATTGTGAGTGTGCTGCTCTACTTTTATACTTCAGCTTTCGTAATAGGCAAATGGTAATGAGTTTGGACCGGTTTTCAGGTTTACAATTCTAATACACGATGAAGATTGATCGAAGGGTCTTTTATAGCACAGCTGCAATTATGACACAGGGCCTCCGACAACACACAATTACTCACTTTGTCGGATCTGTATGACAGGTTTGTTGGTGGAGTCACAATTTAGACTAATGTTTAAGACCAGGAAGTAAGGCTCCTAGATTACTGCGATACTGTGATTAGGTGCCTGTGTGTGAAAAGAATTATGGATGAATGGCCACCAATCGTGGTGCAATAAGAAAGTCAATCCAAGAGGCAGCAAATCTCTCCTGAGCCTGAAATTATACACAGAGTAGTGCCGTCGAATTCAAAGTCTAGTAATGCTGTGTATAACTTTAGGCTAGTAATTAATGAGCAAGATCTTGGACACTGTCCTAGGTAATTGAGAGCCCGCAGTGAGACACAAAGCGCCATTAAGAAAAAAGGAGTATGCGCCAGAGTTTCTAGCTTGTGAGGATGACTTTGTATATAATTTGTGATGTACTGCGGCTTGAATTAAGTTTGGAAATATTGAAATAGTAATCATCTCACACCGCTCGACGGCACCGAATACCGTGATATGCTGAAGATAACTAGAGCTATAGAATTCAGAGCATAGTAGCTCCTGAATATGCTCGAATACTCTCTGTGTATCGCGGGTGGCTGGAAACGACTGCGTATACCCTCAGGCTCCATCATCACCCGCCTCTCCGCACTCAAAACACTCGCGAGTCTTTTCAAGCTTCTCTTTACTGCGAGCTTCCTCCGGAGATCGTAAGCACCTGCCCGTTAACCCATCCGCCGTCTTCAGACGCTAGGAAAGCCACCACCCGCGCCACATCCTCTGGCACCGCACACCTCCCCAACGGACAATGATTAGCCATCAACGTCTCAATCTTCTCCGCCGGCCAATCAGGGCTGCCGCCCGGGATGTAGTGCCAGTTGCAGTAATGCTTTTGACGATCAGAATCAGTGATGTGTTATATGTGCAATAAGCAATTTTGTAATACACACTATCAGTCCCGCTAGCTCTATTTGAAATCACTTGCTCAGCTGCTAAACTACAATATTTTTCGCGTTTCATTGGTGAAGCACACGAATTTACAGTCACACATACCTGAGTCTGAAGATTGTTTGACCTGATATGTGTTAGAGTTATGTTAAGTCGCCTCAATACACAGCGCGCTGAAGGGGGTTCTTGCAATCCTGTAGAGCTAACTTCTACATATTTGTATAACTTAATTCGCTACCAGGGGTAGAAATTGTCGCTCAAGAGTTTTGACTCGCAATCGAGATTATGACATGCAATTAGAATCTCGACATGTACGTCTACTTCAGTAGAGTAGAAAGAGCATCTATGTGCCTGCTATCAACATCAAAACTGACATCAACACCAAAATTAGAAATAGCACCAGAATCAGCAGAATTGATAACGCCTGTAAGGGCGTGCAGACTAGCTTCTTTGTACTTATTAGATTCTAACTCTTCTCGTCTATCATATAGCTGTATTAATAGAATGTTCATCCTATAAGGCCTTATCTAAGTATTATAAAGTTATTTAGATCTAAAGCATATAACGTACCTTACAGGTTAGCTAGACACATAGATTAGCTAGATACTTTTACTAAGCCTTTCTACTAAACTTTATCTCTTAATATAATGCCTTAACGTATCTCATAAGCGAGCTGCCTATACAGGCGAGCTGCCTACTTTTTTCTAGAATTATGTTTCTCTCTATAACTCTATAAGTATTAGATATTTTTAAGATATTATTTAAGTTTCAAAAAGCCCTAATATATAGCTTTCTAATGCTTAGAGAATTACCTAATTAGGCCTAGTATTACTAAAGTTATAGGTTAGTAAAGTCTAAGAGCTCGCTTAGCTTTAGACGCTAGTAACTTAAGCTATACTTTAATAAATCTCTTACTAACTTTAATATATAATATATTATAAATAAGCGAATAGTCTTCTGAAGTTCTAGACTTATAGCTAATTTATTAAAGAAGTTATAGAAGAAAGTAGTTGCTTAGTACTAAGTTTAAGAAATCTAGTATATTAGATACTATATATAGTATATATTAACTTCGAAAGCTTATTTTATATACTATTAGTATTTTTATATTAGATCTTAACTTTTTAAACTATTTTATTATATAAACTATTAAGATACTTAGTATAGTTTCTTTTCTTAGTATTTTACTCTATTTTAAAAAATAATAATAACTTCTTCTCTATATAGCTATATAACTTAAAACTTTAGCATATATTATTTATATATCTTTACTCTTTATTTTAGAAGTTAGAGCTTAAATTAAGCTTTTTTAGCTTAGTTATTAAATAAATGATTATTTTTAAGCTCTAAGAGATATTTAGCTTTTTATCTCTAAAACTAGCATAGAGAAAACTCTAAAACTTAATTATATATATATTTAAGCTTATTATTATCTATAAGAGAATATTTAGAATAATGCATAGCTATATACTATAGGTTACTAGAGTTTAAAGCTAAGCAAGCTCTCTTACTTTACTTAGCTCTAACTTTAGCTATACTAAGCCTAATTAGGTAATTCTTAAAGCGTTAGAAAGTACTTTCTTAGAGCTTTCTAAATATAAAGTAATATCTTAAAAGTAATATCTTAAAATAGTCTAAGACTAATAAAGTTATAGAGAAGAACGTAATTCTAGAAAAAGATAGGCAGCTTACCTATATAAGCGGCTCGCCTATAGGATACGTTAGTATATTTAGATAAAGTTATTAAATATTAGTTATATAGAGTAGAGTCTATACTTATATTTATTTATTTATAAAATATAAGAGACTTCTTAGGCCTTACTAGCTCTACTTCTTAAAATATTAAGTCTATTAAATAAGCCTTAAATAAGCCTAGCTATTATAGGCAACAAGCCTAACAAACAAGCTTTGAGGTGCCCAATGAGCGTGTCAAACAAGCTAAAAGCCTCGAGCTTACTGTATGTCAGTCCGTGTAATGTTCAATGCACTTTGACACGTGTCTGGCATAATCTTAAGTTTGATATATTCACATTCCTGTGTCTACGGGCCTGCATGGCGCGAATTGTAGACACGACGTGCAAGGTTTGCTATAGCACTTGATGTGAGGGTATTGGAAAGCCTCCATATTTGACTTTGACACTGGTCTGTCTCAGTGCAAGTTCGTATTGAGAAAATAGAATTGTATTCTATCCACTACGAGAGAGCCATGAACTCGATGTCATATGCGGCGGTATCAGCCCGCTCAGCCCGATCCGACTCATTGAGTCTCCCTTGCCACTATCCAGTCACATTTCCCTTGCCTTTCCCACTTCCTCCGTCTTGAGTGTTGTTGACCGACTGAGCTCCCAACGCCATATCTATGAAATCGATCAACTCATTGATGTAGTCAGCACCCTTCGAATTCGCAGTCGCCAATTGCTCTCCATGAATCGCAAAGAATTGTTCGTGAAGTGCCATGAGAGCTTCCTTGTCCACGCAATTTCCGATCTTCGCCATCAGATCGTCCAGAGACTGATGCTGCTGTACGCCTCCATGTTGTTCTCGGAGTCCGACGGCCTGTGCTAAGAGAAAGTCCTTGATCTCCGACAGCGCACTGCGTAGTGAGGATACGAAGGGCGTGAGGTTGGCAGACGCCGCTGTGACGTTGGAAGGTGTCCAAAGCGAGGGACCGGTGTGTACCCTGTTGAACAGTTCGATGTCGTGGAGAATCTGTACAACAACCGGTTCAAGGATCTCCATTGCCCAGCCCGCTTTAGCACGGTCGTGTCCAAACTCTAAGAAGAGTCCTAGACTGCCGTATGGAAGCTTCATGGCTTTTCCACTGTTCCGTAAAGCTGTGTGAAGACTCATGACCAAATCTGGATCCAGAGGACGTAAGCTAGGGTACATGATCTGTTTCAAGAGCATTAGCGAATAAGTCTAGACTGCTTGCCGTGAGTACAAACCTTTGCTTCCTCGACAAGCTTGCTGGCATCGGTCGCCACCATCTCAGAGTCAAACTCAAAGAAAGCAATGGTGCCTTCCTTGGCTGGCATTTTTGCAAGGTCCGGCAGCAAACTCTCCAACGTCTTCTCTAGAGCCGTGAGAGACTGAGGCTGACCCGACAATTGCCACAAAGAATACTGCAGGAACAGTACGTTGGCAGCGTTGGTCTCGCGTGTTACTGCAATCGCGTTGGACGCAGTCGAGTTATCGGGCTTCCGTATGATAGTACGCGGCTTCTCTGGTGGCTTCTTGGTGTACGCGGCATGATATTTACAGGCCAGGCTCAGTCTTGCCTTGCGGTCCTTAACCTTCCCACTTGGCACCACATCTCTCCAGAACTCATCAAAAAAGAAAATGTCATCCACGAGGATTACGCGCAGAGTGCAAAGACCATGCGTTGAATGACATGCCGCATAGTACTTGATGGTGTCTGAGACGAATTCTGTCATAGGTACCACGGCTCTGATGATATTTCGCTCTGCATCCAGTGTGCCTCTCGCTTTCCTGGCTTGCTCTCGATCCTTGTTGCGCGATGAGTTTCCAACGGACTTGGGCGTGTATTTGCTCGGATTTGCAGCCAGCACAAAGCCGACGACGAGATATTGGGTTGTCTCGGGCCGGCCTTGTTTCTCCTCTTCGGTCGGGATGATGGACAGAGTCCGATCGTCGGCAGGTGCGTCGGCCTCGGGTTTGTACGCGGTGGTCGACTTCTTTGTTCCGCGGATGTAGATTTTCTGGAATCTGCAGCGGCCTTGGACCCCAACTTTCATCATCTCCAAGTGGGAAGTCGTGGCGACATCCTTTTCGGGCTCTTGCACCAAGTCCTGATCCTCTACAGCGTCTTGTGCGGTCGGAGACGCTGCGGCAGTCGCCTGACTTACTGTTGATGGTCCTGGCTGCCCTTCTGCGGTGGTTGAAGGCGCTGCGGCGGTCGCCCTGCTTGGTGCTGATGGACCAGACTATTCTTCTGCGTCAGTTGAAGGCACTGAAGCGGTCGCCTGACTTACTGTCGATGGACCAGGCTGTTCTTCCATGGTGTCTGGAGGCGCTGAGGCGGTCGCCCGACTTGCTGATGATGGTTCGGAACCTTCGTCCATGGCGGTGCCAAAGTGTTGGCTGAGCGATGAAGTATACCTTTCGAGTATGCAGGAATCGCAGTTGTCGCTGGCTTGGAGGTGAGTCGCACTGGCAAAGTATCAGCGCATGGCGAGGTGAGAGAGGCCCGAAGGCGGGGCCGTTTGCTGCGGGGTGTGGTGGCGGTGCGAGCAAGTGAGAGAGACTCAAGGACTCCAATATTATGAGTGCCCCAGAACAACTCATCAACTTGCCTAATGCGACATAACTACCAGATGATGGATCCCATAACGAAAGACATCAAAGACGCCGACGTCTACAATGTCATCACTGACATTATGGACGTGGTCCATTTTGCAGCGGCTACACCAGTAAAGGCATTGCGCGGCGCCCGTTCCAAACCCGGCGTAGAGCTCGAGAACTCGAAAAGTTCACTGCAAGAGTCTATGCATAGGCTAATCAACAGTCCGCATGAGCAACCACAGGCACAGCCTCAGCTACAGCTCAGTGGCAAAGCTGTAAGCGCGCTGCGCACCCTTTACACGGCAGTGCAGAGGAGGAAGGACTGTATTCCAGAGGAAAGTGAGGCGGCTGGAAAGGAGCTCGAAGCCGCATTGCTACATGCAGTGATGGCCTTGGATCCATCGCGTAATTTCCCTGAAGAAGAGGTCAATGAGAATCCGGATGACAAGCAGGGTAGGGAAATGCTCAGTACACACATGCAGTACAAGACAACTGACGCGCCCATTATAGCTGATACTTCTGTGCGTACAACTCGCAAAAGTAAACGCCTGGCTGCGCTACCGGCTAAGAGGTACAACGACGAGGAGGAGGAGGATGATATGGAGGCATTGGTGGATCCGGACAATACCAACAGCCCCGTCAACGACGGAGAGCGAGAGGGAGACGAAGATGAAGTCATGCAATAAGTGGCATACCTCGGAGGCGAAAAGTTGGACGGCGTTCAATATAACGCAGGAACCCCGATAGTCTATTGAGCAGACGTGATATTGATCATTGCGATGGCGCTTGCGTGGAACGTGGAACGTGGACGGTCTGGTGGCGCCATATACAATTTTAAGGACTTCTCACGTGCATGTATCGCTCTCATCGTCGAATAAAGCAAGCTCAGTGGAGACTTTGGACGCAATAGACATGTCTCACGGGTAGTTGCCTTTCAGGGTGAATCTCTTGCCATACTCTTCATCGACGGAAACAAGCTCTTAGCGTTTCAAAACGGACGTGGAAACCCCCTAATACCAAGTGTCCAAGCTGGGGTATAAGCACCGAGGGTACCACCGATGTGGAGGCGGCCCGTTTCGTGCAAGCCGAGTCGATTCATGGCGACGCTAGAAAACAGGTCTACATTATTCATGCTCCTCTGCCTAACGGAAACCGCGCCGTATTGACGACAATGAGTGCCGGCTGATGAGGCTGGGAAAGGCTTGGCTTGGTTGGATTGCTTGGCTACTACACGTCGCGGAGTATCGCATTTAAGACCCACTTTTCGTAGCCACTCTGCTCTCACTTCCTGATTGGGAAGCTAGGTCACTAATTCTCTTGGCTTGACTACATAATGGATGCCTTCTTAAGGGCTGCGAGTGATTGAACATGCCGTAACTGCTTCCTTCATTGTAGCTGTCACTTTCAAGCTCTCGTATTCTCAAGATGCCTGCTCATACCCCAAATCCACCATGCGAGCCATTGCGAGTTACTGGCGAGGCCATTGTCAATAATGCTGGCGAGCGCATAGTGCTCAAGGGCACAGGGCTTGGAGGCTACTTGAACATGGAGAACTTCATCACCGGCTACGCTGGTCATGAGCATGAACATCGAGCCCAGCTCACGACAGTACTGGGCAGAAAGAAGGCGGACTTTTTTTTCGACCGATTCCTCCACTACTTCTTCACAGATGCCGATGCCGAGTTTTTCGCCTCGCTGGGCATGAATTGCATTCGTCTACCATTCAACTACCGCCACTTCATCGATGATCAGAATCCTGGAGAGCACAAGAAGGAAGGCTTCGTATTTCTGGATCGCGTCGTGAACATATGCGCCAAGTACAACCTGTATGTTGTGTTGGATCTACACGCAGCTCCTGGCGGTCAAAACCAGGACTGGCATTCCGATAGCGGCATCACCAAAGCGCTTTTCTGGGAGTTCAGACTGTTACAAGACCAGACCATTCAGCTTTGGGAGGCCATTGCAGCACACTACAAAGGCAACCCCGTTGTATGCGGCTACAACCTCCTCAACGAGCCGGCAGACCCCGAGCACACTCGTCTGATATCATGGTACGAGCGTGCCGAGAAGGCCGTCCGCGCCGTCGATCCAGACACCATGCTCTTCATCGACGGAAACACATACGCCATGGACTTCACTCGATTTGACAAAGTGCTGCCAAACTCCGTCTACGCAATGCACGACTACGCCATGCTCGGCTTCCCCATCCCTGGCCAAACACCCTACTCCGGCACGCCCGAGCAGAAGTCCAAGCTCAAGAGATCGTTTGAGCGCAAAGTAGCCTTCATGCGCGAGAAGGAAGTGCCCATTTGGAACGGCGAGTTTGGCCCCGTGTATGCGGATGAGCGTGTCGATCCGGCCGCCACTGAGACAAACAACGCGCGCTTCGAGATGCTAAAGGAGCAGCTGAACATCTACCACCAAGACCAAATCAGCTGGAGTATCTGGCTGTACAAAGATATCGGCTACCAAGGGATGGTCTACGTCTCACCCTCCACCCCTTACCGACAACTCATCGACCCCTTCGTCGCCAAGAAACAGAAACTAGCGCTGGATTTCTGGGGCGTGGTGGATAAAGAGGGCGTCAGTGATGTGTATGGCCCGTTCATCGAGGGACTGAAGAAAATGGTGCCGGAGCACTTGCAGAAAAAGAAGTACCCGTTCATTTGGGACTTTGGCAGACATGTTGAGAGGGTGGTTAGGGAGACGCTTATGAGTGAGTATCTGGGGTGGGAGTTTGCGGAGCTGTTTGAGGGGAAGAGTGAGGAGGAACTGGAGGAGTTGGCGAAGAGCTTTGCTTTTGAGAATTGTGTGAAGAGGGATGGGTTGAATGGGATTTTGAGGGAGGATGGGAGGAGGGGGGTGTAGTGGTGGTGTGAGAAGGCGCGTTCTATGACATAACTCGAACACAAATGAGAACACTGCGATTTGAGAGTCCACTGTAAAAACAAACAATCTACTTGCGTCGATGTTGACTCACCTCGCACTGGTGTCGAAGATCAATCGCCCATTCCGACTCGGAACGCGCCCTCGGAAGCCCCTTCCACACGGACTTAACCCCTGCATCTCCGACCCATAGCTCGAAACTTTGTCCACAGGTTACCCTTACATTCCACTCCACCACTCGCGTGCACCATGACGAGTTTCTCCCTCGAGGTCAGACCCACTGACCCATCCTCCCATCCTTCGCACACTCACCCCTCCAGGACATTGACGCGCACATCGCCAACCTCCGTGCGCAACTGCTTTTCCTGAACAAAGGCCTCGATGCGACAGACCATAATGCGCCCGACTGGCTCGCCACAGATCTCATCTCGCTTCGGAATAAAAGCGGCAGGCTGCAGGATGACATGAAGCGCTTTAGGGACCAGTTGCAGAGCGAGGGACTGGGGGCTAAGAAGGTGCGGAGCTTTTCAATTGATTGTTAGATTGGGGATTGACAACTATAGGCCAAAATTTCAAACAAGCGACTCAGCATCGAGGGCGAAGGGCTGGACGCTAAGAAGGTGTGAAGCTTCCCATTTGATTGTTTGTCTGGAGATTGACAGCTACAGGCCAAACCTTCCAAGCGCCTCAGCATCGAGGGCGCGAAACCTTCTACACCCACGAAAAGACCCGCCAACTCAGCTATTTCTCCGCCCGTCGATCAGAGCCCCACGCCGCGCGCCAATCCCACTCTACCAGATCCGGCATACGTCGTCGAGCGCGTCGACGTCACGCAGGAAGTCAACAGGAGGCTACAGGAAAGCCGGCTCAGGCGGCTTATGGAGACGCCGAGCACGGCGCAGAAGCGCAAGCGCGATGCACTCGAGGAGCCGCGCTCAGGGAGTACGGTGGATGGGGATGGGAGGAACTATAGTGGGAGCGAGTATGATGGGACGCCGACAAAGAGGTTGAAGTGTAGTGGGGCGTTTGAGCAGGTGGGGAAGAGGAAGGAGGATGGGGTCGAGCGGGGAGGGGAGAAGGTAGAGGGTAGGGCGAAGTTTAAGAGACGGAGGGTTTGAGGTGGAGGATTGGAATGTACGATATTTTTGGTGTAGTATGCATTGCGGATGGCGTTATTGGCAGCATTGAGAAGCGGTATAACCATTCTTCGAGCAGACTTTCAAATACAAAACCATTCAGAGAATAATTCAGGCTCATGTTCTTCCAAAGTCGAACTAGCTGATCTCTCTCAAAAGAAGGCTAGCTTGGTACCTGCGCTAAGAGTTGATCCGCTGCTTCACCACGCCAAACATTGAAACAGCGATCAGCCAACACGCGCCGTAATTCTACAGCAAGACAGCACTGAGGCATGTAGGAGCTTGTTTCTATAATAGTCTGTAGAATCTGGCAAGGCTCACATTTCCGCCCTCAGAATGTTTCGAAACGCTATCCCGAACACAATGGCCCCTCCCCCGTCCGAACCGGCACTCAACCACGACATCTTCGAAACAGCGCCTTAGCAACCGGGAGTCTCAGCCCGGCTCAGGTAAAGCAACGAGGGTTCCGAAGTGTAGAGCCGCAATGTCGCATGTACCTGATGTCTACTATTTTCGGCACTGGAGCTTCGGATCCCCGCCCGTGCCCGCTAGACCGCGAGGTTTGAGGATCCGAACGAGCATGACATATAAGGGACATGGCAGCGAGGGATGAGAGGGCAAGATACCCATTGCATTCTCTGCTTTTTTGTGGTTCAAGTACGATTTCAGTGGAAGAGAAGAGTCCCCGACATCACCACCTACATTCGACCAATAGGACCATCGCATCTCCACATCACGTGATCACACCCCCATCCACCATAATGGTCATCAACGTCCCCACCGCCTCTCTCGAAGGCCAAGTCGCCCTCATCACCGGTGCCGGCCGAGGCATCGGCCGCGGGTGCGCCATCGAGTTGGGCAAGCGCGGCGCCTCCGTGATCGTAAACTACGTCTCTTCGTCCGGCCCAGCGCAAGAAGTCGTCTCCATAATCGAAGGGTTCAACAACGGCGCCAAAGCCGTCGCCATCCAAGCCGACGTCTCCAAAGTCAGCGAGATCAAGCGCCTCTTCGAAGAGGGCAAGCGCGCCTTCGGCAAGATCAACATCGTCATGAGCAACTCCGGCACAGAGAGCTGGGACGTCACTGAAGAGATTACCGAGGAGAAGTACGACCACGTCTTCAACCTGAATGCCCGCGCGCAGTTTTTCGTCGGTCAGACGGCGTACAAGTACATCGAGGACAACGGGCGCATCATCCTGATGTCGTCGATCGCCGCGGGACTGCTGGGTGTGAAGGACCACGCGCTGTACAATGCGTCAAAGATGGCGGTGATTGGGTTCATCAAAGCGTTTGCGACGGATTTTGGGAAGAGGGGCATCACGGTCAATGGGGTCGCGCCGGGGGGGATCAAGTCAGACATGTTCACTCAGAATGCTTGGAGGTATATCAGTGGAGGTACGGCGGATCTTTCTGCTGAAACAATCGAGCAAGGCATGGCTGCAGCGTGCCCTTTGGGAAGATGTGCTGTACCAGAGGACGTTGGCCGAGTTGTTGCTTTCTTAAGCAGTGAGGACGGAGGCTGGGTAAATGGCCAAGTTATTACTATCTCTGGTGGATCGTCTCAGTAGGTGCGTTGGAAGATAAACATAAACTTGGTGTTATCGATACATGAATCAATGGCCGTTGAATTCATAGCAGAGTATCACAGCATTCCGAAATCATCTCTCAGTTTGCTTTCCTCTCCTGATATCGCACTAGGTAGCTGCAAAATTCGTGTATTTTGCACCTACCCGAAATAATCTGATGGTCTTCAGGAGCATGCTCATGAGATCATAAAGGAGCCTGACTGCAGACGCAGCTGTAAGATACTCCAGTTGAATATATAAAGATCTTTGAATATGTACAGGCTACCTCAACTTCTGCTCGCTGGGCGAAGGCTGAGAGGAATCTTGCCGAGGCCTGGTGTTTTCATTCCACCTCTTCTCAGAGCATTATACAAAGAGAGCCGAGGATCCTACCACCCTAACAATTCCAACCCCCATCCACCCCCACCACACTCCCCGTAACAAAACTCGCCCCATCCCCCAGCAAATAAACAATCAACTCGGCTACTTCCTCCGCCTTGCCACCCCGCCCCAGCGCGACGGCGTTGATGTGCGCATTGCGCTCTTCCGTGTTCCCCGCTGCTTCTTGGATTTGCGCGGATTTCTGTGTCATTGGGGTGTCGATGTAGCCGCTGCGAGAATGAGCTAGACACAGAGGAATGGATAAGGGAGAAGGGAAGACTCACGGACAAATCGCATTAACCCTGACCCCCCTCTTCCCCACCTCCTTCGCCGCACTTCTCGTCAGACCGATGACAGCATGCTTGGACGCTGTGTACGCTGCATTATTCGCCCTAAACGCATCAAATCCATTAACGCCTACCCTTAAATCCCACTTTCCCATTCCTTTCACCTGTTGTACTTACATCCCAATAACCCCCGCAACACTACTCGCATTAACCACACTCGCGCCCGCGCCCATGTGTTTAAGTTGGTGTTTCAAACACAACATCACCCCCTTCAAATTCACGCCCAGCACGTAATTCCACTCATCCACATCCTGCTCCTGGACCCCCTTGACACCGATGCTGGCGCCGATGACGCCTGCAAGATTCGCCGCGCCGTCCAATCTGTCGAACGCGTCGAGGGTTTTGGCGATCCACGCGGCGACGTCGGACTCGTTGCGCACGTCGAGCGTGTAAGTTAGGATCTTGATATCTGGATGTTTAGCCTTGATGTCCTTTTCAGTCTTGTCTAGTGCGGACGTGTTGACGTCTGCGAGGGAGAGGTGTGCGCCGTGCGAGGCGAGGAGGTGGGCGGTTGCGAGGCCGATGCCGGATGCGGCACCGGTAATGGCGACTACGCGGTTGGAGAGGGAGGACATTGTGGTCGAATGGGTCTCTGGAAATTAGGGATGACGGACTTGGTCGAGACAGTGGGCGGCCATATGTGTTTGGATGGCCGGATATGCTATTCCGGGACATATGAAGCTATTCACCCGAAGAGGCCGCGGGCTATTGCGGGATATAGTCAGTGATTCGCCCGATGAGGATGCGGGGTAGTTGTTGCTGCTCCTGCAGACTCATATTTTGGTGCTCGAGATGGTTTTGCTATTCGTGATACTAGAATCCAAGGACTTCGTATGTTCGGACTTTAACGTGTGTGCTCGGGAGAGCTAGTCGCTCGGGGCACCAGGCGTGGGCAAAATGCCTGCGTGAAGAGATAGCCTGTATACCTTCAAAGATTTCTATGAACCCGAGTGGAGTATGTTATAGCTGCGTATATATCCAGGCTTCCCTAAGCTTGTAGTAAGTATACATCTAAAAGCTATTAGCTTATGTCGTGTATGTCCAGAGCGGGCACTAGGCTCAGGCAAAATGCCTGCATGAAGAGGTAGCCTGTATACCTTCAAAGATTTCTATGAACCTAAGTGGAATATGTTATAGCTGCGTATATATCCAGGCTTCCCTAAGCTTGTAGTAAGTATACATCTAAAAGCTATCAGCTTATGTCGAGCATGTCCGGAGCGGGCACCAGTTCTGCTGCTGCTTGGTGGGAGTGAGCATAAATCTATAATAGTATCATAACCTAAATGCGACCTTTCAAGACATCAGATGGTAAGTCCCGAGCTCCCACATATCATATGAAGATGAAAAGATCAGGGTATCGATTATTCGAATGCTTTTATTACCTATAAGCGACGTACCTTTCCATCCGGCGCCTACCCAATGTGCATGTCACTCATGCAGCTTTTGCCCATAACTCCAAGCTCATAAGCAAAAGTCCAATGCACACGAAAAGGGGGGTGATTGAAAATCATGTGCGCAGTATGTCCGTGAATTCGAAAAGCGCCATGATGATCCGCTTCCAAGCGTTCGGTCGCGGGACACGCTCTGAATCCATAATGCGACTGATGTTGTGAATGTCCTAACCCCGACTCATGCCCGTCACACCGCCATCGGCCCTCGTGAGAGCCTTTACAACCCTGCTGTTGTACGTATGCTTTCGGTCGCGAGTCTTCGTCTTATATATCTCCGCGTGGCTGTTTGTCGCTGTCAACTTGATATAAGTAACTGCCCTCTTCTGTCCTTCACGATACGCTCTACCCATTGCCTGCACCTCCCATTCTCTCTTCCACCAAGGGCAACACTGGATGATGACGTTTGCTGAAGGGATGTTGAGGCCAAGGCCACCAACTCCGCGAGACATGAGCATGACTTTGTGGCCGCCTGACTTGTCGAATTCAGCCTGGATAGCGGGACGCCTTTCAGCAAACTCACGGCCGTCGTAGCGGAGACATTCGATGGGATCATACATCGCCTCAAACGCGATTTGGACCACGTCCAAGAAATACACGCTCTCATCCATGATGATGACCGAACAATCTGGATCTCGGTCGCGACATTCGTTGAAGGCATCTATGATGGCCGTGATTCGCGAAGACTCCCAATTGTTGTTGGCTTTCAAGCTCTCCCGCCACTCAGACCATTTGGCGATATGCTCTGCATCGTAAAGGATGTCTGCATCTTCGCCAGTCGGCTCACCCCTTCGCTCCCTCTTCTTCTCTTCGTCTGAGTATCGAATAAAGTCCATCAACTCGACAAGCCTGGGGTGACAAGCGTGCTGGAGTGCGTGGGTGAGACTTTTGAAAGGAGGGCTTTGCTTCTTCGATCGGGACTTCTTCTCTGTGCTGGCGATGCGCATGGCTGTTTGGTAAGTTTCGAAAGTGTCATTCGAGATTCCCACTTCGCTGTCCGACAACTCAAAGCCGATGGTCTTCTCCTCTAGCGGAGGGAGACTGATGGTTGTCTCAGGTCGCCTGACCATGAAAGAGTTCAAAATTTGCAAGAGCCATACGAACTTGAGCCCTTTGGGAGGCGTCCATCTTCCAGGACGTTTCATGTCACGAGTGCCCAGCAGGTTCATCATGCGGGTCTTTGTGTTGATCTCATGGCCTTTGACCATCTGCAAGAGCGCGTAAATGTCGTGCCACTGGTTGTCGATTGGACTCCCAGTCAGCATGAGACACGTATCGCACCGCTGCCTCAGCGTGAAGATCGATGCGAATGTCGCCGTTCTTGGATTCTTGAAGGCATTCGCCTCGTCGAGGACCAGGAAGGGGGATTTCACTCCATCATCCGAGTCAAACATTTCGGAAAAGATGGACAAGTTGGGCCGCTCTGGTATACGACCTTTGATCTCCTTGCTCCTCATGGCCTTGATAAGTTGCAAGTATTTCACCCATTTCCTGTATCGGGACATGACGAAGCTGTACGAGAGGATGATGACATCGTAATTGAGCATCGTGGTGGGCGAGACAGAGGCATCTCTCACGACCAACACTCTGACAGTTCCCTACAATCACAAGTTGGTCAGCGTCAATCAAGAATCCGGTGATGTAACAAACCTCGGTGAAAAACTTGTGGAACTCTTTGAACCACTGCTCAATGCAGCTTGAGGGTACAACGACGAATGAGAAGCGGCCAGCTGCTGCGATTGATTTAACTATGGCCATCATGCTTATAAGTGTTTTCCCTAGACCGGGAGGGTCGGCGATGAGCAGAGCTTTGGAGGCGCTCTTCATCGCACGCTCTATCTTGCCTAAAGCCACATACTGGTGTCGACGAGGCTCAATGACAAGATGCGGACATGGTGTGGGCTGGCCGGGCTTCATCGGCGCATGCAAACTGTCCTGCGTATGTTAGCCTGTGAACCATATCAATGGACAGGGTCCATTGCTAACATTGTGGGCTGAGAGATTGCTGGCCCATGCTAAGTCGGCTTCGGTCGGGTTGTCGGCAGTCTCCCAGTCCATTTCGTCGCCATCCATGACTTCATCGTCGTAATCGGAGTCGCTCTCGCCTTCTCCAACAAAGAGGGACTGCTGGTCAGGCCTTTCCGGCTCTTCAGGCTCTTCCTTATTCTCATTACCGGAAAGCAAGCCATCGCCTTCCACGACCCTCTCTCTGAAAAGATGTAGGGCGCAGATGGGCTGTCGATCCCGTTGTACGCGTGTGGCCAGCGAGCGCACGCCAGCGAGCGCATGCGCCATCGCGTCTTGTTCATTGGCAGGTTCCATTGCGATGTTGAAGGGTCTGTAGGAGGGCAGAGGAATAAGAATTGTGTAGTCGCAGAAAGTTGGTGGGGACTGCGACAAACGCGCTCTCTCACCTATACCTGATCCCAACAATTGATACGCCTTCACCTAGCCTCCGCCCCTCCGCCTTCGACTCCTTCGCTCCCAACAACTGATCTGCCTTTACCTAGCCTCCGCCCACTGCCTTTGACTCCTTCCTTCTCAGCACCTTTAACATACATACACCACTACATTGCGACCACTTTTATCGCACGATCTTCTACAATCTACTTCATCAAGTCAAACACCATACCACCATGTCCGACAAAGCCAGCAAGACTGAGGAGGAGCTGGACGCGGTCCAAAGCAACCCCGAAACAGGAGATGAGGGCGACAACGAGGGCGAAGACGATGGCGAAGACGGCGAAACCATTGGCAGCAGCGAAGACGAAGCTTATGTGCCCCCTCAGACTGTTGCCCAGTGGACTGAGCTAGAGCATCAGACGGCTCGTCGCCACTCAGGCAGGGCAACCTTCGGATCGTTTCTAGCTCGAGCCGTAAGTTACAATCTCCCAGCTGCATATCGCGCGCATACACTAACTTTAGGTGTTTGAAGGAAGCCACCGCAAGGGCCGATCAGGCAGCAAGAGTCTACAGTGGCAACACCAGCGACGAAGAGGATGAAGAGGATGAAGAGAGCGCAGAGGATGAGAGCGAGGATGAGGAAGGCATGAGTGAGGAGGATGCCGAAGTGGACCCCGCTACCATCGCAATGATTCACCGTCGCTCTCGTCTTCCCGAGAATACGCTGGGTCCGGCACCTGGCACCATCGGCGCAGAGGCATCCGAGGATGACTCCGACGATAGTACCTATGTCGACATGGACAGCGACCAGAGCTCTGATGATGACGGCCCCGACTCCGACTACAACGCTGGCGACAATGGCAACCAAGCCGGCAACAACTCGCGCAACGGCTCTGTTGACAACCCGGGCGAGGGTCCTGATGGCGAGGTCTCTGACGATGAGTCTACTGAGAGTACCGCGTCCAAAGATTCTGGTCTGATGGATGTTGGAAAAGACTGATCACACTTGCCATAGCGGCACCATACGGGATCGGAGCTTCAGGTACAGATTGGAAATTCATCACACAAAATTGGTAAAATGAGGAATTTGCACACAGAATGGGAGTGAGATGTTAAGGCGAGAATGGTAAAATTGATCAAAATGTATTTTCCTTGATTGCCAAAACGTAAATGTGACCTCGCAAAACACCAAATTGTAAGTGTGAATTCCCATGTATCATGAAAAGATGAAAAAGGTCAGGGTATCGATTGTTTGAATACTATCATTTGTGCATGTCACTCATGCAGCTTTTGCCCGTAACTCCAAGCTCAGAAGCAAACCTTCAATGGACACGAAAAAGGGAGTGATCGAACACGTCTACAACTCGACCTTTGAAGCGGTGTAGTCCCACAGCATCTTGACGAGCGAGTCTGGGAGAGTGTAGAGATCGACGTGGAACTCGCCATCTGTAACACGTTAGCATTCGAAAGTGCAAGTACGGCGATGCAACTTACTCTCGACATCGTTCTTGGTGTAAGTCTCGCTCGTCTTGTTGTCATGAACCAAGGTGACCACGTGGAGCAGGTCCTCCTCGCTCAGCTTCTGCAGGCCATCCGCGAGCTTCTCCATGTCGACGTTCTTGTCCCGCCTGCCCTTCTTCTTGGAAGCGTCCTTGCCACGGACACCATTCATGTCCGCCGCGCCGGACTCTTGGAGGAGGGTGACGAGCTCTGGCTTGGGATTCCGGAAGGTCTACAGGGATCACGTTAGCACTGTGCTAGTATTGTCGACGCGCGCTACACTCACCACCTGGTGCTTGGCCTCATAGCGCTCGGACTGGAAGTTGAGGTCGTGAGGGAGAGTGTGATCGCCGCCCTTGCCGACTGCGGTGAGGACAATGTTCATTTCGAACTCTCCCCAGCCCTTCTCATCGATGCGGAACGGCGGCTTCTTGAAGACTGTCCGTGTATCAGCTTTACGTGCACAGCATCATGCCATGTTCCGCGCGCGCACCTTGCTTGTTCTTCTCGAACGACGGATGGAGGTTGTATGTGCACTTCTCGAAGACGGTGGGCAGGACCTCGTTGCCCTGGTCGTCCAGCAGCCAGATCTCGATGCTCCACTGGCGCATGGGGAATCCCTCTACGGGCGACGGCCCCGGACTGTCGATTCATGTTAGTCTTGACATGGCAGCGACGCGTGGGCATAGTAAGCGCACGCGATGGCGCGCAGCAAACATACATGGGACTCTGGTGGGTGATGAGCTTGACCCATCGCTTGATGTCGGGCATCTTGGCGGTTGATTGTACGCGTTGATTTGTGACGGGTGTGTTGTGTCGAGCGTGTAGCGGCGACAGTGCGCGATTATGGCTTCGTTACGCGCGCTCGTGGGGTTGAGGAAGCTGGCGGTGGTGTAGTTGGGAAGATGTCGCGGTGGTGGCTGGTAGCGAGCGTTGATTCGGCAGCGCGAAAGTCGCGGGGCGGATCATAGTGAGAGCTTGGCAAACGCATACAACCTGCACGCACGCGACGTACCTACCTAGGTAAAGCTGCCCTGCCGCAGGGTCCACCTTGCTATTAGGTCACCGTAGTATTACCGAAGGTGAGTGGATGTTTTGCCGTGTGTAGTGGCAGTGAAAGACGATGAACACGATAAGAGACATCTACATCTCTTATACTGTCTGTTGTCAACTGCGACAGAATGCGACCGGGGGAAGCACCAGGCAGCCCATGCAATGGCCTAAAGTTATACACGCGATCTCGCCGGCACTGTTGAAGCCTACCCAGACTGCAGATATCTCCAGACGATTGTTTCGTCGGCAATACTCCATTTGTTTGCCTCGTCATTGATAACCTACGGTGCTTTTTGTGAGACCGCGGCTACAACGTATCACGTCACGTATATTTCGAAAACACATTGGCTGTGAATGGGGAATGCCGTTGGCTGCAAGCCAGGCTTGTTTGGTTTCTATCTAGTATGTGCAGGGTATGAGGGTCTTCTATCGTTCATCGTGTTATGATACCAACCCAGAATGTCAACGCTATCATGCGTGCATGCTTTTCCTTCCTCCGTGTTCCTCCCAATCCCAAGCATCTGGCGCAATCGCCTACTGCTCGCCCTTTCCGAACAGCGCCTCGTTCTCTTGCTGGGCCTTGATGAAGGCCTCCTTGAAGCCGTTTGCGTCTGCGCAGTCCTGTCAGCAAATCACTTCGCAAAGAAACGTATGGAGACTCACTCTCGCTGTTGGCGAAACGGATAGCCAGGGTCTGGGCCTCGGGCTCGCCCTCGCTGACGTCGGCAGCGGCATTCCAGACCCAGCTGCGGTCGCTGCCAACGTTGGGTGACAGCTTCATGTCGGGAACGACTGTAAATGAATTAGCATCTTCCCCCATAATTCCAACCTGGTTCTCATACCGTAGTGGTTGGCGCAGACCTTGAGGGTCTTGTCACGTCGCATGACGAGACGAGTCTTGCCGTTCTCCTTGTGCTTGAGTAACCGGACGTCACCAGTGCCCCTCTCCTTCCACTCCCGTGATTCCCGGTCGAACTTGAAAAGCTTCGCGCGCATCTTGAAGACTTGCTCCTCGAGCTCTTCGTTGGTCTTGGTGTCAACCTTCTCGGTGAGGTGGACTACGGGCTGGAAGTCGACGTCGGGCTCCTCGTTCTCGGGGTTCTCCTCCTACAACTTGTCAGACAGGCCAAATCCATACAGTCACTTAGACGTACCGTCTCAGGCTTCTTGGTGGCACCCGACGGCTCATCGGCATCGTCGACCTCCTCCTTCTTCACCTTTGCGGGGCCGCCACCGAACATGGAGAAGACGTTGTCCTTGACGGCAGCGGCAGCAGATGAAGCAGCCTCGGTCGCCTTCTCCGTGATTGGCTTGTCATCCTTGGTCTCAGTGGTCTCCGACTTGTTTGCGGCGATGTCGGTGGTGACCTTCGCGGTCTCGTCCTTGACGAGCGTCGCGGCAGGGTTGGCGGCCTGGTCAGCGGCGGGGTCAGGTTTGGCGACGTCAGACATGATGCAGACGCTGATTTATATGTAGGTTTAGTGTTGAGGAGGTGTCAGGTCAAGGTGGAAAAATGTTGTGCGGGTGGTACAGTGAGTTTGATGTTGTCAGTGTTAGCACCCCTAGATTTTGGGGCAAGCTGCGATGGAGGGGCAGCAGGCTACACCCAATCAAGCTCTAGATTATACGCTAGCACGTGCGCGCTGGTCACTCGTTGCCTGCCAGCACCAGGTGCCCGCTCTGCGCAAACTTGCGACCTCCTTACGCTATCTAGCAAGATATGCATCAGCCTGTATAGCTTCAAAGGGTTGACCAGATAGTAACAAATTCCTAAAAAGACCTTTGAGATAGACAGCCTTCGCCATCGCTATCGACATCCTGCTCGCTGTAGTGCGTGAGAACAGGCACGAATTGTCGCGACAACTGGTTCTAGCTTGCACGAGGACTGCCTATCGCCGCCTAACCAGTGTCATGCCAAGGACGAACGTAAACATATATTTCAAATGACATTCATGCTTCCTCGTGGCTACATAGGGAGGATGATCCAAGGGCTCCTCGTATAAACATGCTGCTCCCAACGTTGCTCCGACCAAGTATAACACCTGATGCTCCGATCTGTGCCTGGCTATCGATCCTCAGTCTCAGTAGAACGCCTTCCAATGACCAAAGAGAAGAACGCCATCCATAATTGAAGATGTCAATATCGAACGCTAGGCCTTGACCCCGTACATGCTGCTCCCAACCAAGTATAATACCTGATGCTCCGATCTGTGCCTGGGTATCGCCGCCTGATCAACTTGTATTTCAAAGTTGGATCGGTGCTCTATTTGGACGCTGTTCATTATCAACATCATAGGCATTTCAGAAGAGGGATATTGTTGCATTTTGCATTGAATTTATATACATGCTTCACATATAGCTTGCTACTGACCTCATAACATAACTGGATATCCATCGTTCCTTCCGATGCCGCCTTTCGACATAAGCTCACATTCCGACCTATTCACTATATGTTTACACTGTGTAGTTAGAGTTTCTGCAATCATCTCAGTCATGTCACCTAGTAGCCCTCGTCACTTCCCTCGTCACTTTCCTCATCCACTCCACGTGCCTTTGCCGCATTGATAAGAGCGCTCAGTGCTTTGCCTTTGATCAGGTGTCCCTTGCGGATGTGATCCTCCAGATTTGCTGCTGAGCTCCACAGCTTCTTGCTCGTACAGCCATCGACCGGACATCCCTGGGGAACAATGTTTGAGTGGTGCCTGGTCTTGTGGTGCGATACCGCGTCCTTGCTCTTGAACGGTCCTGCGCAGTTTGGACCCCCTCCAATCGGGCACGAGAATGTAGTGCCAGGCTTGGGGTGCTGGTTGGTCTTGTGGCTGTTGAAGTTCCTGTTTACGTTCGCCTCCTTCTCACCCCTCGCGACGTAGGAGCATCCGGGCACGTCACATGCCTTGCTGAAGCCTGAGAGCTTGGTATTGGCGGACTTGCGTGATTCCGTCGTGCAAATAGCCTCGTGGTAGTTCATGCTGGGGCCGCTGGTGGTTGCATACTTGCAACCTTGCGGCTCGTACTTACAACGGTGGCTGAAGAATGTCGGCTCGTCGCGACTGCCTCCACGTAAATGGTCCAAGTCCTTGTGCTGCGCTGGGTTTGTATCGTTGACGACGCGAGTATTTATCTGGCTCAACCAAGCAATGAACTCTGATTGAGACGCCTCGAGCACCTCGAGCTCTACCTGAGCAGCCGTGCCACTACGTGGCTCCACGAGACTTGCGTCATCCCCGAAGTCCATCTCATCTAGCCTGGCTTCCAGAATGGATGTATCCGGAACCATGCCTGGGTCAGCATTCCCCTGTGCCTGACGTGTTGACGGTAGACCTGATAACAGCAACAGTGCGGGGTCGAACTTCGTTGTATCCACTGGTCGCCGCGTTTCTCGGGTCAGATGAGCTGCTGTCATCGAACCGTCGCTCTTCTCGTCGTCGCTCACGGTGAGGTCTATCATGGTCGACTGCGGTGCGATACCCTTTAGTTTGTTCTGGTTCAGCGGCTGTAAAGGAGTCCTGGGATGGACCTTGTCCAAACCGATCTGGTCAGACCTATCCTGATCTTTGGGAGCAGTTACACTCGATCGCTGTTTGATAAGGGCTCTGGTTGCTGCATGGCGGGGAACTTTGAGCTTCTTCAAGTGGGTGTTCTCAGGCTGGGCCAGGTAGTCGTCGATGTCGTTGGAAGACACTTTGCGTTTGTTCAGTGTAGTCTCTATGCGATCTTCTGCCACTGCTAGGCCAAAATCATTGTTTGCGTAGACGCTGATACGGTCGGCGAGAGTCGATCTCGTATTGTGGCCAACATACTTGGCGGTTACACCCGACATGAGTGCGAAGTTCGAATGGCCCAGTGCTTCAGCCGCGCCTTCCATGTTTCGACGTGGCGGAAGTTGACTGGCTTCAAGTGCAGCCCCTCGGCGGATGTCATGAGTGACGAGTCGCTGGGTGATCCCCGACAGCTGTGCAGCTTCATTCAGCGTCTCACGGAGTAGCTGCGTCGAGGCGCCTTTGTCATATTGGAATTTACGATGCTTCAGAGCACACAGCACTGGCCTCTCGGGGTACTTCCATCGGAAAACGCCGTCTCGTTGAGTCAGTGCTTCTTGCACGACGTCCTCAGCCGTGGTGTGATAGAAACAGTCGTGTCTCAATGCGTGAGCCAAGAGGAGCTTCAGTGGGTCGACAACATTGAACTCGACGCTGTCCAAACTGGAAAGCACGATGATGTGGTTGTGTGATCCATCGCGTTTGAAGCCCTTGGTGTATCGCAAAGTCACCTTGGCGTCCAAAGTTACTCGGTCGAGGAGAGGGAGGTCCACGGGGCTCGTGTCGTCGACGGTAACCTTCAACTCGATGTCCTTATAGGCCAAGCATTCATCGTCGTCGTAGTCACGACTGACTGCCACTTCTCCGACACGGCTGCTCAGCGCCGATTGAAGAGCTAGACCGAGCGCCTTCTGGACCACGATGCTCCAGTCCAATACGCCGAACCGCACAGCTTTGACCAGCAGACCTCGGATGAGGTGAGCCATGAGCCTGGTCGTCAGCCACTGTGCTTCGCGCACTGGGTCTTTGGTGATCTTCTCTTGCATGCGTAGAGTCTCGAAACAATCTTTGATGCGTTGTTTGTCGTTGTAGGACAGAGCAAACGTGTCGTGTCGGCATCGAATAGCGTGGAAGGTGTACCGCAAGGCAAGGACGAGTGTAGACCAAGCAATCGCCTCTCGCGAAGTGGAACTCGACTCCATGATACTTGGCAAGCTGAGTATGAAGCGCTCGATGTCTTGGCCACAGGGAACAGTGGCATGGCTAATATCAGTCAGTCGGCATTGCCTCCTTGGGCACTGTCCAAATACTGACTTCTTCTTGAGCACTTCTTTGAAGAATGCCTCCCAAGTGCGCGCCCACTGCGAGCGCTGCCTCCGCGATCCTGGTGCGCCATGGACCGATTGCAGTTGCTTCACCGCGAGCTTTGATTCGATGCGCAACGCAGACGCGTTCTTCTTGATCGCGGTAATGGATTTGCTGCCAGCTGACGAGAAGCGGTCTGGGGCAGGCGCGTCAAACTCTAGATCACTAGAGTCGAAATCGTCGTCCATGACTTCAGACGGGCGCGCGCGGTTTGGGGCGGAGTGAGTGAAGGTGTGAGGAGTGGTGAGGGGCAAAGGTGAGAGTGAAGCCTACGAGAGTTGGTGATGACTCTACTCAACATCGGGAAGGCACGATGACGAGGCAGCCGTTTGACCATATTCGTTTGCCGGGGAAGGAGCCACCGCCGATTGCGCTCTCATACGTCTTACACCATCGACTATCCTGTCCACTTAATCACGCCACTACGCTCAACATCATCTCACATACTCGCCAACTATGTCGGTAAGCAGTATTCAGGCTTGCGCTATACGAATGCAACACTCACTCAATATGTGTAGGGTCATGTAGCGAAAAAGCAGAAACTGCACGCGACCACCCCCACCGAGTACCACAGGTTCCCAGCGGAGATACGCAATGCGTTGTTTGAGTGCTCAGTACTCGCGGACGGTGCGAGCAAGGTCGACCGTGCCTACAAGAGTGTGGGAGCGGACAATACGATCAAAGCGATGGACACGGTCCATAGCTTCTTCATTGACCCAGTGACCGAGCACGGCAAGAGCGAGCTGTTCAGCAACGACATTACCAAGGTCGCCGTCATTGCCGACGAATTACTGAGTTTGGTGTTGCCGTGGATCCTCTTCACCTTCGACAACGTCAAGGGCTTGGAGCTCTTCGCTGAGACCTTCTCGGCCCACACCGCAGTGTGCAACCGGGAAATCCCCCTTCACGTGGAGATCGACTTGTGCTGTACTCTCAACGAGAAAAAGAAGGAAGCGTTTGCTTGTTGGGAGGAGAGCCCGTTGCCGCATGGAAGGGCATTGAATGCACACGACATGTTTGAAGGCTGGATGGCAGCCGCGCAAGACCTTCCGCCGCAGTCAACTCATCTGTATCTGGTCTTCACATGCTTCTGGCGTGATTTCCGTGCACTTCGTGGCCTGTCACGAAAGATGCGCCTGAACCAGTACCAACTTTCGTTCCGTTTCGATACGGATCCTTCCCTGCCACACCACGACTTCTTCGTTGCTCAAACCATTGCAGCAGTACATGGCATCGAGGTGACGGAGCAGGCTGGCATCAGCGAGGCTGGACGAGAAGAGCTGGTCCGCCATGGTTGTAGAGGCTTCAACCTTGGTCGCCGTCCATCCAGCTACAGTACTTGATGCTCGTACAAAAGAACATTGATGGAGATGTGAAGGGAAGGAGAGATGGAATAAGGCTCGATGGCGTGGGTGCTCAGTGATATCGGCTTCATGCAAGACTTTAAATATGCTACCCCTACCATTGCTACAACCAAGTATAACACCTAATGCTCCGATCTGTGCCTGGGTATCGATCCTCGGTCTCAGTAGAACGCCTTCCAACGATTGAAAAAAGGTGAATGTCGAACGCTAGGCCTTGACCCCATCCATTACGCCTTGTTGCCCAGCTTTGAGCAGGCCCAGCTCTTCTTGCTGTCTTGCACGCTGCTCGACAATCCTGTGGCCGTCTCAGCCCGGCAGCGTACCCATAGAGCTCGCATCCTCAGTTTTGAGAGCGACGATGACCTGCGAATAGGCGCGGTGACCTCTCTCATACCCACCCAGGTGGCCTCTGGAACCTGCTTGAGGGCTGCTGCCTTGCTGCCCATCTGTTCTAATGCTTTTTTAGCGCAACGAAGGCGAGTCTTGATGTCTGGCTGCGAGTGCATCAGCTCATCGCTCATAACGCGCAGTGCAAGAGCAGCCTTGTTAGTGATGTTGAACAAGTTGCTGGGTGTGTGACCGAGGTTCCAGATAGTCGAGTCAATGAGTTGATCAAGCATTGATTTGTTATGTCCCAACGCGATCTCGAATGATTGCTCAAGTAGTGGCTTTGAGAAGCTCGCAATGGTGACGTTGAACATGCCGAAAGGGTATTGCTGCTCGAGGTCGACAACGTAGATGCCGCTGATGGTCCGATTGAATCGTATTGGAGCTGATTCTGCTTCTCGTACGACATGGATCTGGAGCTGCGGCTTCTTGCGAGCATTGAGCATCTCCTTGTTGGGGACAAGTATGAATTGATGATCATTCGTTGGCTTAATCCTGAAGTGGATAGTCTTTTCTGTCTTCTTCACTGGCTTCGTCTGAGGCTTGATTTGTGGTGGAACAATGGTGAGCTCCCTGGGCGTAGGCATGATTGATGAAGAAGGGACAGCAGTGACTGATGAAGAGCTCATAAATGTGGACGAAGGAGACGAGCAGAGCTCCGAGTAAGGTGTAAAAGCCGCCGGCACAGCATCGTTGCTGGAGGCTAGCATCAGCATCATGGTGGGCCCAAAGAGGTATGCTATGACCATTGCTGAGAGAGCCGCCAGGAGTGCCTTTGCCAAGTCTGGCGTTGTGATATGAGATTTCTGCACGTCTTCATGGCTCTTGTTGGATACTGTCACCATGTGGGGGCTAATCAGCGCTAGATGACGATTGACCTGAGAGGGCTCGAGGTCGCTGAACGTGAAGTGGTCAATGGGAAGTACCTCTTTCAACCTGAAGTCAGCTTCTGGGCTATTACGACCCTCCATGCAAACCGCCAAGCTTCTTGAATCGTATGACAATGCTCCGTGGTGATACTGTCGAACGGAAGTGAGTTCGAGATATGGCATTTGCTCATGGTCAAAAGCTTCGCGAGCACAGTTGTACTCTTGCGCATCGTTAGCGGTGCGAGGTGCTGATGGGTGACAGAAAATGACGAGGTCTGGTCGAGCCTCAGAGGTAGATCGGCGTCCTTGTCCGAAGGAGAGTTGCTCTCCGTTGTCTAGTCTGAGCGCGATGCGCGCCGGCTCGTTGCCCGTAGACAGGACCTGAATGTATGTACAGCGGTCGACATGCATGATGGGACCATAGGGCTCCAGTTGGCCCTGCACCATGATTGAGCGGGAAGTCCCTGGACTGGCGGTGAGTGCCGCAGTGATCTTAGTTGTAATGACGTCCTCGTCCCACTTGTCAGGCATGCCGATGTAACAAATCCTGTATGAGTCTGGCGTAGAGATAGACTTGTTTGACAAGGCCGCCTTGACGACGACCCTGACCTCCGAGCAGCCGTACTCGTCGAAGACCGAATAACAGGTGCCATTCTCGTCTGGGAACGTCCTTATGACTTTGGCACCTTGACTTACACCATCGTCTTGACCTGGCTGCTCATCAAGCCTAATACCACGAGAGTGTCCACTGTATCCGCGGTGCATTGGGACCTCGGTCAGCGTACTGTCTCCCGCACTATGTATGGACCGCGCGTCGTGGTGTTGCTGCTCGGGAGCTTCAGCCTGTAGGGAGGCAAAGCTGTGATGCAGGTGGCGGCCATCGGTGCCATAATCAACGTCGTCATCGTCGCTGAAGCTCGAAGCGTCGTCGGGGGTATTGCCGTCTGTGGAGGCGATGGACTCAGTGTGAGCCTCATCGTCTGACGTCTCCATCATGCTATCGTTTAGGCCGAGAAGCTCGAACGTGCTCTCCTCTAAAGAGCTCCCAGCCTCTTGCGGCCGCTGAGGAGTCGACCTCATGATAAGGTCTTCAAGATCAACCTGCTGCAGCGAGCGTGTTGATGTGCACAGGCAGGATACTTCAAGTCTTGCTGTGAATCGTCGCTGCTGGAAGGCATGTCAGTACACAGCTGTAGGTGAGTATGCGAGGAAAGCAAGCATCAGAGTGCAGTGTAGAGTGTAGGAGGTAGAGGGGTAAAGCAGTCCGAAAGGAGTGCACGGGGTGTACATGCGGGACCACGCTGCCTAGAGCTAGTGCCCGGCGCAAGTGGAGCCTTACGGAAGGGATGGCGGAGCGGAAACGCAGACAGTACGTACTGGGGAGGGCACTGTGAGTCGATGATGAATACCAGGGTAAGCGGAGAAGTGAAAGGAGTTTCTGTCTCCCGTGATGTACAATCAAGAGAGTTGTCGTGGCAGGTTGAATGCGTAGGCGGCACCGTCGTGCAGTGCAGCTGATGGTGGATGAGGGGCCAATGATCACCCTTTCCCCCACCTTGCGCCAGCGCCAGCACCGATTAGATAAGGTAACCATGGAACATTAGACGAAACACGACGAACAGCACTCGAACTGGGCCGCCTCGGCTCTCCAACGTGACGATCCATCGGGCAATGAGTCACTAGTCGTCTGATGATGCAAGCTGTTTCCAAATAAACAGCAGCACCAGCAGTGTACCAGGAATGTTATGAGCACCAGCAGCTCAGCTACGATTCATTACAGCACGTGTAAAGTGCATATTCCAAGACCATAACTATATGCCCCCGAAACGCCTGTCATGTCGTTACTAAACAGCCCCTCGATGGAGCACCCAACCCAACTTTTGGAATGCAATGCAACCGCCCACGCCATGCTGGAAGGGGTATAGACGCTAGTACTCCCGCAATATGCTCGCTAAAAGATCATACAAAATCATGCCCGTCATCAATCAAACTCTCTGCGGACCAGGCGACGCCCAGCCACCAGCCACCTCTACCCATTCTGCAAGACAAGACCCTTCCTTGCCTTCGATGTCACCAATATCGGTATCGCACTTGCAGCGACATCCAACGCCATTCTCTTTGACCGGATCGTACGCAGCCCAGTACTTGTCTTCTTCGAGTCGCTCTCTTTCGTCAACAGTTGTCGTCTCCAGGTAAGGATCTCTGCCCAGTTGACGTCCAGGGGCGTTGGCCGGACAATGCTGAATCGTCGTATGTCGATAACCAATATCGCGGAAGTAGTGAATGTCACTAGGGCCAAGGAGCGCACCGGCAGCAAGGGAGTGAATCGGAGCGTCTCCCCATCGTTCCATCCAGAACCCACCGCTGCGATCCATCATCTCAAAGAAGTCGTTGTATTCCTTGCTCCTGAACCAGTCGAGCCTCGCAATCTCGAAATTACTCCAGAAGTGACACATGTTGTATGATTCGCCTTCCATATTCTCCGGATCGATCTTCGGTAGGTCGCCCATGCTCGGCTCTGAGTCCAGGATCTGCTGAGGTTCGGGCTTCTTTGACTTGCGACTCGTCTTGGGAACTTCCTCTTCCTCTTCGAACTTGGGCTTCTCGACGAACATCTCCCATAAACCCTGCGAGGTGATATTATTTACCCGCCTGTAAGCAGAGGCATATCGCCATATATTTGGCACAGTCTCCCGCAGCTCCTTGACCGCAATAGTGAAGCCATACGTCTTGTTGTGCCGCTCCATGTGAACAAACGGGTCGTAAGTGATGTCGCAGAAATATTTGATGTCAGGCTCGAGACGCCAGTACCAGTCGTACTTGCGCAGAAGCTCGTGATGGTAGAATTTGCTGCGAATGTTAGTCTGAAACTGTAAAGCTGTCGAGGTACACCAACCCCGAGTAGAATCGGCACATGTGATGATAGCTCTCCATGCCGCCATACATGATGGCATCGTCGCCCTGCTTTGCGATGCCCTCCTTCGCGACGGCTGGGTCCACCCATTCTGGGAATCCCCAGTCGCTTGCCGGTATCTGGCCCCACTGGACAGGTGCGCTTGTGTAATTCAACACTGTCTCTATGAACGTCTCGTTGAAGACTCCGTCGTTCAGGAAGACGTATGGGTAGTGGTACCACCGATTGAAGTGTCTCTCAATCGACTTGACCGATTGTATTACACCTTCCAATTCTTGATTCCTCGCCAGGACTACGAAGGCGGCGTTCGCTCGAGGTGCGTTGACTCGGGGCTCGAGACAGCCTACAGCGAAGGGCTTGTCATACTTCTCGCTGATTTTCCTGCGCAGATGTAAGTGTCTATTGGCTACATCCTACTCCTGTGCAGCATACCGTATGAAAGGAGGCGCACCGGCGGGCATCTTCATGAGGTCATCCGAGCCTGGCGATCGTGCGAAGAGCAGCAGGATCACAATGACTACAAGACATGGGAAGAGAAGGACCAGGGGCAGTGGCACCGACACCGATGAATCGCTCGTCAATCGTACGCGGCGATTGAAGAAGCCCGTCCGTGGAGTACCCTTCTCACTGCGGCGTGGGGATCTTTCCGCTCTGTCTGGGCTTTCTTTAGGGACTGGTACTCTCCTTGTCGCGTCGTTGAGAGATTCCATGGTCGTGAGCCGTATGCGCAGTAGTTGCCGTCAGGCTGCTGCCAGAAGTAGGTGGTCTACTATGCGACCAAAGTGGATGTATGCGAGGAACCGTGCAGAGCATGTGGTCATGGAGTCGTGATGAAGCAGCAAGTTAGAAAGCCCAGTGCGGGCCAGGCGTTGTGGGGCTTCCGATTGCAGAAAGATGCTTGAAACTTGAAGTCGCGACGTCGCGTAAAGCGCGCCGAGGAAGTAGCGTTTGCCAAGCAACGCGGAGGCAGTCACGGGGTTCCATCGCATGTTGCCTGCGCGTCGACCTGTTGCGATTCTATTGTAAGCATCAACACGCAGGGTGGAGATTCACATGGTACGTCATCGGGGACAATTACTGCCAAGACGACGTGCATCGCAGAGCCGCAAATTATGGACCGCCCGCACGATCTACCGGCGAATCGTCTCTAGCGCAAGTTGTGCAACCTTGGCCATTCAGCCTCGTCTCATGCTGCTGGGGCTCTGCCGACTTCACCCACTTAACACCATAACACGACGACTGCAATATGAGCTTCAAAGCCAAGGATCTCCAGTTCGGTATGTGTTACCCCGCTTGTCGCTGGTTTCCGCTCATGCTTGATCCGTAGACAGCGAACAGCCGGCTTTCCTGCGCAGGTTGAGAGGGGAATTGACCAGTGGGGACTCTGCCCGCCATGAGCAACCAATACCCAGAAACAAGCGGATGAAGAAGGATGACGATGAAGACGATGCCCCGACATATGTTCTCGAAGACACCAAAGAATCCCTGACGAAGGAGGAATACGAAGCATTCGTTTCTGGAAAAGATCCTAAAGACACAGACGAGGCTGCAACTGGTGCGAAGAGCGACCAGGATGCCGCCATGAACGCACCAACACAGAAAGATAAGATTGCCGAGGTGGGTGCTGTCACAAAGAAGAGGAAGGCTGTCAAGATTGTCAATGAAGAACCGGAAGACGAGAAGAACAGCGACCCGAAGAACGTTGACGCAAAGTCGAAGAAAAAGCCAAAGAAGAAGGCCAAAACAGTCAAGCTTACTTTTGGGGACGACGACGGCTGAAGAAACTAGGTCCGGGGCAAACGTACCGTATTATCCGACGTTGAAGACGTATAGGCTAGCATGAGCGATCCCATTGCATCAGCTCCTCAGACCTTGAAGGCATCCCCGGTAACGTTTCGGGTTTCGCTATTGGTCCAATGACTGACAGCTAACTACCTCTGGCTTTAGTTAAGAGTCTTCAACGTCAGATAATACGGTACTCAAGGCCATCACGTGCTCTCACATTGTAGCGACTGTCACCTCTAGTGAACCAGGCTTCCTGACCTAGGCTTCTTACAGACATGTATTGGAATACGATAAGACGATGGATTTGGGCATGTATCACTGACTGGACCGGACGAACCACGAGTTCAACGACTTCTCGTTCCATTTCCGGTCGGAGCTAATAGCTATCTAAAACGACTACATCATATACCGCCTTCCGCATCAATGTCATACGTGCCCATCTTCCTGCTTGGCACTTGTCTCGAGAACATAAGATCGATCTCGATCGTTGTGCGACCCTTCAGCTCTGGGATATATACCCAGGCGCCTACAGTTGCAATAGCTGCGAGCCCACCAAATACGAACCCAACCTTGCCTCTCAGATCCGCTTCGTCTGGGTTCATGAGGTATGGGATGACAATGTTAAAGATGACACCGAGCGACGATTGGGTAGCAGTTGCGAGCGCCGTGGTGTGTGCCCGAAGACCCATGCTCGACACCTCTCCGAGCAAGACGAAGGCCATCGCTCCGAGAGACATGGAGTACACAAACGCATAGATGACTGTGCACGAGGACTGTACCCATTTCGCACCGCTCGATGGTACAAAATCCATGATGCCAATCAAGAGCAAGAGGAGGGTTAAGGCGGCCATACCACTGACGAAAATCTTGCGGCGTCCAAATGAGTCAACGATGAACCTACGAAAGAATTACTCTTAGTATTCATGCAGTTGTTCGGGGTTTTAAGTGAGTTCTGCTTACCATGAGGCGATATTTCCCGCAAGTGCACAGGCCGTAACGCCAACTCCGAGGTCGAAGGAACGACTGGTCGCCAATCCAGCAAGCTGGAAAAAGTATGTAGAATAGCCGAGAACGAAGATAATGCCGACAAAATGCTGGCAGGCGAAGGCTCCGGTGGAAATCAAGCTTCGCCTCAGGTTGACGCCCTTGAAACAGTCGAGGAACGAGGACTCTTTGAGTGCTTGCTCCTCCTGAATGGTGAGTTTCAAGCTCGCGAGCTTCCTAGATGGTTGTTAGCGGTCATGTTGAAGGGGGGCTCTTGTGCTGGGTGAACATACTCGTTGACATCAATACTATTACCCCAAAGCGATTGCAAAGATTTCAGAGCCTGCTCATCTCTTCCTTGACGGACCAGATACCAGGGTGACTCCGGGACGAAATAAAATCCTGCGCTGAGGAAAGCAACGAAGAACATTTGGATTGCAAAAGGCGCGGCATATGCCCATCGAGTGGTCCACTCGCCAAAGCCCTTGACAACAGCGTTTGATAGGAGTTGACCAAGAGCTATACCCAGGTTGATACCCGCAGTCGAGATACCGCGAAGAGCGACAGGCGCGATTTCACTGCAGGCCATCGGTCCAATCGTTAGATAGTAACCAAGACCGAAGCCGAGAATGAGCTTTGACACGAGGAAGGCAACTCTGGTCGTAGAAAAGATTTCGCCGAAGATGCCACCAGAGCAGAGCACGAGACCTGCAGCTAAAGCGCCCTTGCGGCCAAACTTGTCCGCAGTCCAACCGCACATGAAACCTCCGAAAAATTGCCCTACTGAGGAGACCACATTGAATGCTGTCTGCCAGTTTGCAGGCAGCACTGGTTCGCCATTGAAGATGTAGCCAAAGTCACGACGAAAGGCAGGGACTGATATCATGGCGCCGTTGATTTGTGCGTCGAAACCCCTGGCAAAACTGTCAGCAAATGATCAAACCATACAAACGCTGTTTTGTTCTTCATGCTTGGAGCCTGACGCCAGCTCGTTTCAAGTTCGCTCGGTGGTACTCACCAACCAATCGCACACATAGCCCAGAAGAACGAACACCAGATCAACGATCTGTGGTTTTTCCAAATGTCGCCTAGAGTAAGACGATGCTCAGTCTCGTTGTCGGCAATTGCACCCTGGACGTCTGCCATGCTCTTGCCATGAGTTGGCCGCAGAACTTCTTCATGCTGGACGACTGAAGATGGTTTATCCATCTTGTTTGTGGAGAGGTGTGGTTGAAGGATCGACGGTAGCAATCAGGGCAGAAGCACGAATACTGGCCTGCGACACTCTATCTAACAATCGTGCACTGCACAGGTACTTATACCTCGTCGGCACAACCATATGTCCTTCGGCACGAGGGCTTACGGGGGATCATGCCTCATCTAGGTTGGTCACAACTTGTCTGTCCCGAAGTTCTACCGACATCTCCAGACCTTCCCACAGTCTGGGGGAAAGTCTGGAGATTCGGCTCTTCGGTGCCCAGGAACCAAGCACTTGGGGTTCGTTTTTGGTTGGTACATTCCGCGCGCTAGGGCACTTGGCGGGTATGCCGGTCAAGGCTGTGCCTCCCCCTTCAACATAACCGCGCTCTGTTTCGATTGTAAGAACAGCCAATTCGTCCAAT